TTATGGATGGTTTAGCTTTGGACATTGCCCGAAAACTTGACATTAAACCAGCCCGTTATGCTATAAGAAAGACTATGATGAAACCCCTCTTTATTAGTCAAGGGAGATATGAATTTAATGCCAATCTTTTTATGGATCAAATACCTAGAAGAATAACACTTGGACTTGTCTCTAACTCTGATTATGTTGGAAATTATGGACGCAGTCCTTTCAACTTCCAACCCTTTAATGTTCGCGAAATTACAATAATAGCGAACGGGAGAAGTTATCCTCAAGCCCCCTATGACTTTGATTATATGAATGGAAAATATGTTAGAGCATTTAATGATATGAATGATGCCATAGGGCTAGCAACTTCGTCAGAAAGTAATGGAATTACTTATCAGCAGTACGGTAGTACCCATTGTATATACATTTTTAACCTGACAAATAGTGGTGATGACCAAGGAGGACTATTTGATTTAATAAAGAATGGGACAACCGCAGTGAATATTAAATTCAGTCAACCAGTGCCTGAAGGGGGAATTATGCTTGTAGCTATGGGCGAAGCAGATTCATTAATTATTCTAGATAAAAATCGTACTATCGCTAGTGACACTACTATATAAACACAGCCACATTGTAATATTTTCAATAAATTTAAAAATGAATAAAATTTCAATTGTTATTTTTCTTATTCGAATTTTTTCTCCTCTTGTTGAATCACTAAGTATAGATGATATTTCAAAAGTGGAACATCTCCCTGAATACGCAGAATATTTAGCAAAAAGAACAACAACATCTACATCCTTTCCTATTAAAATGGATTTCCCAAACTTCCCCACTATTCAACTTTGCAAAGATAGCCCCGGGGAAAATAATATATATGGACATATTTTTTGCTGGGGAATGATAGTCTTATACATTTTGTTTATAATTAGCCTAATTATTTTTCAATTTCGCTCAATTCTTTGGTTCAAAGTAGTATTACCGAGAAAAAAAGCAAAAGAATTTGAAGGTAAATGAGATAAATTTTGAAAATTATTTTTAAATTAAGCAAACGATGAACGGATACAAAATAACCCAGATATTGAACTCGAATCCAAAGACAAGGCAAATTTTCCGGGGATGCTTCCCGTGTGATTTAATTCCAAAGAATAATTTCAAAAAATCAATTTACATTGTCAATTTAGATCCAAGAGGAAAGAAGGGATCTCATTGGATTGCAATTTATATAAATTTTAATAAACTATACTATTTCGATAGCTTAGCTCTTCCAATAAGTACTTGTATTTTTAACTCATTTCTTAAAAATTTTTCTAATATTAAACGTAATGTTAAGCCCTATCAATCACCTATAGCTAAAACTTGCGCTCATCATTGTATCTCTCTAACTTATTTCCTATCTCAAGGCCTATCTTTTGAAAAATATTTAAAATTATTAGATACAAAACAAAATCCAGATTTATTTGTAGTTAAATTAGTAAATAAACTTTTACAATGAATTATTTTGTAAATTACACAGGTGTTGTGGCAAAAAGTGCACAATCAGTGCAAAGCCAAAAAGAATAAAAGAATAAATTTTCGGTAATCGGTATCAATGTTTTTCTTTGTTTCTTCAATAAATTGAACTTTAAACATTCCTCACACCAATGCCAACCAAAGAAGTAGTGATAAATAAAACTGCACCGAGCACCCTTATCAAGCTTTTCCCCATTCTTCAGAGATGAATTTAAAGCCGTGAGATAACTGTGTCTTACACAGGATTTGTATTGACAAAATCCCTACAATTATGTTTTTATTTAATTTTATAAATTTTATTGATACCTCTATATCAAAACATTTGGTCCCTTCTTCTTGTGACATTTTAAATAGTTAAAAAATTTATCTGAAAAATTACGGTATTTAGTTTAAAACACGCGAGGGTAATAAAAAATGGTAAAGTGTAATAAATTAAATATGTATTAATATGTCATGAATTATTAATGAATGACACAGGGTGGCACCCTTTGATCTTTGCCATCTGTCGACAGTTGGTAAAGATGATTGATGACCTTTACAAAAAGCCTGCCAAATTTTAAGATGAGGTTTAAAAATTTAGTTTAAACACGCAAGGGATAGGGAAAGTAGGTCAATCATAAAGGGTCCGTGACAAGGCGGCAACCTTTGATCTTTTATTGCACTCTTTTATTACACTCTTTGTTTACACTTTTATTACACTAAAATTCAAATATTTTTAGCGTTCTTTTTTGAACCTTGTAAAAGGAAGAGTGACATGTGACATGTCAAGAAAGGGGTTGAGGGGTCCGTAAAAGGCGGCACCCTTTGATCTTTTTTATTACTTTGTTTACTACTTTTTCATTACTTTGTTTACTACACTTATTACACTAAAATTCAAATATTTTTAGCGTCCTTTTTTGAACCTTGTAAAAAGGAAAAGTGACATGTGACATGTCAAGAAAAGGGTGAGGGGTCCGTCAAAGGCGGCACCCTTTGATCTTTTTTTTTATTACTTTGTTTACTACTTTTTTTTATTACATTACAACCTGTCAAAGACAAATTACCATCTGTCAAAGACACATTAGCATCTGTCCAGGACATGTTACCATCTGTCGAAGATGGGCAATAAAATTATTAATGATTGATGACCTTGACATTTAAAAAAGCCCGCCAAAATTTAAGACGCGTTAATTGACAGAGTATAAATATCGTAAAATTTTAATTACCTCATCATTCGCGTATATTTTTACACTTTAATTATTAAACGATAAATCAAATTATTTAAATTTTTTTATTTTTAACAAAATTATTTAAACTTTTTATTTTTATTACAAAATTATTTAAATTGCTTCATTTTTTTTTTTTAATTTTTATATCCAAAATTATTTAAACTTTTATTTTTTTTATTTTTATCACTACAATTATTTATACTATTTCATTTTTTAAATTTTATCACTAAAATTATTTAAAAATTTTTTATTTTTTAACAAAATTATTTATTAAATTGCTTCATTTTTTAAAGTTTTATTACCAAAATTATTTAAATTTTTCAGTTTTTAACAAAATTATTTAAATTGCTTCATACTTTATCACTAAAATTTTTTAAATTGCTTATATTTTATCTACTAAAATTATTTAAATTGCTCATTTTTTTATTAATAATTTTTAAGTTTTCTATAATTTATTATAAATGGATCAACAACCACCAAAAAAATATACTCGATTCACTATCGAGAATTTATTAGGACTTCAGTCCATATTTTCTATTTTTCAATCTGGAAGCGGTGTGAAAAAACCGGAGGAATATGTCGAACTTCTTGAAAACGACATTTCTCACAACGCTAAATTTAATTTTGTCAAAACCCATGCCAAATTTTCTATCAAACAATTACCAGAGGACCCGGAAGAATTATTAAAAGGTCTAATTTATTACGTAATTAAAACTGGTTTTATTTTAGGAATTTTTCAATCATTAATTGATAAGGCTCTGGATGAGAGCCGCAAACGCGGCTTTGAACCGGAACAGATAGGCTGTGTAGTGAGTAGCCCACTATTGGATCATGATATATGGGTACCAGTGAGGTTGGCTTAGATTTATTAAAAATATTTTTAATAAAATTTTGATTTTTCAGAGATAGAAATCAAAATACGGTTGAGGCAATCCTCAACCGTTTTCTACTCGTGGCCCAGAGTTTCCGACAGAAAAATGTTACTCTCTGGGGGCAGCCGTTTACTGTTACAGTTACGACTGTTAATAAAAGCGGACTTCCAAAACAACGTAAACTACCCGGAGCAGGACGCAATCTTCCACCTGTTCGTCATCGAATCAATGATCAATCATTGATTAAGGCCTGTTTACCTATTTTTTTAGAGCTATTATAAGTTTAAAACTTGAAAAATTCAAATGTAAAAATTTTTGATTTTTCAAATTAAAGTGGGAAAATTAAAGTGGGAACGAAATATTAGGTTTAGGGAAAAATAAAACGTTATACTAATTTATTTATTTTAGATTCGAAACCAAGACAGTTTCTGTCTTTTCTACGCTTTAACAGCAACATTGATTCATGGAATATGTAAATGGTCAAGAGTCAAGTTCTTCCGTTACCTCCGTAGTGAGTATGGAATGACAAATCGTTTCAGAGAAGATACTACTGAATTAATGGAACAAGTTGGGGCACCAAATTTTCAACAAGACTACAATGCTGAGGAATGGGTGCCTATTGTGGTCGACTACTGGAACAACAAGTATAGAGGGCAACACAAGTTCAAAGTATTTGTGTTTGGTTCGCTTGGCCACTACACGCCAATCTTCAAGTATGGACCCAATGACTTTGATATTCCCATCACTCTTTATTACAACAAAAAACATTTTGATGGTGTAAAGAGTGCTTCAGGACTATTTGGAAGGCCTTATTGTTTATCATGTGAAAAAGTATACGACAAGCCAGCCCGACACACTATTAGCTGCAAATCCCGTTGCAACAAGTGTTCGAGAATTGGACCGAATTTCCCTTGCAGCATAATCGATGGGTTTGAGAAGTTTTGCCAATTATGCAGCAAAATTTTTTTCAACAATAATTGTTATCAACACCATCTTCAATCTGGGTTTTGCAACAGATCACAACAATGCCAGAAATGTGGAGTTATCTGGAATGTAAAGGATAACAACAGAAGAGGGCGAAAGGGTCATGTCTGTGGGGAACGTTATTGTTCAATCTGCAATGATTATCATGTACCGAAGAGAGGATGTTTCATCAAACCTCTAGAGCCTAAAGACAACAAAAAGTATAGAATTATAGCCTTTGATCTTGAAACAACACAACATCGCCAATCAGGGACTGGAAGGATACATGAGCCTAACTTCATCTGTGCTAAAATCACTTGCCCTGAATGTATCTTGGAAGTAAGATTTTAAAATTAAAAACTTGTAATTTTTAACTGTTTTTAGGAGAAGGAATGTAAAGTTTGTGGGGATGAAAGGACTGTTACCTTTACCCATAAACCCTTTACCAGAACAACAGTTGATAAAATGGTGGTAACTTCAGACCCGTTGGGAGCCTTTGTTGAATGGATACTTGACGATCTTCCGCAGGAATTTGACACTTTTGCCTTTTCCCACTTTGGTGGACGTTTCGACATGGTAATTGTCTTCAAGGAAATATTTTTGAGAGGTAAATTTTTATTTAAAAGAGAAAAATAGGAAAATTTTCCAAGGTTTCACGCCTGAAATGTTAAAGAAGGGAAACAAAATGTATGAAATGAAGCTTATTTCACGTGGAAAGAATAAAGGGAATATAATCTTTCGGGACTCATTCAATTTGATGCCAATGTCCTTGGCATCTCTTGTTCCTGCCTTCGGCCTTCAAGTTGAAGACAAACCGTTCTTCCCCCACTTGGCTAACCACCCGGAGAACTACGGCAAGGAGATCTTTCCATCACCGGCAGATTATATGGCTGATGGAATGATGCCGGATAAAAGGAAATTGTTTGATGAATGGTACCAACAACATCGTCATGAACCGTTCAACTTAGAGGAGGCTCTCGCGTCGTATTGTACTAACGACGTAGAAATTTTAATGGCTGCTTTAATTGCGTTCCGCAATGAATTCATGGAGGTAAAGTGTTTTAAAATTTTAAAATTATTTTTATTTTAAGGTTTCAAAGCGTGAGGTTGGACAAAGACCAGCCTCAGACAAGGCTCATGAAGGTATAGATGTTCTTCGGGAAGCCATGACCATTGCTTCAGCTTGTATGAAGCACTTCCGATCAAACCATCTAAAGATCGACCATGTTGGCATTGTTCCAGAACGTGGGTATGACAACATTGAGAACCAAAGCAAAATGGCCTTAAAGTTCCTTGAATGGTATGGGGAAGCAAATAATGTTCAAGTCCAAACTGCTATCTCCGCTGGCGGAGAAAAAAGGTAACTAAATTACTTTTTATTTTACAAATTACTTTTAAGAGTTGGGAATTACCATTTGGACGGCTGGGTAGAAGAACAACAGCTTGGAATTGAAGTGAACGGTTGTTGCTGGCATGGATGCTCCAAATGCTATCCGGACGACAACACTGTTTTGCCCAATGGTAAAACTGCTGGTCGACAACGAGAATTGGACCAACAACGACTTAATTTCATCAAACTTCAAATTCCTAATATACAAGTATATTGGGAATGCGAGATCAACAAAATGCTCATTAAAGACCGGAATATGCGGCGTAAGTTCGAAAACTACATTGACAACGGGCCCATTGATATTCGGGCGAGCTTCTTTGGTGGCCGAACTGGGCCTTTGCGTCTTTTCTATAGACCAAAGGACGGGGAAAGGATTAGCTACTATGATGTAACTTCCTTATACCCGTTTATAAATGTTTCAACAAAATACCCAGTCGGGCACCCAACAGTCCATATTCTGAATGAAGATGTTTTATGGAATTGTTCCTCTGATAACAAGTACAATTTGGCCATCTTGAAGGTATTTTACAAAGTTAAAAAATATATGAGATATTTTTAGGTTTTTGTCATTCCGCCACGTAAAATAGACGTGCCAGTTTTACCTGTTAAACTGGACGATCGTCTACTTTTCCCGTTGTGTGCAGCTTGTGCTCGCCTTTATCCCAAGGGAAAGGTTGACGAGAAATACAACTGTCAACATACCGATGAACAACGGGGTTGGGTTAGCACTTGCACTTCATTGGAATTGAACGTCGCACTTGATGAAGTATATTTTTAATATAACGTTAATTTAATCTATTATTTTAGGGATACAGAGTCACTAAATTGTTCCGTGTACTTGAGTACACGTCATCCGACAACACACTATTTCGCTCTTACATCGCCGAATTTATGGCCCAAAAAATCCACGCTTCCGGCTTTGACAACTCGATTAAAGGCAATACTGAAGCTGAGAACAACTTCATCAAAGAATGTGCAGAAATGTTCAATATTAATATCGAGCGGGAAAAAATGGTAAAATATATTTCTATAAAAAATTTTAATTATAAAATTTTAGATTCCGAATAAAGGGAAAAGGACGCAGGCAAAATTATGTCTTAATAACCTTTGTAAGTTATTAAATAAGTTTAAAATATTATTTATGTATTTTAGGGGGCAGATTTTCCCTGAGAAATTTTGGACTTTCACAGTGCACTGTGACCGATGATCCAGCTAAAGTTAGGAATTTAATGGATGATGTGAGCAAAGAAGTGACAGGATTGGATGAACTAACTCCGGACGTTGTGCTCATCAGTCATCTGACAAAGAAGGATTGGATAGAGGAGCATGACTGCTCCAACGTTGGTAAGTTCCATAATTTTAATTGAAATTTTTGAATAAAATTTTTAGTAATCTCCTTGTGGACGACGTCCTGTGCACGTCTCCATTTGCTGAAGGCAATGCAAAAGGTGGTTCGGACCCCCGGGTGTACTCTTCTCTACACGGGTAAATAGAAATTTTTCAAAATTGTAAATAAATTAAATTTTAGACACGGATTCTTTGATTTTTGCTCACCCCAAAGAATCTTGCCCACTTCAACTAGGGCCACATCTGGGTCAGTTCACCGATGAGTACCCAAGACACCGCATTATTGAGTATTGCTCAGGTGGGGCCAAGCAATATGGGCTTAAATTACAACGTAAGGACCAGATGGATGCAGCACCGGAATATGTTCTCAAGATCCGTGGAATCACTCTTAACTGGGACGTTGTTGTCAACCAAGGAATGCAGTATGAAAATTTTAAAGAAAAAGTTTTAAATTTCGCTACTGAGGAATGTTCCCCCATAAATATCTTGTACCCAAATTTTCTTAGGCCGACTGTTAAAAGAGGTTCTGTACTAACTCAACCTATGAAAAAGAATTATGCTCCTTTTGTCGGCAAGGGTGTTTTACGCCCGAGCGACTTTTCTGTACTCGATTATGGTTTCAATTCTAATTAATTATTGTATCTATTTTTCTATCTTTTATTTTGAAACTTTTTAATTTCATATTGTTAATATTTATTTATTTCAATAAAATTTATTATGCAAAATTAGTGTGAAGAAGTAATTGATTTTAGGGGTAAAAATGCGGAATTAAGAGAAAGAAGATAACATTTAAAAATTAGTGAATAGAAGTAGTAGATTTTAGGGGGAAAATTACGGAATTAAGAAAACGAAGATAACATTTAAAAATTTAAAAACTAAGATCAAAATTAACAATTAGAAGTAGTCATTTTTAGGGGTAAAAATGCGGAATTAAGAGGACGAAGATAACATTTTTAAAATTAAAAAAGTTAAGTACAAAATTAGCAATTAGAAGTTGTCATTTTTAGGGGTAAAAATACGGAATTAAGGAAATGAAGATGAAATTTGGAAATTTTATAAAAATTAACAAATTAAGTTTATGTACGCACGTGTGCTCTATATATACACGTGTGCACGCACTACACATGTGCACACACGTGTGCACAAACTAAATTCGTAATTAACAATTAGAAGTAGTCATTTTTAGGGGTAAAAATGCAGAATTAAGCAAATGAAGATGAAAATTAGAAATTTTATAAAATTAACAATTAAGTTTATGTGCGCACGTGTTGTGTACATACACGTGTGCACACACTACACATATGCACACACGTGTGCACAAAGTAATTCAAAATTAACAATTAGAAGTAGTCATTTTTAGGGGTAAAAATGCAGAATTAAGCAAATGAAGATGAAAATTAGAAATTTTATAAAATTAACAATTAAGTTTATGTGCGCACGTGTTGTGTACATACACGTGTGCACACACTACACATATGCACACACGTGTGCACAAAGTAATTCAAAATTAACAATTAGAAGTAGTCATTTTTAGGGGTAAAAATGCAGAATTAAGCAAATGAAGATGAAATTTAGAAAATTTCTTTAAAATTAATAATTAAGTTTATGTGCGCATGTGTTGTCTGCATATACACGTGTGCACAAACTAATTCAAAATTAACAATTAGAAGTAGTCATTTTTAGGGGTAAAAATGCAGAATTAAGCAAATGAAGATGAAATTTAGAAAATTTCATTAAAATTAATAATCATGTGTATGACATATACACATGTGCACATGTTTACCAACCTTCCATCTCATCCAGCATATCAAATTCTAAAGGTTCATCGTTTTTGTCGGAATCAGTTGTTGTTTTGTCAATTCGAAGTTTATCAGAAACATCCACATACAATGGTTTATCATTTTCCATGACTGGGAAGCTAATATAATCCTCTTCTTTATCATCAACTAGTTCAAGTAATTCAAGTGGATAGTAACGGTCCTCACAACGCCGTGGAAACTTCTCAACCACGCATTGAAGATAGGGATAACGTAAACGAATTCTATGCCGTGAATAGTAATGAGCCGTTACTGAAACGTTGTAGGGCCGAGACAATGCTCCATAGGCCATTAGAGTATGCGCTCCTAATTAATTTTAATGTACGTGGGTAATGATTAGGAACCTTTATGAGTAAATCCATGAAACTTGAACGTTTTGCGGAAATCATTACGGTCCGAATAAAGCGTTCGGACAATCCTTCCTTTTAGTTTTGAATGTAGAAGGGCACGCTTTGCCGGATGATTTAAATGGTCTCGAAGAGACTTTGGGTGGCAATTAAGTATTTCAGCACACTCATCGATTAAATGACGCATTTTGAAGTTAAGAAATTAAAGAATGAAAGTTTTTTAAAAATTTCTTGGCTTTTATACTCGCCCAAATTTTTACTAATTCTTAATATTTAAAAATATTAATTAAAAATTATACGGTCCCTCGATTATTCGAAATATTTACAATGACAGATGTTTAATATATTTAAAAATATTATTATTTCGTAAACAATTCGAATGACCTTCAGAAAATTAATTCATTTCTTAAAAATGTTGGGAACATTTTGGTTAATAACATGGGAACCAAAAAAGATAAACAGATGCGGTCTTTTGCATCTGATAGGGCAAAGAATTCTCTAGAAAATGACCGGTCAGTTTTTTAGATTAGGCCCTGGAAAAATTTTTATGACCATTTTTCTAAAGACCATATTTTTCCCAAAATTTCAATTTTTCCTGTGAAGAAGAGAAAAGAGAAAAGGAAGTTAAACCCAAAAGATCAACACCACTGAGATCACCCAACCATTTACGAAACTCTGAAATAAAAATTTCTCTCGCCCCCTCCCCCAGACCAATTAGTAAAACAAATTGGTTTCCCTTACACCCAACCCCGCAACCCCGACCAATTTGTCAAGCAATTAGCAGCTTAGATTCCCTTGACCCCCTCCCCAGACCAATTTGTAAAACAAATTGTTTTCACCCTTCCCCCTCCCCCAAACCAATTAGTCAACCAATTAATTCTCTTACACCCAACCCCCGACCAATTTGTCAAGCAATTAGCACCTCTTGGTAATAAAAGTTCCACTTACCCCTCCCCCAGACCAATTAATCAATCAACTAATTGATTTCCTCTTACACCCAACGATTTCCTCTTACACCCAACCCCGCCGGTTTTGATTTCCTCTTACATTCCTCTTTTGATTTCCTCTTACACCCAACCCCGCCCAATTTGTCAAGCAATTAGCAACTTAGATTCCCCTGACCCCCTCCCCCAAACCAATTTGTAAAACAAATTGGTTTCACCCTTACCCCCAACCCCGATCAATTAGTCAACTAATTGTTTCCTCTTACACCCAACCCCCAAACCAATTAGTCAAACAATTAACACCTTTTGGTAATAAAATTTTCATTACCCCCTCCTCCATACCGATCAACCAATCAATCAATCAATCAACTAATTGATTTCCTCTTACACCCAACCCCCAAACCAATTAGTACTAATTAGTTCCCCTTACACATCCCGCACTTGTCAACAGGTTCGCGATTATACGGGGCAGACCCCTCCTCTTAAAATGATTTATGAGGTACAAATTAGTTCGGACCCTTCCCCCGATTAATAATTTATTACCCCGGCGGCAAGATCAAAGAGGATCATCAAAAAGATCAAAAGAAAAAGCCGACAAAACCCCCTCATACCCTTTGGTTTTTGTCGGACCCCTCCCCCAGACCCCTCCCCCCGACACCCCTCCTATAGGTTGGCGGCATTTCCCTTTGATACGGTTAGGGGGGGGTTACTACTACGATGGATATACAAAAACAATGGGAAGAAGGTGAACTCATACATATTTTACACACACTGAGAGAGGAATTTGGTATTCAACCAGTCACAATTTTGGCACTGAAACAGTCACAACTAAAATAAAAAAGAACTGTCTCACGTCTCTCTTAAATTATCTCAGTATTTCCAACCAGCAATGTTTCGTCTGTCACTAATTTAATTCTTCTTGCGTGCGTCAACGATTTTGTGATTTTTACTTTTCTGTGTTAATCATTTGTCGATAACTTTAGTAAAAATTTTGTAATTTTTATTGTTCAAACTTAGTTAGAAAAAATGCAAATTAACGAGAATGGCGAATCAAATAATAACAACAATAAAATAGAAACTTCACAAAATTCTGAACAAAATTTGTCAAATGTTATATTTCGAAATAGAACAATGGAAAGTTATGAAATGAGTCCGGAATTGGAAGACAGCCATGAAGGTTTTATAAAATAAAAAATTTTTCTAAGAAATTTTTTTCAGAAATTCGAAAACTGGATTCTCAACTAGATCATGTATTTTATTTTAAAATTATTTTTTAATTAATATTTAATAGTTAAATGAATATATGGACAAAGTCGAGGAACGAATTAAAGCTCATAATGACAAATTAATGGAAACACTTAAACAACAAAAAGAAGATAGAGAGAAACGACGACAAAGTTTTCATGAGGTTTGAATTTATATATTCATTGTCAATTGCCACAAAAGGGGAGAAGTTCCGTAGAATTGTTATTCACGATGACGGGCTCCCCAATCCTTAAAGTGGCTAAAAAGAATTTTGGAAATTAACTCAAATTGAAACTCTTCGAATTAAAATATATTTTTTAATTTTAGCGTCTTGAAATTGGCCGTAGCGAAGATGAAGATTTTCAAAAACAATTACATTCGGTTTTTTTTTATTTTTCAAATTAAAATAAATTTTTTTTTTTAAATTTAAAGGTTCTAAATCGTGTGGATTCAATTCGTCGAGTCTGAAGAAAAAATTTAATTTTTGGGTTATTTTAAAAAATATATATTTCTTCTAAATTTTTCTCTTTTGACCCAGTGATAGGTTTTACTAAAAAATTATTCTAAACTAAAAACGCTTTTCTTAATTTCTAAATTAGTGAAGAAATTTTGAGGTGAGAGAATTCCAATTTTCAACGGAATTTCAAAAAAAAATTATTAGAAAAGCGTAAAAATATTATATATAAAACGGCCAGTAGTTTGAAAAACACTTAAATTTTTTATATAAATCACTTAATAGAATTATTCTTAACACTTAAAATGCATAAATTTGTTTTTCTGGCATCTTATATTTGAATTTTTTTAATTTTAAGAATGGAGGGGGGGGGGAGGCAAACAAAAACGATGTTAAAATAGAACAAAGTGCAAACTCGGTCACTAGAGAGGAAGATTGATTCTCTCGTGGCCTCACATGCCCAATTATCCTAAACAAATCTCCAATAATTTTAATAAAACCATTACCATTTTAAAAGATCGTTAAAGCCATTGTAAAAACAAAATGAAAATTATTTGAAAAATTTTTTGGCAGAATTTAAACGTAACGAATTTCCTCCCAATCTTTTCCTTTTAATTACAATCGTTTCGTTGTTTTTCCCACCTCTTTCTTCATTTAAATCCCTTCTATTTCTCAATATTTTCATACATTTTCTATAATCATTTAAATTTTGTGTTTCTTCATCACTACTTTCTTCATTTGAAGAATTTATTGCAGCAGAAAAAGTTGTTGTTTTTGTTAAACAATCATCAGAATCGTCACTTAATATAGATAATGTTCTTCTTTTATTGGAAAAATTTGAAGAAGAATTTTGTTTTAAAGGAGATAAATCTAATTGTTGTTGTTCTTTGTTTGAATCTGAAGTTCTCTTCTTTTCAGCTCTTTTACATTCCAAAAGATGAAGAAATTCGCTGTTGGTACGTGGTTCAAAACCTTCTAGAAATGGTGATAATTAGAAAATTAAAAAAAAATCATTAGTATGTAGAGTAAATTTTAAAATCTTCAACGCAAGTATTTATGGTTCAGTGGTAAAGTTCCTGACTATAAAATTTTTCATGAGGGTTCGAACCCTCGCAGTGCTAAAATTTTATTTATGCTGATTTTTTGTTTAAACTTTTTTATGAAATAAAAAAACAGGGATTTTATTAGCTCTTTGGCTCATTTTACTCTATTGTTATCCATTAAAATTTCTTATGCCTTATCCCCCAATTTATATAATTAATTTAAAAACCTTCCGATTGTCGTTGTGCTATCAATTCAGCTAATTTGTGTAATTTTTCTTTGTCAGAATCATTAAACCTCTCGTTTCTCAAACATTCACGTAAATATTCTAAGGCAGTCCAATCATCATCATCTTTACTCGAAGCGCGTGCTTTGAATTGCAGAAGCATTCTAGCAATGCTAACATTGCCGAAAGAGCATGCCTCCATCAAGGGGGTAAGTCCACTTGAAGTCTAAAAAAGAAGTTTACCTCCCATTATTTTCTATAATTTCCCAATCCCAAAGGATGTTAAGTAAAAACAATTTACAATTTTATTTTGTTCAGAATCAACGAGAAATTCAGTTGAACGCGTATTTGGATTTGCACCACTCATTAATAATAGCCGGACATTTGCCATATTTGATGCAGCAACTGCTTCACTTAAAGGTGTCCATCCCCCATGATCTAACTGATTAACATCATATCCTTCTCCAATTAATTTTTTTAATAATTGATAATCATCAGAACGAGCAACTTCATGCAAACTTGATTCTCCGTGTTTATTCATATTTCTTCTTCCTTTGATTATTTTTTCTTCGTAATCGATTGTTTTCATTTCAGCTGAAAATAATTTTTTTAGATTTTATATAAATTGAGAGTTGAATTTTGTTTTGGATCTACTCGGAAAATAGAATTTATCGATGAATTTTTGAAGTCGTAAAGGAACTAATTCTAATTAAGTATAGAATTTTAACCAAAGTCTGGCCCTAAGCATGCGGGTTTTCTTGAAGAGAATAAAGGTTTGCTGGTTTTAGTCTCGAAACTCGGTCTTTACATATAGAAATAAAAATAACGATTCAGGACCATAGAACGTTAATACTATAAAACCTAATGTTTTTATAAATTTTTATTGACAAATTACGAGGTCAGAGATCATATTCAGAATTTCGAAAAAGTACATAAACTATTATTTAATAAAACCTCTAATTTCAAAAATTATTTGCTCTTCATTCATTTCATCAAATTCATCTGTAAAATTAGAAGTAGAGTCTTCTATCAATTCATTTTCTTTCCGTCCTTCATCATTTTCAGCCAAAGAATTTTCTAATGAAAGTCTTTCTCTTCTCATTTTAGCTATCTTTTCACTTGAATATAAATTGTTGGACTTCAGAAATTTAATAAATTCGGGTAATAATGCAAACTAAAAATTGAAAAAAAATAGTTTCAGAAAGATATATATTTATAAACAATTTAAAAAAAACCTTATATTTTGGTATAGAACAATCATTATAAACTTTTTTGATTTTTTCCAAACGTTCTTCCAAAGAAATTTGTTCAACTTTTATGAATGCAAGGGCGATTGAAATGTCAGTTTCGAGAAGCTTAATAAAAATATTTTAAAAATGTTTTCGCGAAGATATTTTTGTAATATTAATCCCATTCAAAAATTTAAAAATATATCAGACACTATATACACCCCCAACTCCCTTGCAGAGTTATAATTTCATTTAGAAATTTTAAAGCTAGATGCCTTATAGTTAGAATGGTTCAATGCATCTAGACGAACTGAATCGACCCATACTAGAGCATCCAGCAGCAAACTTGGCGTAGACAAGGGGTCCAAAAAATATCTTTAGCCGTTCCAAGTTAGCCCCTGAAATCAACCATCTAGCTACGCCCTTGGTAGCTACCCTGAACAACATTTAATGAATATTTAATTGTTAAATAAGAATATAAAATGTTTTCTCTAAATAAACCTTTTCATCATCATATCCCAATTCTTTTTCCCATTTTCTTGCCTGTTCATAGAAATGAACACAACGTTCCCATAATCCACAATCTTTAGCAGTTTCAGCCATTGAAATCCAAGCTTTTCTTTGATCATCAGCAGAATCACAACATCTATATATATTAAATTAATAAATTTATTTTCAAACAAAACTTCATCATTTTATTATAATAACGCAAAGCAATTTCATTAAATTCCAATTTTGATGCTTCATCTCCAATTTTTTCAAATAAAACCATTTGTGCTCGACGTCTTTTAGAATTGTCTTTAGAGTCGAGATTATTCGCTTTCTTTTCCCTTTGTTCAGTTTTGTAAGCTTCAATGAAATTGAAATAAAAAAAAAGATAAAATCAAAGAAGATATACTCAGAAAATTTTTTTAAAAAAGCATTAGCCCCTTTGATAACCCTCGGTTTAATCCAAAAAATAAAAATCACTGTAGCATAGAATAGCCCAGCTACAGACTAGGGATGTCGGCTTCAAACCGAACCGAAAAACCAAAGATTTTCGGTTCGGTTAACCAAAAAATTTGGTAAACCGACAACCCTACTACAGACATTTCCGTCATAATAAAAATATAAAGAAACAAATGTGAAACAAAGGACAAAGATTCTAGTTAAAAAACATTAACCCACCCCTTCTATTACCTCAAAAATAAAAATTATTACTTACAAAAAATCAAAGCATTTTTCAAATCAGAAGCTAGATCGGCAGAAATAGAATCTGGTTGTTTCTCAAAATCTTCAAAGCATCTCCAAAGTAACCTCTTTGCAGAAATTAATGTTTCCCCATCCATTTGACGAAATTTTTCCTTAAAATTAAAAATTTATTTTTTCCTTTAATTCAAAAAATAAACCAAAGCTAAATGACATTTGCTTTCTTTTTTAAACCGCCTTTCATCTGCATTTTTTGGAACAATTTTTGAAGCAATTGTGCACATTGACTCTGCAATTTGTTGTCGTTCTTTTCCATTTGTGAAATTTAATTTAATTAGAAGACTTCGATAACATAAAGCCCAATCATTATTTTTTCTGAAATTAAAATTCTTTAATTTTTATTGAAAAATATTTTAATTCCCATTTTTATTAATAAACAAAAAGGTATTAACGGCACGAATTTTTTCTTGCTATTTCTCTCCAATCATTTTTCTACAAATGTAAAGGTGTAATGTTGTCTTCTAGACTCTGATCGAAGATTTGTTTTCTGTTTTAGAATACTAGCTAGCTCTTTAAATGAAATTTTCGGTTCTGTTTCTGACATCCTAAGATTCTCTTTCTTATACCATTATTCAACATTGACTGTTTTTACGAGTAGAATTTAGAGAAAAAAATTATAAAAGATTTTAACGTTGCAAAATTCATAGCTTCCTCATTTGCTTCTAATCCTTTTTTGTCATAATCATATTCATGAAAATTATCAGAAACGTGTAATTCTAAATAAATGGCAGCAATTAAATTTTGCAATTGGGCCATTCTACAACTCGAATCCCCATCAATTTTTTGATCATTTATTTCGATTGAATGCTCAATTAAATAATTTCGACATCTTTCGGCATATTTCAAGGCCTTAAAATTTAAATTAAAAAATTTTTTAATTAAAAAACCTTTTTGGGAAGTTCACAAGACAAACAAATATGTGCACGTTGATGAAGTGATTGTTGAATAATTGATGGATTTTCTGAAGTATAAGCGAAATCTAGAGATTTGTTTATTTTATCTACAGCAGAATCGAAGTCTCCTAATTTTTAAATAAAATTTAGAGGATTTTTAAGGAGATTTAAAGACAATTTTTAATCCTGCGAATGAAAGGTTTTGTAAGAATACAGAATCGATCGATTCTCGAAAACTGAGATTTCTGTTAGAACTCTTGTTTCGGTATAAATCTTGCCAGTTATAAATCATGTTAAAGATTAATTTTTAATTTTAGAATAAGGGAGATAAGCAAAATTTACTATATTGATGCCAATAAAAGCATATTCGTTTTCAAATTTGTTTCGAACAAAATTTAGATAAATTTCTTTAAATTAATCTTTTAATAAAGATTGACAATTTTCATGTTAAACCCGGGTATTTATAAATTTTAAACTGTTTCAACCAGGGCCGTAACCAGGGAGTAGGAGGCCTTCCGGCTCCAAAAATTGGGCGCGCACCACATAGGAATTTTTATAGAAAATTTAAAAAAACCTTTTTCTATAGCAATTTCTGCAAGATTCCTGTAGGCCAATGAACAATCAACAGAACAACTTTCATCCTCCTTTCCCCACAAAATTACTTCATTATATCGTTTTTCAGATTCATTAATTAAAAGTAAACTGTTTCGAAGATATTCAGCCAATTCCAGACAAATTCCAGTTATTTTTTCTGGGGAAGATTTGTAAACTCTTTTGGCATTTTCTAATTTTTTTAGAAGAGCTGAAAATATTTTTAAGAATTTTTTCAATTAACAAAAAAATTCAAAACTTACAACAATATTCTCTGTCATTGTTTAATTTAACCATAAATAAATTGAGAAAATAAAATTAGTAAAATAAAAAAATTTTTTTTAAATCTGAAAAGAAAAATATTTAAAATAAAATGATTATTTATAGTAAAAAAATAAGTAAGTTTATTTACAAACAATAAATAAAGTTTATTTATGTCTTTTAATGATCATTGATATTTTATTGTTTGAATTAAAAAAGGTGTGAAGATTTTTAAATTGGGAAAAAAGTTTGGGAAGCCAAGCTAGCCGTCTTTATTGTTAATATTTGATAGATGTTGGCTTGAAAAAAAAAGTAAAAGAACGAAGAAGGATGAAAAAATTGTTAATTTTAAAAATTAAGAAATATTGTCGAGACTTTTCTTTGATTTTAATTACAAAATAATTTAAAAGTAAATTAAATGCAAAAATTGGCAAAATGTTTTTATGTCATTTTGTCTTTTTACTGGCGGGGATTTCATTTTATTTTGGGAAGCCGAAGCTAAAAGTTATTTTTTTTTATCGAAAGTTTATTCAATTTACAAAATTAATTTTGTATTTATCTAATAATATTTTTATTGTTTGCAAATTGTGCAAATTGTTTTTTAAATTTAAGGTAATTTAACTTTTTTAGGAAATGTCGCAAGCTGTGCCAGAAATTTTAAGACAAAGATTTATTGAATTAGAAGGAACCTCACAATTCTTAATTCCCTGTACTAACAATGACAAACATTCCCATACAAAATTTGCTAGTGGAGGGTTTCTGCTTTGGAAAGGTTTTTGTTTTTTTTTCTTTAAAAGTTAAAATTCCAATTTATAGGCGTTGAGAGTGGATATTTTTATGTTGTTGAAGTTTCATCGCCTGGTTCTATTCTCATTTTTGACGGGCGCAATAACAAAGCAGAACCGATTTTAGAACATAAATTTGGCAGAACGGCCATTATTATTGACGTTGTTTATTTTCCGGCTGCCAGTGATCGGCCGGGAGTTCTTGTTGCCGTTGCTGACCGTTCGATGGAAAAAGGTGACTATGTGGCTTATATTTCTCTACGTTCGAAGAAGCTCTTAAATTCTTGTTATGTGAATTACCCGATCACGAAGCTTTGTTCAATTGTTGACGGAATGTCCGCTCGTGATGCTTTGCCTAAACTTTCCAAAAATCTTAGAACGGTAATTAAACATTTTTTGGGGTAAAATTTAAAGATTATTGGCCCCTAAAAGCAGCATTAAAATACCTTTAATTTTAGGATTGGCCTCATATTTTTCTTGTTGGCTGCCGGCTTGGTTACGCTGCTCTGCTTTGTATGGATATTACTGGTGATGATCCAGACATGATGTTATTGACTGAAATTTCTGAATCTCCTACAAAAGCGATTCAAACTATGCAACGACCCTCTAGACCGAAGAAATATGTTCATCTTTCAAGTTTGTTTAATTAAAGTTGATTTTTCTCTTTATTACGTTTATTTTTAGAAGTTTTCTATGATGACCAAATGTTCGCATTCCGTTCAGATGATGGAACAAATCGGTGTTATGCACTTGGTTGGAGTTTAAAAAAATATTTATTAACTTCCAATTCAATTTTAGATCGCGTTTTTGTTTCTGCTCTCTATTGGATTGAAAGATCTTGTTTGTTGGTTATTGGATTTAATTTTGGTGGTATAATGGTTGTCTCTTTGAAAACATCAAAAGTTTATTCATTGTTATACGCTGACGCGATGGTTCAACATTTTGCTCATCTAGACCCCGAAGAAGATCCGAGGCCTGTTTATTATATGTGGATTTCTTACAATTCAATGCAATGGTTGTTTTTGGAAATTATTTTAAGTTGATAATTTTAGTGGAAATACTTTGCTTCTTTGCACTGTCAATTTTCCAAAAGATGAGAAGGAAACTAACATTCCAGCTGAATGGACTTTTCTAGAGCCTGTTTTTACGCCTTGTATGAAGGTTTGTAAATTTATTTTTTTATTTTAATATTAATATAGTGGGCTCCTGACAATTGTAATCGTTTGCTGACAATGAGGACGATCTACAGACCAAAGCAGCGATCTACCCAAAATGGTGTAAATCAACGTCCACTTTCTTCATTTTCAAATTCTTTCTCTGAAACACAATCCAAAAATGGTTTTTTTGATAATTTATTTTTTTTGAACATCTATAATTTTAGATACCTCACTTCTCTTCATGGCATGGATACAAAAGACCAGTCGCGATGATGCAACTCTTCATGTAATTTATTTTTCTCAAGATTTATTAAATTAAATTCGCCACATGTTTAATTATAATTTAACTGTAGGGTTCACTTTTCGATTTAAACGCCTTCTATGCAAAACGATGTCTTCCCAAAATTCAACATGATGGGACTATTGCCCGTCAATTGCCTTTTTTTGCAAGATTTACGTCACTTTATGTTGAAAATAAAATCGAATCTGTTGCTAAAAATAATTCTATTTTGGCAAGTTCTTCTTTACTTTTTAAATCACGAGACTTCGATTTCAGGACATATCTGTTTCAAATGTACTCCAATTTGCTCCTCCGGCTTTTATTAACGAAAATACTGACCAATTATATTATTCATCAACTTATCATCTGGATTTTAATTGTTTGACGCCAGTGAGGGTTTTTAAAGCAAAAGTCCGACCAATTCAGACACATTTAATTATTGAACTTTCCTCGAATATTTTTAAATATTTTCAATCTCCTCATTATCCAGCTCAATGGATTTATGCAATTGGATTGGCAAATTCGCAGGCAGCTTCTGACAATTTGGTTTTTTAAAATAATTTTTTTGATATTTTTGATTTTTTTGAAGAATGAGGAACGCGCATGTCTTTTAAGAATTATTGTCCATGCTTTCTTTCCATCAATTCTAACGCTTATTGACTCTGTTAATGACAACATGGATTATTTAAAGTTTATTCAGAAATGGGTGTGGAAAGAGGTTGAAGTGACAAAATTGAAATTTGATGAATTTTGTGAGTTTTTTTATTTATATTTAGTTGATAGAGGGAGGGCAGAATTTTTGGCGCCAAAAATTCGGCACAGAATAATTTTCCCCCTTCCTCCAAAACAAAAGACCTCCCATATTTTAGACTTGCCCCCCCCCCGTAGAAAATAATTGTCATAGCCCCCGTATTTTCGACTATGACAATACATATGACAAATCAACTTTTGTATGTCCATTTTTAGGTGCGCCTTTATTTGACAACCCTCCGCTTGAGGCTTCACCAAGTGTCAGAGGTTTTATTCAACATGCTCGTGTCTTTTTCAAGCGTGCTTCTATTATACTTGAGGCTCTTGATGCTAAAATTTCAAAAATCTCTGGAAAAGGTTTTTAGTTTTTAGAGATTTTAAATTATTTTTATGATTTCTTTAATTTCTAGAAAAGAGTCGAACAATACTCGTCCAAGGAAAAATTGCTAAACAAATTCGTCTTTATTCATCAACAATTGCTTTTGCTCTAGTTTACAATCTCCTTCCTGTGAATAAATTTAATTCGAAGCTTTATGAAGCTGTTAATGATCGTTTCTCTCAATTTTATGAGAAGGCACGACGGAAAGGGTATAATTATTTTTTGTTTCTAAAATTATTTTCCGTGTTTAGAAAAGAACTGAAAATTCATTCATTGCTTGATGAAATTATTAAATCAAATCCAAATGAGGATATTTGGCAAGGAAAATCGGCTAATGGGTGGTATCCTCCTAGAGACTTTAAGGTAAATTATTTTTGGATTATTTTAGGAATGGGATCCCTACAAGGGTGTTGCCAGGGGGCTTTTGAACGTGAACCCTCGATACACAATGAAGGTTAAATAATTTTTCTGATAGATCATACTTTTCTGAAAAAATTTTGGACCCTCCATAGAGTTATTTAACTTACTTTTTTGTTTAATATGTCAATTTTACTTCAAATACATTTTTCATTTTAGTGTTTTCTGCCCATATTGTTGCTTTTAAATGTGACTGAGAAAGCCAAATTAACTATTCTTGGATATTATTGTCTTGATTTGGAGGTTGCGTCATCTGTTTTTGGTTCAGAAGTTCAAGCAAAAGACGGAAATACTCCACCATCGTCATCATTGAATTTTAGAAGATTTTCTCCAACAGAAGAAGATAATTCACATCCATATCAAAATAGAGAATATTTTTCTTTATTTCTTTCGTTTGTTTTGCAAGAAGATTTTTCTTTAGAAGAAATGAACAAAATAAAAAATTTTTGGTTGGAAGACAAAAACCTTCTACAAGTATTTTTCTTAATTCTTTAGTAAAAAAATATTTTCTTATTTAGTCGAAAGCTGTGGTAGCTCAACTGGAAATTGTTCAGGATGATGATCATTTGTATTCTATCAATTCACTTCAAGATATAAAAAAGACTCGAGGTATGATTACATTTCTCAATTGAGAATTTATGTTGTGGTGCTTAGACTTTATTTTAGTTGGGGGAAATTAAATTCTATTCTCTCACTTTTCTGTGTTGGTTTTTCCGAATTTGGTTAACCCTGATTACAAAATCTTAAAAAATTTATAAAATTTTAAAATATGTGAAAATCTCTCGTGTTGATTTCAAGAGTCCAAATAAAATTTAATTCTCACATCTAATTAAATTGAATATAATTTTTTTCAGAGTATTATCTTGCAAAAGAATGGGGCGTTTTCCTCTTTAACAATTTGATGCTTGAACATAGACGTTATAAATTACTTATGGATTTGCCTCCACTTAAAGGAAATGAACCAGAATTTGTTCAAAAATGTTATACTCAATGTATGGAAATTCGTAGACAACTTCCTTCGCTATTTAAGAAGATTGAACCTTTGCCGACTTTTATTATGGAACGATATAAACAAAAAGGTTTTTTGTTTTTTTTTAAATTTATTTTTATATTTTAGTTAAACAAAGTAAAGGCCCGGGCAAAATTTTATTTCCAATGGATCTTCGAGAATCTCAAAGTCAACCAATTTTGCCCCTTCGGTAATAAAATCGTTGAGATTTTAAATATTTTTTTATTTTAGAATCAAACATAGTCCTCTTGTTGATGGTGACAATCTTCCCAAATTTTTTGCCAAATCTGTTGAAGTTACGTCAGTTCTTGGAAAGAGAAGTCTAACAGGCCGTTTCTCTGTTTCTGATGAAGATAATGAACATTTTGAAGAATTACCTTTGACTATTGCTACACCGAGGTATCTTTTATTTAGACTTTATTTTCGGAATGTCTGCCGGCTTATTTTTGGTTTTAAAAATAAAAGTTAACTAAAAAAAATTACTTAAAATTATAATTTTTTTGAGACTTAAATTTTCGGATGGAGAAATTATTTAAGATTTATATTTTAAGAAAACGTCAACGATTATTCCTATTTGATTCATCATTAGGAGGGACTGTAGCTACTCCACTGGCGGAACCTGAAAAGGAGACTGTTAAAACTTCTCCAGTAATTTGTGAAGATTTACAGAAAGGGTATAATTCTTATTAATCTTCGATGTTTTATATTAAAATTTTTTAGTTGTGTCAATGCCAAGGAATGGGACAGAATCTCTAAAATTACACAGACGCCTTTATCTTTGCAAAGAAGTATAAACCAATCAAGGTTGCCAGGACGGAGTAGAATTGGTTCGGCACGTACTGCTCTCTTCCGAGATGATGGGAATAAGCTTGTGGCTCTCCAGAACGATGGGACATTAACTCCAATAAAAGCAAGGGATCAAAATGCAGAGATTTCTCCAGAACCAAATATTGTACGCGCACAACCTCCTTCAATTCTAAAATCTGATAATCGAAAATCACGATTGCCGTCAACCGCAAGATGTTTGTTTTTGTTGTTTAATTTTAATGATTTTACATTCTTAGCCGAGAAACCAAAAATTCGTTTTTCTCAGTCACTCTTTACAACAGAACGTATTCCTTCAAGATTCGAAAAGTTTGTTAAAAAAGTTTATTTGTTGATTAATTTTATAAAATTAAGGGAAACAGAGGAGATGAAAAATACATCATTTACAAATTTCGCCGAATTCTCGCCGACTGACTCATCCCCAACGTCATCTCGATCTGCTGGGCCTGGGACAGACACCAAAAGGGAAACCACTCCAAAAAAGAAAGCAAAGAACAAGACTCCATCTCCCCAGAAAATTTTAAGGCGAAGTCCACGCCGCCATAGGTAAATTATTAAACAAAATTTGATAAATATTTTGTTTTATCATGTAATATTGTGCCCTATCTGTTTTTGACTTAATTTTTGAATAAAATAAATATTTTATTTGGTAATTTTAAATAACTTAAAAACAATGGTTTAATTTTTCCTCTATTAAAATAAAATAATCAGAATTCGGCCGGGTGTCCACCCTCTTGAAATAAATTCTTAAATCCGTCTAAATATTTTTTTCGGCCCGTCCAAACTCTGATTTCTTTTTTCTTTACCTTTTTCAGAATAATTAAATCCTTTTCAATTCCAATGTATTAGACAAAGCCTTCCCAATAAATATTTTTATTTCAACTGTACATGTTGAAAACGTGCCATTTGTTGGAGTAAATGAAAGCGAGAAAAGTGCATAACAATCCTCCAAATTTGTCTCAATTTGAGGGAGACATTCAACACAAACACCAGCTCTGTTTTTGCTAACATAGAGAACTCGACTGGAAGTCCTAAATAATAAATTAAATAAAAATAGCTGCAGAACTTCCCAGATATTGACCCTCCAAAATTTAAAAGACTTACTCATTTGGTGCTTCAATTGCAAGGAGTGTATTAGAGTTTTCATTATATTTTGGTTCCACTTCAGATTTTATTTCCACTAATTGTGTTTCGGAGTTGTCCTTATCTGGGATGAGCAGTTCTAATGAACAATTGGATGTCTAAAATATATTTAACCTCATTATAAAATACATCCGAAATCCAATTAAAGATAATCTTTTGAGAAAGGAAAAGTAAACTATTCTACTTAAACGAGCAATACCTCCTCCAATTTTTAAGGCCCCCAATCCCAACACTATATTCCCCTCAAAATCCACCTCCTTTAAATATGACCCGGCAAGTGTGTCTTATATTGAGATTTGGATAAGAGTTTTTTTTCAAAAAAAATAAAACTAACATCAACACATTTTTCATCATTTTCACATTTTTTTCCAATTAATTTAACTTTAAAAGAATATATTGTGCTGTTATTTATTGCCAAAAAGATGACAGAATTTTGACCAGAAATGAGTTCAACTTGTCGTGAAATTCTAATTTCTGGAAAGAAATCTGATGCGAGTAACTAAAATTAAAAGAAAATTATTTTTTAAACAAATTTAATTTTAATTCCCTTTAATCTTCCCAAAATTGGTCAAAAAATAAACTAAAAATTTTTTTTAATTTTTGGAACTTGATAACGAGTGAATTTTTACTGACTTTTTTTATAAATATTTCTCTCTATTTTCTTAATTGAAAGCTTAATAGAGAGTAAACGCTTGCACTCCTGCCGTTTAAGGGGGCCGCTGTTCTCTGACCATTATGAGACTAATTTTGGTACCAAATTTTGAGCCACCTTGTACTACATATGAAAAACAGGCCCGTAGCCAGGGGGGGTGAGGGGGGGAACTCCCCCCCCTCCCCGAAATGGGAAAAAGGAAAAAATTTGGGGAAGGGCTGGGGCCCCCCTTGCCCCCCCCCCCCCCCCCGAAAAAAAATCCTGGCTACGGGCCTGATGAAAAATAAATGTTAGTAAGGAGGAAAGGACTAATTTTGATTGATAAAGGAGCGAGTAAAATACATTGATTTTATAAAACGTAGGTCCCCTTAAACGGCCCAAAAAATTTCAAAGAAAATCCTTAATGATTTTTCACTAATTTTATTTATTAACAAAAAATTTAAAAACCTGTAATTTAGGCTTAACATCTTTTGGAGAAAATTCCCCTCTATAAATAATATTTTCACATTCAACACATCTTAAAATTCTTCTTGAATTTGTTTTTACATGTAGAGGATGTAATTTCCCTTTTTTGTCAGTAATTAAATGTAAAATTGATTGAGACAAATTCGGGACATTTCCTGGGTCAATTGGTTCGGTCAACAGACTTGGGTCTAATTCTTTAAATTTAAAAAATATTTTATTAACAAATTTCTCAAATTATCCATTCAATACTTAAAATTTAAAGAAAAACATACCGGGAACGTCAGCAGAAGGAGATAACAAAATTAAAGGTTCTTTAGTTTCTGGAATTTTTTCCAACGCTTTTTTACGTAAATTATAAGCTCCTTGAAGGCCATAACGATCATTTTGCAAAATTCCGAGATTTGAAAGTCTGGAAATTTTTTAATTAAAAAAAATTTTAAAATAAAACCTTTTGGTGGTTTGAGCTTTTCGTTCACGGTCACTCTTTTCGTTTTTACTTAATTCTGAAAAAAAGAGAAAAGTTTAGACTTTCTATTTAATTTTAAAAATAATTTCGTCCATGCTTGGACGGGGGAGGATGGGACTTGAAAGCCTATGACCTTTTAGTAAAATTTACCAATTTTTCTAAGTTTACAATTGACAAGTTTTTTAATAAAAAATTTTAGGACGTCAAAAACTTTTATGGATGTAAAAAATAATGAAATTAAAAAAACCTTTAATTAATTCACTAATCCTTCCCAATTCTTTCTCCAAAGGATTTTTAAGTTCTGGCCAAAGTTCTTCATTTGTTCTATTCTCTGGAATATCCAAATCTTTGCTAGTCCATTTACAAGCATTACAATGATGGTGATATTGATCTCCCTGTGAACGTATACCCAAAAGATGACCTTCAAAAAGATTTTTTGATTCTTTTGACAAAAAATTTTTTGACAAAAAATTAAAAAAATTTTTGATTCAAGGAAAATTTTATTTATTTGAGTAAATAAAAACAGAAAAATTTATATTTTAATATTGTTTTAATTAAAAAATATTATAATAATTTAAATTTGTTCCATTTATTTATCCCCCCCCCCTCCGAAATGGGGAAAGGAAAAAATTGGGGTAAAGTGAATCTTGGATAGATTTTTTTACCTTGGATGGATTTAAAGTATGAAGTAAAAATAACCTTTTGTAAATTTCGGCAATCCCGGAGAATCGTGGTCCCTGCGGAAAAAAATCTTAAAAATAAGAAAAAGGATTTTTCTAGGGTAAAAAAATATGCTGATTACGAATCTGAACTCGGATTTTGAAAAAGTCGAATCCCGAACCCGAATATAGGTCCTCGAATATCGAAAAACCATAGGGGGGACCAAGCTGATTTTGAGTAAAAAATTCGAATATGCAAATTATACCTCATTCGAAAGAGCTCTTCAAGCTGAGTCGAATGAATCCAAAATCATCGTGATTGAACAAGATCGGACGAAGTTATACCACAAAAAACCAACAACGTAAGCCTAACAATAAGTTTTTTATGTCATAACTTTGTCCAAACTTGAACAATCAAGCTGATTTTGATGTCATTCGACTCTGCTCGTTGAGCTCTTTCGAATGAGATATTATTTAACCAATTTGCGCTCTGTTTATTATTCGAAATTTTTCCAAAAATGTCAAATGTTCGAATTTCGGGTTCGGGATTCGACTTTTTCAAAATCCGAGTTCAGATTCGTAATCAGCATAATTTTTTACCCTAGAAAAATCCTTTTTCTTATTTTTGAGATTTTTTTCCGCAGGGACCACGATTCTCCGGGATTGCCTAAATTTCTCCTTAATGACCACAAACCCCAAAGAAATAAAAGTGAAAAAATGCGAGGACAAAACTAATTAGTACGCCTTTATCAACTACAAATTCTTAAAACTTTCAATATTTAACAGGTGAGGGCCATAAACCAAAAAAATATAATTAATAAATAAACTAACCACAAACCGGACATTCATAACAATTTTTGCATCTAAACCGTCTTTGTTGATTGTCAATATTTGTAACATTTTCTAAACAATTTGGACAAAAAACAATATCAATTTCTTCAATAACACAAACAGGGCATCCTAATCTTGAACATTTTCGGCAATAATGCATTTGACAAAGTGGGAACCAAGCAGAACAATTACATTTGTATTTAACTAGCCAGGATTGTAATAATGAAGTCATTTTTTGATTTAATCTAAAAATAAATTAAAATATTCAAGTCAGTTTCTGATCGAAATCTCGTCTCGGCCCGGTCTCTAATTTCGACTAAATATAAATAAAAAAGAATGTACAAAAACAGGAAAAAGGGCCAATTTCTATACAAAAGATCGCTTCATTAAAAGATCGTCGCGGCCAAATAGGTCAAAACGTAGGTATAGGCTGAAATTGACAAACTATCGATACAGTATCAACCCCTTGCCCCTATTTCTAGCATTGCTTTGTAAACCTTTCATAAACCTTTCATATCTCGCAATAGACTTGTTATCTCGAGGGCTAACGAACGCTGCACAATTCAATTTTTCAAATTATGGACTTCTATGATGCCACACTACAAATTTCAAACTCTAGATTTACATCTTCACGAATGCCCATACTTTCATACCTGATCGGCCAAACTGCGCTTTTTTGGACCACTATGCAGCCTCGTAGACTAGTATGATCCAAATAGACTGATACTACGAGCGTTTACAATTCAGTGACACCACTACACAAAGAGTCTGGCCTGCTCCCATTTTTCATACTATAAAAAGCGGGTTTTTCCGAAAGGATTACCTACCATCAAATCTTCATTTCTCTTCAAACAACAAAACTTAAAAAACAACACAAAATCCAAGGATGTTCTTCCTGCTCCTTCTTCTAGCTCTGCTGGCTGCTGGATTCTTCATGTTCAGTCAAGGACAAGCTGGAAAGGTGATTGACACTTTACTCTTTTACGTTTAAAGGACGTTTCTATTAATTTTTCTATTTTTTCAGAATGTTGACCCTTTCGAGCCGGAGCCCAGTAGACGCAGAAGCAAACGTTCCAAACGTTCTACCAAAACAGTCGACACCATGGCCTTGCTGGATGAAGACGAGGAGTTGCGAATTGTCGTCGAGGATGAGCGCCCTCTCCCTCTTCATGTTGAGCCTCCTCCAGTCTTTCCGCCTGCTCCAGTTCCGTCTTCTGAAACATCATCTGCCGAGAAAACATCTACATCTGCTGAGCCTCCTCCATCTTCAAAGCCATCTCCTTCAACAGGAACAGAGCCTAAGAAGGATGCCGAAGGTGCGGACAAGAAAAAGCCTGAAAAGACGAAGGAGAAGTCATCGAAAGCGAAGTCAACTTCCAAGCGTGGAGGCCGCAAGGATAGCAAAAGTCCTGCTCCTGCTGCTGGAACACCTGCAAAAGGGGAAAAGACGAAAAAAGGTAGTGTTATTTATTGCTAGTTTGGGGTTTCTAGTAAAAATTTATTATTTTTAGCTAAAGATGCTGATGAAAAGAAGTCTCGTCATAAGGGCAAGTCCACGAGCAAGCGCGGCAGTGATGCTAAGAAGAAAGAGGGAGGCGACAAGTCAAAGGCGGGAACTGGAAAGCCGGCTGCTGAAACTACTCCTGGCGAGACCAAGAAGGGCGGAAGCAAACGCAGCAAGCATTCAGGAAAATCCAAGGAGAAGACAAAGAAGGCAGAAGGAGGAACTCCGGCTGAAACACCCAAAAAAGGAGATGATAAGAAGAAAAAGGAAGCTGCTGACAAAAAGAAAGGTAAACCAAAATTAATTTTCGAGTAAAGCTCATTAAAATTCTAGGTGCAACTGAAGGTGGAGGGGAGAAAGGAAAGAAGGCAAGCAAGCGCAAGAGCCACCGGGACAAAGGAAAGGATACAGCTGCTACAAAGTCAACATCAAGTACGGCTGTTCAGTCTAAGGCTGGTGATGGTACAAAGACCGCTATCGACACCGGACCCGCAGGCAAGAAGGAAGACAAGAAAAGTAAGAAACCTTTTGATCTAAACCTTCTAATGTTTTCATTTTAGAAGGAAGCCAGCGCAGCGCTCGGACCAAAAGTGAGACGAAGGCTTCTGGGAGCAAAAGGACCACAGGCGGGACTAAGTCTTCGAGCAAAAGGACTCCGAACAAAGGAAAGGAGGCAGCTGCTACAAAGTCAACATCAAGTACGGCTGTTCAATCGAAGGCTGGTGATGGCACAAAGACCGCTATCGTCGACACTGGTCCTCCTGCAGGCAAGAAGGAAGACAAGAAAAGTAAGGAATCCATCTGTTTAATTTTCTTAAAATAATGTTCTCATTTTAGAGGGAAGCCAGCGCAGCGCTCGGACCAAAAGTGAGACGAAGGCTTCTGGGAGCAAAAGGACCACAAGCGGGACGAAGGCTTCTGGGAGCAAGAGGACCACAAGCGGAACAAAAGTCGGGCACAGCAAGCGCAAAAGTGGAGTCAAGTCGTCTAAAAGGGAAGGATCAAAAGCTGAAGGGCCATCTAAGGAAACTGAGAAGAGTGCTGTTGAACCGAAGAAAGAAGACGTGCAGGCTCCTGCGGCGCCGGTTGCTGAGACTACCAAAAAGCCAGAAGAAAAGAAGGAAGAAGTAAAGGCTATCACCACCAAGCCTGAAGAAGCGGCTGTGCCCAAGAAGGAAGAAAAGGACCAGCAAGCGAAGACAGAAGGAAGCACTCCTGCGCCATTGGCTCCGACTACTGCTGCTCCAACCGAGAAAGCCACGGAAGGACAACCGCCAACTGCTGCACCACCACCAGCGCCTCTTCCTGCTCTAAATCTTGGAACGATGAGTGGATTGTATGAGAACGTGTCTGCTGGCCTTCCTGATACTCCTCCTCCCCCTCAAAATCCTTAAATTGCACCTTTTGTTGTATATTTTCTTTTGTCCCCCTTCTATACTCAATGTTGTGTGTTGTATATATTATTGTTAGGCTATACACCTACATAGGTATTTGTGTGTTATAATTCCTTAGCTCAGATATATGTATTTTGATTGAATTGTAATATTGTGATGTGTATTGTGATATGTATTGTACCTATTTATGTATTGTACATATTGAATATTTTTGTGTATATAAAATGTAGTATTTTGCGGTTTATCAAATTTTTTTGGAGAAAATTTAAAATTTCTAAAATATTGCCTAAATTATTCTGATAATTTTACTCACTGCCCAAGTTGCCTACTGTACTTATACAAGTTCCACGCTACTTCGTTAAACCCCCTTGATCCCACCAAATCCTCTGATATCCTTGATAATCCCTTGTATCTCCGATATCTCTCCAAATCATTACCCATCCAACTTACATGTATCTCAAAATCGAGTAGGACTCGCTGACTTATAGAATACTTCAATTTTTAACTGAAAAATGGCTACTACTTAATTAAAAAAATTTTTTTCTCCAATTTTGCGTTCTTGCATTTTGCGTTTTTTGAGATTGTCTCTTGCGCCCACCCCTGTGTAGTATATAAAAATTAGTTCTAGCCCTGATCCAATCCAAATTTATTTCCCCCATTGAAAAATAAATTTTGTTATTAAAAATTAACTTTTTTACTACTTTTTCGTAATAAAAAAATTAGGAGAACTTTGATTATTAAAAGTATCGAGAAGATCACATTTAAAAAGGTCAAAAAATTGATGAGGGAAAATATTTTACAGTTAAAATGGTATAGAAAAATTAAAACTTTTAAATAATAATTTTGGTTGGAATTCTCTAGGGTGGCTAGGATTGGCGAGGGTGCTAGTGATTTTCCTAGTTGGTGAACCTAGGAAATCTTTAATCTTTAAATTAAATCTTATACATCTTTCACCTTGTATACAGCAACACTATTAGCAAGGATTTCAAGATTCCAGGATCAGCGTTTCCGGAATTAGTTTATGAAAATGTGGAACTGTCAAAAAATCTAAAACCCCTGTGAACCGAAAACATTCGAATAATTTGAACATCCCTTCCTATTATTGACTTAATAATTGTTGATCATTTGGGGTAATCAAAATATTTTTTTGCCCTTTATAAAAAACATTGAGCGACTTACCACTTTGTTTAGTTTTTTGTCCTCCTTTTTTCTCTCATTTTTTTCTATTCTCTCTCTATGTACTTTTGTTTTTTTTCATTCGTTCGCTATATATTTTTGCAATGTCTTATCTACCAACCGAAAAAAAATAAAAAATAGCGAGCGGGTGGAAAAAAATTTTTTTGGGGGAAAGAAAAGGGTTGTTGGTTGTTGTAAAAAAAAGGAGAAGAGAGGAGGAGGAAAGCAATCGGAGAAGGGGGGGGGAGGGGAAGAGGAAGGATGGGTGGAAGGACGCCGGCAATAAAAAATAAGAAAAATGTAGGGGGATGGACGAAAAAAATATAGTCGAGTCATTTTTTCACTCATCGATCTCTTCGCTCTCTTATTTTTTTATTCTTTTTTTTACTCTAAAAACGCGCCAGCTCTAGGCGTCCACCACCCTTTTTTTCTTCACTTTTTTACTGACAGCCAGACTTTTCGGCGCGGCTTTTTTGGCGTTAGGGAATTTTTAATCTAGAACTTTTTTTTGTTCTAGACCAATTTAAATAAGTAATATACCAATCGAAAGCACTTGATTTGTTGATTCTTTTTTCTGTTGGGGTCATCTTAATCCGATCACTTATTAAAAAGTTATCCTTCATTAACTGCCAAAAATCTCGATTCTCGTCATATCTTTGTCTCTAACTTTTTATTGTTTGGGCAAATTTATTAGATTTTTTAGTTAAAAGATTGGGCTTTTCCAAAGCTTTAATTTCATATAAAAATTATTAAAATCGCTTGTTAAACAAAAATATTCTTAACCAAAAACACTTTCTACGCCAAAATCTCGCGCCTAAACGTCCCCTCCCTGACAGCCCCACAACTCCCTGCCATCCCCCAATTTTTTTCTTTCCCCTCCCATCGTCGTTTTTTTATTCTTCCACCATTCTTCATTTTTTGTATAACACAACACAATTCTCTATACCTCCTCTCGTCTTCATCTCTTCCCTCCTCTTTAAATTTAAAAAAAAAATATTATTTTTTTTTCTTCACATTCTCTTCTTTTTTTTGTTTAGATTTTTAGTGTTCAACTAAAAACTTTAAAACTTTTAATTTTTATTTTGATATTTTTTGGTTGTTTTATTTTTCTTTTTTTTGAACGAGTTTTTTTTAATTTAAAAATGCCATTTATTTATTTTTTGACTAAAAATGCGCAACACTTTTTGACAGATTTTTTCTTTAAATTTTTGTCTACATATTGATAATGATTGACTGATTGAGTGTTGGGAATTATTTAAAAATGTAAAAATGTTTTTATTTTTAACGTAAAAGAAAATAAAAATAAAAAATAAATATTTACTAAAAAACATTTAAATATTTTGATGATTTAGTAAAAGTTTTTAAGTTTGTTTTTATTGTAGCAACAGTAATAACTTTTCTAGTTAAGTTGGTAATGTCTTGACTACTGTAAAAATTGTTATGGTTCGAATCCTTTTAGCTCCTGTAATTTTTAAAATTTAAAAATGTTTCTTTAATAAACAGAAAATTTGTTTTATTTTGCGGTGGGCCTTTTTTATTTTATTTTTTGGATGTTTAAATACAAATATTTTTAAATTCTTGAATATTTACAAAAATTATTTTATAAAAATATGCATACATTTAATTTTTTATATTTTATTTTTTTTTTCAGCATCCGTCCCTTCGTATAAACACATTTTTCCTTGGATAAATATATATGTGAGGTAATGATATTTTTAATTTAATTATTTAATTTTTAAAACAAAAATAAATTTAAATCAAAAGTTTTTTTAAAATTTGTTTTCTTATAATTACAGTGTATTGAGAAATTATAACTCCATTTCTATTTTTCAGTTTTTATTGAGTTCGGTTGTCAAATTAAATTTTAGGAAATTTATAGACATTATGCTTCTAAAATATTGAAAAAAATTTTTACTCATTCGACATCGAAATTTTTTTCAAAAATGGGTGTTAAGAAATTATAACCTTAACCCTCAACAAGGGTTAGTTATTCTTGGGAAATCTTCGGATATTCGGAATCGAGACTGAAATTGTTATTAACCAACTTACGCCAACCTTCAAAGGTACGGGAATATGCAGAGAAGATACTTCCAAAGGGGTCTGGGGAATTCCTGCTATTATCAAAATCTAAACGGGGGATCTCGAATATCTAGACTTTTTTCTGTTCCGGATATCCGGAACCGCCAATTAGCCTCAACTGTAAAATAACTCGATAATCTAAATTTAAAATACATTTTCCAAATTGTCAAATGGGTGGGAGAACCTCTTCCAAGCTATATCCCCTATTCAAGATACTCCTCATTTTAAAACAAATTTTCATCCCCAAAAGCGTATTTTATAGTGAAGACTATATTTGGATATTTTTATTTATCCTGTCTTTATAAAAAATAGTTTTTACGTTTTTTGTAAAAAAATAAATTAATTATTTACTACTATATTCTTCCCTTAAAAACACATTTATTTATTTATTCTCCCAAATGGACATTGTCCACTCTTTTCTACCAAAAAATATTAAAAAAAAGCAAGGCACCAGCAGGCACAAAAATACCCTTTTTACATTTCTCATAACATTCATTTTTATATTTTTAGCTCTGTTGTTTTTTATTGACCTTTTGAGAGGAAAAAAATTATATATTAATAAAAATTATTTTTGGAAATTTTTTTCTATTTATGTAGGTCTTTTAAGTATTAATATTTTCTTATCTTCACGTCTTTGATTTTTTAACAGAGATTTTCAAATTTCGTTGTTTCTTCTTTTAGTTAATTTAATTTTGAACAAATTTTAATTTTTTAAATTTATTTTCACGCCCTCATGTCTTTAATGACAGAATCTATTACGTTTCTTCTTCTAAAGTCGAAAAAATTAGGTCCGAGGGAAACCCAAGATTGGACATCTCTCATCATCGGATAATATTCATACCCCAAAAAATAAATTATAGGACCGGAATAAGTTAGAAAAAGGGGCTAAAATATAGGTGAAATCCAGGTGGATTTTATATTTTTAGAGAAGTCTTCAATAAGGAGTTATTTTCTAAATTAATTTGAAAATAAATATTTAGGTAGGTAACTTTAAAAATTTTTTTTTAATTTCTCTTTCTTATTATTTTTTTATTTAATTTTTATATTATTTATATTATTTGTATTAGAGAGAGGAAGTGTTTTGTTTTGTTCAAAAGTACTTTATATATTTTTGTTTGCGCCATAGCTATTATTATATATTTATAGTCGAGAATTTTGTTTTTGCTTTGTGGTTGTTTTCGTGTTCCAATTTACAGCCTGCCCGACTGCTTTTGCTTTTTATACTGGTCATCGGTCAAGCGAGAAAGAAGAAAAGAATTGGGTCGGTGGTACACATTTTTCCTTCAAAACATTTCTTTCCTTTAAAGACGTTACGGCGCTGACTTTTTTTGGCGTGGAATTTTTTCGAAGCTATGAAATCTTTTATTAAATAAATTCTCTTTATTTAGAGCATTAATCGAAATTTGGAAATTTATTTTTACAATTTATGAGGTTATGTAGATATTGTAAACAGTAAAGGTTTAGATTCCTTTGTCTAAATGCTTGAGAACTTTTTGGTGCGTTTCATGGTTTTTTGATGATTTTCGTTCATTGTTTTTTTCTTTTCTTCTGTGGCTAACTTTTGTCTTATTTGTTAGTGCATCTTTATTCTAGATTATTGGCCCCTAAAAAATTTTTTGAAGTCAGAGTTTTTTTCCTTTTTTGTTCATCTACAATATTCGAATATGCTCACATCAACTATTTATTCGATTTATACTTATATCATCCTGCTAGATTAACTAACTTGAAGAAAAATCTAAACTTTTCTTTGATTTTCCAACGATAATTTCCAGACACCTAACCAAAACTATTGAGAAGTTTTCTTTAAGATTTCAAGTTTATAGGTGCTTATTTGACAATTTTAGAGAGAATTTTTCGTTCCTTCGAAGAGGGAGAAAAAGACTTCCCGCGCCGAAATGCCCCATCTCATTCCTTTCTGTTGTTTTCTTCCTTTCTGTTTTCTGTTCGTTTTTCTTCTTTTCTACGATTATTTATGCGTTGTCCACTTCCCGCGGGGTGACAGCCAGTGCCTTAGCAGTTGTCTAACATTTTTATTTTTTCTCTTTTATTTTTCCCCCTAAAATGACTGGTCACTCGCTTTTTCTTCTTTTAATGGTCAGTCAACGCAAAAAGCTGAAGAAGTAGAAAAATATATTTGTGACAAAAACAAAAATACGGAAAAGTGCCGGGAGTGAAAATAAGAGAAAAAAGAAGAAGTGAGAGAGTGTGTGGGTAGAGAAAAAAAAAGAAAAAGAAAAGGTGAACACAAACAGAAATACATAAAATAACAAAAATGCGTCAGCCGAGTAGCGGATAAAGTAGAAGAAGAAGAAGAGAAGGAAGAGTGAGAGAAGAGACTTTTTCTTTTTGAATTTTTGCTGCACTCTCGGACGGGATTCGAAAAACAGAAAAAAGAAAAGAGCTAGTAGTAGAGAGTTTTTTCTGTCGGCAGACTGACAGTGCTAGGAACGCTGACTAACAAATAATAAATAAGAAAAGATATATCTGTATGATGGCCGAGAAAAAGGTTAAAAATAGTAAAAAGAAGAAAAAGTGACCACCAGAAAATAAAAAAAAAGGAAAAATGTTTTGGCAGGCAAATAATTTTTGCTCCACCCCTTTTTTCTATTCATTAGGTTGTTCTTATGTATTTTCTGATATTTATTTTTGTTATTCCGGTTGGAGAGAAAATGAAACAAATTTTTATTTTATTCTTTTGGAAAATAAAAATCTCGGCATCCCAAAATTATTTTATTTTTAGAAAATTTTTCAAGAATTTTTTTTAATTTTGGAAGTTCTGATAATCTATAGGGGGATTGACTTTATAGTAGAGTTGACGGATCCGGCTCCGAGATGGACCAGAAATATCTGGAATTTTCGGTTCGGATCCTACCAATGTTAAGTATTTAAAAAAATTTCAATTTCAGTTTTCAAATCATAAAAGTTCTGATCCGGATATCCGGGCATTTCCCAGGAACAGCCAACCAATATCTTAAGGTTATTTATTGGGGGTAGTGTACTTAAGTTTCGACTAATTTAAATAAATTATTTTAAAAAAACAATTAAAGACAATTTTTAATTAAAAAATAAAACATTAAACACATCTGCCAAAATATTTTTTTAATATTTTATTAACACAAAAGTGCAACCTTTTTTCTCATGCTTTCTCCCTTTCTCTTTCTCTGCACTACCTCTTCTTTCTATGTTCTCTCTCTTCTTTTTTAAAGCTTTTAAGAAACAACTTTTAAGAAACAATTTTGTTAAAGAAAACAACTGGCTGAAAAATAAAAAGGCATTACTGGGAATTTAGAGAAAAAGGTATATAATAGAAGCAAAAAAGACGTTAATTTTTCTTAAAAAATTTTTTTTCTGTTAAAAATTTATATTTTTAAATTTTATATTTTCGATATAACGTAAATGTCCTAATATAAGCCTCGGGATTATATTTTTCAGTACCCGAGTGTCCTTCTATTTGGGCATGGTCTTCTATTAGGATATTTACGGTACCTATATTTTTATTTACTTTCTCAAATCTAACCTCACTCTATAAGATACCCATTTGGGGCTAAAAATTTATATCTAATAAGAAGGTGTATCTTAAATAAGGGATATCGTTTAGAAAACTCTCTCACAACAGAGTTTAAAGGACGGACCTTTTTCAGTTTATCGTCCGGTCAACTTTATGGGATCAACCAAAATATCTTATGAATTAAAAATATTTTTTTACAAAATTAAAAAATAAAATTAATAAATTTATTTATTTTCTATAGAAAACAACAAAAAAGTCAAAAACAAATTTATTTTTAATTAAATATATTCCTCTAGACAACACAAAATATGATAATTAAAATTTAATTGCCAAAAAACACCTTCCTCTTTTCTTCTATTTTTCTTTCCATTAAATGATAGCTAGGCCAACACCTGTCACCGCTACAGACTTGAGTGTTGTAGGGACTACAACAAATCCACAAAATTTGCCACACAATATTGTCGGTACTTCTGTTGATTTAGAGGATTCTCTACAACAAACCAACCAATCGCCACAACAAAAGACTAGCCGAACATTTTTTAGACCTCCGGGATTGGGGCCGGACAGTGGGGGAGAATGTCCAGAAGATGTTAAAGTGTGCCCCCATTGCGGGTTTAGTTGCGGTTCTCAGTGAGTTTTTTCGGATTCTAGAAATATGTAATTTATTGCGTTGTCCAGTTTTTTACACTTGCGGATAGCGGCTGTAGATTTACCAAAAAAAATTCTTTCACTCTATGAAAATCTTAAAAATCGTCTACGGCGCTATGCTAAGTCTTGGAATAACCTTTATACATGTCCAAAAGCGAGAATTTTTCGAGTTTCAAGTTGTTAAGATTTTTCTATTTTGTAAACCAGTTATTAAAAAATAATTTTTAACCCATATTTTTAAAAAAATCCAAAAAAATTTTTTTCAATTACAGATTCCACTACAATTCGCATATGAATACACATACAATCCAACAATGTGTTATTTGTGATTTCCAATCGAGAACACAAGGGAGACTTAAAAAACATATACAACAAAATCACACAGCAGAGGAAAGATTAGCTGCTGGAATATCAAATACACCAACAACAACAAAAAATAATAATAATTCAAATTCAAATATTCCTCCAACTCCCCCAACACCAACACAAACATCTAGTAATAATTCACCTCCAATGAATAGTGAAAAAGTTGGAAACAATGAAGTTTCAAATAGGTAAGTAGATTTTCTTTTAAACTCATAAAGGGTTGATAGGAGAGAATAAAAGAAAAGTCCTAACAGACAAAGCCAGGGGCTTTGCCTTAGATAGCTTGAAACCAGCAAATATTGCGGCCGCACTAATTAAGTTTTTAGGTAGAGATTTGGACGAGTTCCCGACATAATCCTCCGTTTTCAAATTCTGTATTTTCTGCCTTATTTTTTATTTACATAACGCCAATAATTATTAAAATACAAATTTTTGAAAAATATTGTGAAGCGAGTTCTTAATTTACTACAATCTATTCACTATTTTTGTCCATTTTATTGGCATAATTTCTTGTTATATACTAAACCTTCCATATTTTTACTAATAATTTTTAATAAACTTTAAGTAAAACATTAATGGAAACAAATAAATTAGAAACATTACAATCAATACTTAATAACAACAACAATTCTTCAACACAACAACAACAACAATTTTCAAATTCCACAGATGCTCTATTAAAAATCTGCACAGAAGCTATTTCAAATAATGGACCAAATGAAAAATCTTTTAATTCTCCACAAATTGGAGATTTGGGCCCGACTGCCTTTGACCAATTTAGAGCTTTGGCAGAAAGACAAGCAGCTAATTTATTGGCTACATCTACTGCTAATTCACTTGGATTTGTTGTTGGGGATGTTGTGGATCAAGAAATGGTGGGCAAATTATTTATCTTTAAGCCTTGATTTAAATAAAGAAAATGAATTTTTCTATTACATTCTTATATTTTTTAGAATTATGTATGCTAAGAGAATTTCAAATCATTTGAAATTCTCTCAAATTTGTATGGCCACTTTTTATCCATATTTTTGGAGTCATGTATGAAAGCTTATTCATTTTTAGAAAAATTAAAAAAAATTTTTCTTGATTAGGGATAGCGTGAAATTTAATAAAGAAATCGAGAATCGTTTTTTGAAAAACTTTATTCTTATAGTTATCCTAACCGCTTTCTCTTTTATGTTCGAACTATTTTCTAACGATTTTTGTACAAGGTGCGGCAAATTGTGTGTGTTAGTGCTAAAGTGTTGGGACTAAAGCAAAAAAAGAATTATCAATTTTCATTAATTTTGAAGAAAGTTATGACAAAAAGAAAAAGTGGGATAAATTTGCCGTACCCTTATTAATTTTAAATATATTTTCCTGATAGGAATTTTGAAAAAGGAATTATTATTTTTAAAGATATTTTTTGTAGGATGACGGAGGTGGAATATCACTAGAAGAATATCATCACCAAAATAATAATAATAATGGAATATCCTCAAAACAACCAGAAACTTCTTCTAGAAGAGCAGGAAAACCAAAGCAATATAAATGTAAACAATGTCCACATTTAAGTCATTCAAAAAAAGAACAATGGGCACATGCACGTTTACACATTCCTAAACAAAAACAATTATGTTGTGATATTTGTGATTTTGTTACTGAATATAAGCATCATCTTGAATATCATTATAGAAATCATAATGGACAAAAGCCTTTTAAATGCTCTACTTGTGCTTATAGTAAGAAAAAGAGAGAATTTTTTAAATTTTCCTTAATTTTCCTTCTATTTTAATCCTCAATTAGGGTTTAACCAAATTCGTGGATAAAAGAAAATGTTTTTTGTTTCCCTCACAACCCCTCTCCCCTATACTTTTAATAAATTCAATTTTTAAAACTTCAAAAAGCTTCTAAGAATTTATTTTTCTAAATTTCTAGCTTGTGTAAACAAATCAATGCTCAATTCACATATGAAGTCTCATACTCCTAATTTTCAACATAAGTGCCGAGACTGTACTTATCAAACCAAATATGGTCACAGCCTTAAAGTAATATTTTTTACTTATATAGTATGAGAGAGACTTCGATCTCTCTCAATCAGGGATTTATTTTTATTTCTATAACTTACCTCTATTAGATAAACCCAAAATTTCTATTAATTTTTTTAGATGCATTTGAGGAAATATAACCACAAATGTGTGCCTGGGTCTGGTGGAGAATTTTTTGACAGTAGTGACAGTCATGGAGAAGGTGCTGTTACACCAGTGATTGGAGGTATTTTAAATTAAAAAATTTTGATGACATTTCATCCCAATTTTTAGATCGCCCAGAAAATGCTTCAAGTTCTTCAGCTAGCAAAGAAGAGTCCTTTGAAATTGCAAGTCATGCAAATTATCTGGCTAAAGCTGATGACTTGACATTATTAAAATCTCCTTCAACCCCAAATAATGATTTGGTTGTACAGCCTTTAGTTAATAATAATCAAGAATTAGACTTGGCTTCTCAACACCATTTTATTTTACAACAACAGGTGGCTTTAAAAGACCTGTGAAATTTTGAGGGGAGGGAGTCTCTTTAGATTTTTGTTTATTTCAGAAAAATGTTTTTTCAACTAGTAATTCCTAAATGAGTTGTTAGTTCAACCAAAGCTGAAATATTTTCGAAATTTTTTAGATCTCCTCTGATGCTTTAAAATCGTACTTTATAATAAGATGTACTTTAGATAGGTTCTTCTTAAACAGCTCACCTGCCCTTTGATTAATTGAGGAATATCAAGTTTTTGGGGCTTTAAAATGAGGCCCGACTGGATGTAGTGTATTTTCCTAGTTCTTAAATTATTTCAAAAAATTATTTTTAATAAAAAAATTTCAGATAGAACAAATGCATGAATTAATTTGTAATGCAGTAGTTAATTGCCCTCATTGCAATTTTAGTACAGGAAATATTGATGAAATGAATCAACATTTATTTTTACATTTAATAGCTACACATCAACAACTGCCTTCTCAACAAATTGGAAATGAACAGGAAGCACTTGCTTCTATTTATCATAGACTTACTAGTAAATTAATTAATTAAAAATTGTTTTTGAGTGTTTTACCCCAAGTTTTAGGGACAGTCTAATTTTTCCCTTTTCAATTCTAAAATTAATTTTATTTATTTAAAGCCCAACTTCATCAAGAATTAGCCCCTCCTCCATCAGATACTCCATCTTCTACTCTTCTTAGCCAAGAATTGCCAGCCGCCGCTGCTGCCTTACAAATATGCCCAAATGAAGAAGAAAACAAAAATAATATTTTGGAAGAAAAGGAAGAAGAAGGAAGGGAAAATGAAGAAGAGGAAAATCAAAGCAAACAATTAAATAACAACAAACAAACAACAAATATGGATAGTTCTTCTGTAAAGACTCCACCTTGTAATAATAATGAATTGTTTGAATGTGGGGAGGAGGAGGGGGATGTTTTGGTTGGTTTTTTATTTAAAATTTAAACATTCTCTCCTCTTCTTTTTTTAGACAAACCAACAAAATTCTGAAGAAGGAATAATTACTCCTATTGCCAAACCAATTCCCTCCTCATTATTTTCCCCTTCTACAACAACCACAACTTTTTCTCTTCATCAAAATGATATTTTATCTAATTTGGGTGCTTCTTTAACCCCAACAAGTGTTCTTAATGATGGACAAAAATTGTTATTAAATTGTGTTGAATCTAAAGTTGGTCTTGTTAATGTTTTTAAAATATTTTGTTTTTTAGTCTAATAATAACGACAACAATTCTTCTTTACCTTTTTATTGCCAACAATGTGACATTGCCTTTAGAGACGCGTAAATAAATTTTTTAATTTAAAAATTCAAAAAAAAATTTTCAGAGTTCTCTACCAATTACATTGTGGTTATCATTCCATCGAAAACCCTTTTAAATGTAATCGTTGTGGACAGACCTCAAATACTGCTCTAGAATTTAATTTGCACCTTTATCAGGCAAAACATGAGTAAATAAAAAATAAAATTATTTTTTAAAAAATATTTTCTCTTGTCAATTTTTTCTGGACCTAATTTTAAATATTTTTTGAGTAGAACAGAAAACTAAGAAGACCTTATTTTCTCGATTAATTCCCCCGTGAAATTAATATTTCAACCCTCCTCCCTCCGATCTGTCGATTGGGGGAATTATTCGATTTTTGAAATTTTAAATGAAGTAGGAGGGTTTTTGGGGTAGAGCCCGGACCGATACGATTTTTTATCGATATTTATCGAAAAAATAACGATCGATCCCTCCGTCCGGACTCTAATTTGGGGAGAGGGGATTGGGAATCGAAATTGGGAAATTTTTGATTGAGGTTAATTAATCGAGAAACTACGATGGATTAGTTTCTGTTAAATATATTAAGAATTTATTTCACTTTTGACTTCAAAAATCTTCAATAAAAATTATTTTTTTCTCTCCAAAAATTAAAAGAAGAAAATTTTCTGTAAAATTAATTTTAAATTTAAAAAATTTAATTTTTCTTCTTTTATTTTCGATTAATTATTTTTTTACCGGTTTATCATTTATTGTCTTTCTCAGGGAATTGTATCGTTGTTGATACCGGAAAAATGCCTGTTTAAATTAAAAATAAATTATTTTTTGTTTTTGTTTATTTTGCTCTTTTTTGAGCTCTCAAATATTTTTTAAAATTTTTTCGCTCATTTCTTTTACTTTTTTAAAATAAAAACAATTGATCTTGGGGATAATACTCTTCCCTAGAGCTTCGCCGGAAGTTCCGGTTCCAGTAGGCCGGAAGTTTTTTTGGTTCCGGTTTGTTTGTAAAGTTCCGGTTCCGGTCCTTAGCACTCCTAAGGATTGATTTCTCATTCCGGCCAAATTTGCGGTTCCGGCGAAGCACTACTCTTTCCCCAAAGAAAAATCTGAATTCCTTGAACTTCAATTGTTTTTTTTTTAAATTGCCCCAACTAATTTTAAAAATCAGAAAAAAATATTTTTATTTAAAAAAATCGGAATACAAAATTTACTAAAGTATTTCTCTAAAACAATTAAACAAATTTATATATTTAAATATACATATACAATTAAATTAAATTAAAAAAATTTCATTTCTTTCAAATTTAAATAACAACAACCTTTTCTCTACCTTAATTTTCATTATTTCTTTTTCCCCATTTTTTTCATTCAAATTATTTTATTTTTTACAACCGTTCTACACTCAATTATTAAAAATATCATCCACAACCGTTATCTACCTGAATACTTTTTTTTAATTTTATTTTTTTAAAATTAATTTCTGGTCAGTTCAAAATATTTAGAAATAAATTAGAAATGCCCCATTTTTCTTAAAAAATAAAAATTATAGGAAAATAAATATTTTGAACTGATTTTTACAATTTTTCCAAAAATTTTATGTCGCAAAAAATAAAAATTAATTTTAAATTGTCTGATAACACTTTTTTAAATTTTATATATGTAATTCTCAATTTTTAATTATAAACTGTTAATTATTAAAATAAAATTCTTTTTTTTTAATTTTTAAATATTAGGGTTGTCCCATTTAACGTCATTCCTCCAACACAACTATTTCATGAACGATTAACTTATTTTTTAAAAAACAAGTTAACAATAGGTTAACAATACAATAGGGTAACAATAGGATCTAATATTGATAAATGGATTGTAAATAAATTTTTGTATATTAAGTAGTTATTGTTTTTCATTTGAATAAAGTAAATTTGAATTGTTTCAGTATTTCCTAAATGATTAGGAACCGAGCTGTTTTAAGCAAAAATATCCTTGTGTTTTTTACACTTAACTTTTATCCCTCCACTTAATAAACTGGCTGGTGAATTAGTTCGGAAACGGGTCCACGCGCATAGTTTGAAGACCTATGTATTACAGCAGTGCTGTTTCAAGTGATCTTTCAAACCGTATTTTAAAAGGTCGAAAGTGATAACAGAAGAATCAAAAAAGATGGAATTCGGCGGAGAACGGAAAAAATTGTTAAGTGAACAAAGATATCTCTGCTGCCCTACTGAAGGCCTTTCCCTTATTGATAATTAAAACAATTTTGGGTTCAAGCGCACTCGCTTTTCGGCGCCGCAAGCAAAAATTTTTTATTTTTCAAGTGAACAAAAAGCCGAAAGCAATTTATATACAATATAAACAATCAACAATTTACATACATACAATATTCTATATACAATCACAAATATTTAGAGAACATATGTATATCTACATTATTATTAGCATCCTTCATTATTAGCATTTGATCCTGTTTGAAGCATCGAAGACGTCATTGTGAGAGAGCAGAATCAGAGCTGGTCGTTTCTGTTCTGAAGAGCGAGACGCCTTCCCCAGTGACAGGCCAAGTCTTAAAAAAATAATTTTTTTCTTCAAAAAAAAAATTTTCAAAAAAATTTCCGCACCATACGGTCGATTATCCACCAAGTAGTAGTTTCCGCCTTCCAGTGGACGAGAGCATCCTTCACATCGAAAGCATTGCGGGTGCCAGTAGTTGTCCAAAGCGAAGTAGACCTCTCCAGCCAGGACCTGTTGGCAAGTCTCGAGGGCACATCTTGGATTGCGGCGATTAGCATGGCATTCCAGGCAGTAGGGACGGTTCTCGAACAACTAAAAAAACTTTTGTTTATTGAAAATTCAAATCAAATTTGAATTATCTCTTGCCTGATAGTTGGAATCCAATTGACGGCGGCAATCATTGTTGGCGCAACGGAAGTGTTCACGATGCCTGCAAAATGAGAAAAAAAAATATTTTTTGACCAAAAAAAAACAAAATGAGAAACATACCAAAGCTGCCCCTGAGCGAAGATTGTAGGCTGGTTTCCGACCTCCGCCCTGCATTCGGGACAAGTTGCGCGCGAAGCCTGAGCCATTTGATAGTTGACAAGGCTTTGGTGATCAGTGGTGAATGTAGAGGAGTGATTAATTTAGTGGGTAGGGAAGTAGGCTTTTTATAGTAAATTTAGTTGGATCTCCACTTTGCGAGTAAAGGTTTTTTAGATGCCGTTAATATGAGCAGTCGTCATGTGTGTAGCAAAGGCGAAAGACGGTCCTGATAGACATCCCTGATCAGAAGCAATATTTTGCAAATCTTTCTTCTTATGAAAGAAATTTTTATGTTTTCATAAAGTTGTACTATAAAAACAAATAAATAAACTTTTCAAGTTTTAGTTCTTCAATACAAGCTTAAACTTCTCTTTTTACATTACAACAGAACAGAGCGGAATGGTGCCTCCTATTGCGATTGTTTTTATGACTCTTTTCCTAGTGTACGTTTCTTTAATATTTTTTCAAAAAAAAATTTTTTCTTTTTTCAGAATTTGCATTGTTGCAGTGTTTGTCTATTTATGCTACCGCAGATATATGAATGGCGAGAAAACAATTTTGGTGAACACAGAGTTGACGTTAAGTTCAGAAGGAGTGAACAATGGATGAGGGGAATATGAAGAAAAAAGAAAAGATATATATTGTTCTATGCCGATATTTTATTATTTGGATTGTAATTAAAACTTTTATTTTTGTATGTATTTGTTTGTAGCTTATTTGGGTGATAAAATTCGGGAAGATTACGCTGATACCTAAAAGGGGAGGAAAGTTTGGATTTTTGACTTGAGTCATACAACATGGGTTAAAAAGTCCATCCCTGATAAATATTTCTTTAAGTACCTCCGTACTTAAGAAATTGAATTTGTACTTTTTTGAAAGTATTTACTTTTTTAAATCAATTTTCTGATTTTAAATGAAATTGGGGAAGGGATTGAGCAAAAAATGAAATTTTTGACCTACGGCCATCTAAAATTCTCAAAATTTTCGCCTGCAGCGCAAAAAATGGATTTTGTGGCGCCTTTGGCGCCACAAAAAAGTGCATTGAAATGCACAAAATGTTCAGTGGAAACAAGAAATTATTAGAAAAGATTCATTTAGGAGGAAAATATGAAAGATTTGAGGACCTGCTTAATTGTCATGCTTAATTGTCATTATTTCTTTTTCCCCATTTTTTTCACTCAAATAATTTTATTTTACAACCGTTCTACACTCAATTATTAAAAATATCATCCACAACCGTTATCTACCTGAATACTTTTTTTTAATTTTATTTTTTTTTTAAATTAATTTCTGGTCAGTTCAAAATATTTTGAAATAAATTAGGAATGCCCTTTTCCCTCTTGAGAAATAAAAATTAAAGGAAAAAATAAATATTTTGAACTGATTTTTACAATTTTTCCAAAAAATTTTATGTCGCAAAAAATAAAAATTAATTTCAAATTGTCTGATAACTTTTTTTAATTTTATATATGTAATTCTCAATTTTTAATTATAAACTGTTAATTATTAAAATAAAATTCTTTTTTTTTAATTTTTAAGATTAAATATTAGGGTTATGCCCCATTTAATGTCATTCCTCCAACATAATTATTTCATGAAGGATAGGAAAATCTTATCACTTCCCCAGCCTTATATACATATTTATATTAAATTCTCAAATTAATGAGGATCTAGGTATTTTATTAAACCAACAAATTAAATTTAATTCTTTTTAAAAACAAGTTAACGGAAGAAAAAAAGTGGGGGGGGGGGGCATTAATATTACTAAAAAGGGTTGATAAGATTAAAATGGTTTGTGGAATTTGTGGAAATGTTTTAAAATGATAAAAGTAAAGAAAAAAATATTTTTAGGGAATAGTTAGAATAAATTGGGAATAAATAAATTTGGAAAGTATTTTGAATTAATAAAAATAACATTTTAAAAATAGAAAATAAATTATCTTAAAATCATGGCTCGAAAAATCTAAAAAATCCCTCTATTTAAGTCTCAGATTAATTTTCCTTCTATTTTTTATGTCCGGGGTGATCCCAATTTTTGTTCAATTTCCTTAACTGAATCAAAAGCTCTGGAGGTGCAGATTATTATACCAGAGGGATTAGCTTCATCCGTGAAATTTTGTTATTTAACCCATTATCAAGGACATCCCCAGGGTTTAGGAGGGGTGGCAGTAATACCTCAAAAGTAAAGTAAAAGGTTTTAAACGGGGCCTGACCAACCTTACTTTAAATTAGAAATCGGACTGGGGAGTCGTACGAGAATCGAGGCGATGTCTTGAATAATCTCAATTCTCAATAAACCTCGAAAAACTAGAAGTTTGTCGTATGAGATATTTCGAAAAATATTTGTCTCGATAACTAAGATTTTTGATTGAGAGTTCGTCAGTGTCCTTTCTCTAAATGTAAATCTATCTCCTTACAATCGGTAACAGCCAAGCTATCCCCGACCAATCTGTCTGTGCCAACTGTATTTCTTCCAATCTAGCTCTGCGAGTATCTAAAAAATTGTTGATGTAACGTTGTGTAGTTGTTAGCAATTCAATTATTATTTCGTTAAAATAATTTAAGTAAGATAAGTATAACGCCAATATACAGAATGGAATTGAAAAAAATAATCCAATGCAGAAACTAATTACAATAATAGCCAAAACTGCAGGTAACATAAGTATTATAAAAGGTAAACACAAAAGAATGACGTAGAAAACAACTGTATAAATAAAGAATATTTTGTGGTTAAATTAGGTTGATGGTGACAAACACCGATTAGAGATCGGACAATCTCAAGGGAAAGGAGATTTGGAGGAAGAACTTTCTCCCTAAAAATATTTATAAATATACACCCACCTATAAATTGACAAAGGGTACAACACATTGAAATAAAGATCTTCGCGTAATAAAAGTAAAGCATATAAACTATTTTAAGTTTCTCTATAGCAATCTTCAGTTTTGATATAATGTAGAAAGCCAATAGTTTATCCTTTTAAAAATTAATATTTGATTTAGTTAATTACCCCTATTAATTTAATAATATTTTTATAAAATAAACTGCAGCAGGGACTTCTTAAACAGGCCTAACGCCATACTCCAAAAACGGCCTCAAATAACGCCAAAACATTAAAATTTTTATATCATATAAAGAATTTTGGTTCTTTTTAGAAGAAATTTTGGTGGTCGGAACTTTGGCTGGACGAAGTGTTGGTAGGATGGAGTTTTGTCTGTTCGAAGTTTTGCCCTGGCATTCCTTAGGAGTGTAAAATTATGGTGATTTGACCTCTTCCTAATTTTTTGAGGTTACAATCATTCGAGTAAGTATCGAAATCGAAAACTTTCTGTTTAACTAACCCTCATTTTTGATAGAGCTTTGGCAGAATATTTGTAAAAAATCCTAGATGATAAAGAAAAATTGAGATAAAAACATTTTCTTTCTATAAAATCCATTTGATCTAATACTTCTATTGGGTAGCCATTAACAAATTTAATTATTTCAAATAATAATTCAATTGGGATTTGTTTACGTTGTTTTAATATTAGTTTCATTTTTTAAATTTTTTAATTGAAATTTTCAAACAAAAAATGGGAATCTGGAATTACAATATATTGATAAAAATATACAGAAAAATAATTATTATTGATGAATATTAAATATGTAGTAGAGACTGGCTGAAGTTTCGATTGAAATATGTAAAAATAATCATTTTAAAGAATCAATTCTCACAATTTAGGACATGCGTCCGTCCCATGAGCTTTTATGCGTTCCATCCAAATAATTACAAAAGTACATATTATAATTTTTAAATAATAGCTGATTTTCGCTATATCAACCAATTATATTTCAACTCCAAATATTTGAAAAGTTGGGTTTTAAACACGAAAAATACAGGAAAACGCGCAAAAATACTGGACATTAGTTCTAATACTCTGATCTGAGTAATTGTTGGCAATTAAATAATTTATTTAGGTGACATCGGAAAGAAAAAGAACTTAAACTTTTCTTTGTTAATGCCTCTCATTGAGACATGCCACAAAGAAAAATGTTTAATATGTATTTATTTTCTCCGTTTTCAATTATATTTATGTTATCTATGAGGGCATTTTTCCATACATAACTTTAAAAAACACAACTAATAAAATTTTTTCAGGCAAAAAATTCCTTATAGGGAGTCAACTCCAGAGTTGTTTCAAAATTTCGATTTTCAAGGGATTTTTCTTTCGATTTTCGAAGATTTTTTTGTTTCGAAACATCTCTGGTCAGCTCATGTCAGAGGAATCAATTCTATGGCGAAAAGAATGGATTTTACCAATGGATTTTACAAAATCCATTTTTTACTTTTTATTTTTTATAGGTTTAATCGGAGAATCCGGAGGGATTAAAATGGATTAGCATCTTTATAGGCAGGTTAAGGAAGGCAGGCCCGAATTTCAAGACTGAAAATCGGGAAAAAGGAATAGGTTTGTTACTGAATGTAAATTACTGAATAAGCGAAAATCGCCATAGAAAAAATCGACAATTTCATTTTTTTCAAATTCGAATTTGACTAAAGTTGAAATTTGACAGTGACATATACATAATTCTCAATTTCTAATTATAAAGTGTTGATTATTAAAATTAAATTTTTATAGAATTTTTTTTAATTTATAATATACCGAGTAATTCAAAGAAAATCAGAAAAAAATTGTTAAAATATTTATTTCAATAATAAATCTCAAGAAATTAAGCACATAAGCATAATTAAAAAAAAAATAAATAACTATTTGCGAGTCTCTTAGAAAAACCATAAATATTTTTTTAAGTACAGAAAATTATTTTGAAAAACCCGAAAAAATTTTTATGGTTCCAAAATATATTCTGAGTTATATAAACAATCTTACAAAATTAACTACTACATTAGATAATGTAAGAAACATTCCAAAAGCATTAGCTCTAACGGTTATGCTAATTCTATCAGTCATTGCTCCAAGTAAAAAAATTAATAAACAGAAGATAGCTGTCGATGAAATTAATAAAACAACAAAAAATATTGCCATTGATGCAAAAAAGCACATAATTACCACAAAAATAATAAAAGGTGACATAACAATAATAAACGGTGCAATAATTGTCAAAACACCCAAAGAAAATGCGGCAATTATCAAGCCAAATACTAAAAATGTGTAAACTGTTAAATAACAAACGGCGGGCAAATTATAACCCTCCGGATTCCCAAATTTTCCAAAAAAAATTTTTTTCCTCCCTTTATTCATTATTTTAATTTCTTTTGTGGAAATTTCTATAAGAGAATCCCTTTGCGATTCTATAACATATTAAAAACCACCAAAAAGTCCCTTTTGTTAATAGAAATGCCCTGTATATACCCCAATGGAAACCTATGAGGCCTAAGCAGTCGGTCTCGATTATACGAACACCCTTTGATTGGAAGTGATTAAAAATTGAAGGTATCACTTCCATCTCTTTGTATACATCTCCCCTTCCCAGTGGCCAATTATCTTAAGAAATTTTACGTATAATAAAGTGCGTAAATTAGGTTATATACAACCGAGATCCGACTTCTTATATAAAAAATTATGAGTAAAGACCTAATTTCTTTAAGCCAACTAAGAATTTTTTTATTAAGCCAATTATAAAATAACACAAAGACCATAGAAGATAAATTGTTGGGTCAACGAGAGCATTGGCATTTTCCATTAAAATTCTCTAAAAATATTTAAACTTAATTATTATTTGGAACCCAAAAGGTACTCGACTGATCTGATTAAAAAATTCAGAAAACAAATATCATTTTGACTCAATAAAGGTAAATTCAATCACCACAGGTGATTGAATAATATTTTGGGTACTTGCTAGATCATTGTTTTGTCAGAGGTTATCCTATCTCCCTCCATTTTTCATTATTTTAAACAAACCTGTCTCATCAATAAAGAATGGCCACAACGTATATAGAAAATAGACCACGCTCCGCAAATTCTCTTAAAAATCGAACGTTTTTTGTCAATTTCCATTTGATCCAATACTTCTATTGGATATAGATTAATAAATGGAATTATACTGAATATCAATTCCAGTGGAAGTTGATTATTGCGAATATTAGGTCTTATCATTTTTAAATTCTGATAAAAATAATTTTAGAATTAGTAATTATATTTCAGATTTTTATATTTAAGTAACTCTCCCCACACAAACTAACTAACCACATTAAAAAATGGGCATTAAAGTTTAGATTTTATATAATAAATATGAATGACCTTTTTTTTTAAATAAATAACATTTTTAAATAATTTTTTTTATTATTTTTCTCAAGCAGATAATTTTTTAATCTTTGTCTCTACATATTTATTTGCCTTTAAAAACTTTTTAAAAATTTTTTAAAGTTGAGGCTATATTACAACATTTGGTTTTTTCAAAGGCAAAATAAGCAAAAAAAACGGCATAGCAGATTGAACTAGCGATGTATACTACTTCAAGAGGGCCGATTTTGTTGATTTATTGTGAAGAGAATAAAAGGAATTAACAGAAAATAATTTTATAATTAAAATAATTTCTTGTTCAAATTTTGTATGTTTTCAACCACTTATTTGTGCATAATCCCAGAAAAAGTTTTTATTAGTTGAATGGCACTTTAAAATTTAAAGTTATAATCTCCCAAAAGATAATCTTCAAAATCTTCGGATATCTGAATCCGGAACTGATATCGAATTGGAAATTTAGAATATTCGGACTTTATTCTAATCCAGATTCAAACTTTTAGTCGACTGCAAACTAGCATCTCGCCACATTTGATGATAATATAGCAAAAATTCTTGCTTCTTGACTCTGCCATAGATTTTCAGTTCCAAGATCAACTACACCAAAGCTTATGACATATTTATGATTCAGAATTCCTCAATAATGCAAAACTAATTTAATTCTTTGAGTTGATCAAATGCAAAACTTCAATATATTTTATAAATATCTTAATAGAAGCCCTGGATGGGAACTTTTTCATATCCAAAAATAGCAAAAAGAAATATCCTATTCTACTTAAAATAATTATAAAATAATTTCCTTATCTCACCAAAAAAACAATTGGATTTACCTTTTCCAATTAAAAAAATTTTTTTGTAAAACTTTGGGAATAACTAAATTTTCTAAATTCAAATTTTTATTTCAAAAAAATTAAAAAAATATTTTGAATTAATAATTTTATTTTTTAAATTGAGCAATAAATAATTAATTAAAAATAATTTTTAAAAGAAAATTAACAGAAATAAATATACAATTGACTTTAAAAACCGGATCGAGACTAAGATCTCGAACGAAAATCTCGATTATCGAGATCAAAATTTTTTCGAGATATCTCGTATGACACTCTCAGTCCGGTCTCTAATTGACTTTCACTATAAGATTACACTCAATACTTGATATGCCTTAATTTAAGATTCGTTTTTTCCAAATTTAGTTAGCCAATAGGTGAAAGGGAAAACTAATTAAACGATAACCCCAGGGTTCGGATTCGTACTTATTTTGGAAGTACAGTACTTACAAATCGACCTTCGTACTTCCAAAATTAAAAATGTACTTATTTGTAAGTACGTACTTACAAATAGACTTTTTGGTTAAAAAATTAAATCTAACCTTTAAAATTCCAAAATTTTTGCCTGCGGCGCAAAAAATGGAAGAAATCTGGCTTAAGGAGCTCCAAAATTCTCAAAATTTTCGCCTGCGGCGCAAAAAATGGAAGAAATCTGGCTTAAGGAGCTCCAAAATTCTCAAAATTTTCGCCTGCGGCGCAAAAAATAAAAGACTTTTTTGGTGCCTTCGGCACCAAAAAAGTTTTTGAAAAATTTTTTTGTAGCGTACTTATATTTCGAAAATTTTTCCACCTATGTACTTCCAAATTGAACTTTTTGTACTTACACTTAACATTTTCTCGATCCGAACCCTGGATAACCCCCTCCTCTTTAAAATCCACCTCATTATATAGCAACTAAGGCATGTGCTATATTGAGGTCCGATTGTGTCAAAAGATTTAAAAATAAAATAATTTGTACTATAAATAGAAAAAAGATTAAAATATAAATTAAATAAATACATGAATAAATATAATTAAAAAATAATTATTTTAAATTTATTATTTCAGAATTGACAAAGCTTCAGAATAAATGTGAAGACATAATTCTGAAAATTTCAGAATATCAAAAATAATTATTATCAGAATTTATTTTCCCCACAAAAATCAGAATTTAACTTTTTTAGTATTTGCATATTCTGATTTATCAGAACACCTTCTGTGTTGACTATTTAAAACTTTCTCTGAAGAAATTCTGGCCGAGACTGTCCTTTTTTGTTCTTTTAATGATTTCAATTTTTCGTCCAAATTAGTTACTGTGTCGAAACTGTCAGGGGTTGATTCTGAGGAAATTATTATTGAATTTGTTGTTGTGGATAATTTAACTGTTGTGGTTGGACTAAATAATTCTGAAGTAGTTATTCCTATACGGTGAAGGTGTAGTAAAGTAAATAATTGGTGCCGAATCTTTAAAAGAAATTAAGAAAATATTTAGGTAAAGCAACCGAATCTATCCCAGAAAATAGCAAAGGATTGGAAGGGACTTTGTCATGTCCGAGGGTTACCGATATCGACATGAATAACCGTTTATTCCAAAAAAGTACAATGTAGGCGAAAGTGGGGGTTCCTGAAGTAGGTTAGGGACTAGCCGGGCTAATATGATCCCATTGACACACTAACTTTGTCCTACACAACAGACTGTAAGACTTAATTCAATACAAGATTGTCAATCTTTTAACCATCCCATTCTATCGACTTGTTTTTATTTTTGGTTGATTCCCTAGACTGGGGGGATCTTTACCACCCCTCATATTTATTTATTTACCTCTTTGTCCATAAAAAACCCCAAAAACGAATCAACAATAATTCTCAAAAGAACAATAGATCTAATAATTCCCAACAAAGACTGCATTTTATTATAATGTAAAACAAAATAACATCCATCGGCAAATGTTAAAGCAACATTCCAAATTGCATAGGGAAAATGAAAAATTGTAAACGTTGTGACACCCAATGTTAGCTAGGGAGGGAAGGGGGAATTAATTTAAATTAAATAGTTGTTTTCAAGTTTTAATTAAAAATCAGAATAAATAAAAATGAAATTCTGATTTTTAATTAAAAAAATAATTCTGAATTTTCATTTACCTTAATCATTGGAAATTTAAACCGTTTCCGAACACTTCTTTGTTGTCTACTTGTATTGTCTGCATTTAAAGTTTTCGCCCTTTCCTTGGCTTTTTTGATTAAAAAAACTTTTTAAAAAATAAATTTAATTTTTAAATTAATTAAAAATTACCCGAAATAATAAAAGTTAAAATTGTAGTAAAATACAATAAAAGGGTTAAAACATTCCTAACTTTATACATGTATGTTAAACAATTCTCTACCTAAAAATTGATATTTTTTCTTTAAATTAATTTAAAATAAATACTTTACAGCCAGTTAATTCAGCAAGTATTTCTATTTTTACAAGTATTGTAAATCCCATAGTTGCTCCAAAAATTAAAATAAAAACTAGCCAACTTTAAATTGACGATTAAATTTAATTTTTAATTAAATTATATGCCGTATATACTCTATTAATTACTCTGGGTAATTATTGTTTGGACCTCTCTCTGGAGAGGATAAGTGATAGAAGAGGCGGAGTAATTAATAGAGGTTATTTTAGGAAGGCTAATTATAATTATTCCTAGGGGGTAATTATTGTTTCAACCTTTCGGTGGAGGGGGAACTAATAGAGAATGAGGTAATTATTTGAGGGAGGGTACTTAATAGAGTGTATGTACATATACGGTATACGATTTCAAAAATTATTAAAAATTAAAAATTATTTAAATTTAATTTGTCATTCCTTTCCCTAATTTTTCAAAATCAATTTTAATTTCATTTTAAAATCAAAACAATAATTTTAAAGTAATTCCCCCACCTGATTTTGATTAGAGAAACACATCTAAAATAGAAATAATTTATTTTTTTTACACAATTAACTAAATTAATTACGTAAAAATAAATTAAATTTTGGTCATTGCATGCAACAAATTTTTTGTGGGGAAGGGGAGAAGGAGTTATTCGATAAAAGAAAAAGTTTTGATCGTCGATTTAATACTCAATTTTCAAAATTAATTTTCAAATTTTAAAATTTAATTTTCGGACTGTAAATTTCTCTTAAATTAATTTCCAAATATTTAATTCTCTCCGTACCTTTCCATAGTTACTTTTTTCTTGTATTTAAGAGGTTCTGCAATTCCATATAATTTCAATAAACCAATAGATGTATATGTAACTAATCCAGACCAAAAACAAGCAGTAAATAAAGTATTTAATAATGTTAGCCAAGAAGGGCTAAAGTTTATTAAAAGAAATTATTAAAAGAAATCTTTCAGCTTTTCCCTTCCCCTTTAGTTTAAGGAGAGCTAAAACAAAAAATATTTTACAAAAGACTCAAAAAAAATTTATTGTTAGCCAGTAAATTTATTTAAACACTTTTTAAATTTCCAATATCATTTGATATCAAATTAAAGAGAGTCCAAAAATTTCTTAAAATTTCCCAAAATCTCTTCAAATATTTACATACTTTACATGTTCAACAGCCAAAACATAAATAATTGAAATAAGAGAACAAATAATTGCCGACAAATCCCCAATTGCTCTATTCACCAAAAGAACGTGAAATTTTCTGCTGACTCTGTGGGCTTTAATTGCACGGATATTGGCAGTTATAAAAAGTAAAGTTAAAGGTATAGCAATAATTGTAAATGGAAGAGTCATCCATCCATGGTAAAAACGAATTGTTCGATCCCTGATGTTCTATGCAATTCTTATTTTTAGAAAAATGTGTGAATAAACAAGAAAATTAAAAGGAGGATTTGGGGTTGCTCATCGACTAATTAAAATGTTTTTGCCATTTAAACAAGTATTCGAGTTCTCCTTATATTCACGACTCTGTTCGTTTTTTTGCAAGGGGAGAATGTTTATTAGGAAGTCAAGAAAATATTTTGTGTTTTTGAGTGATAAAATTCAGAGAGCAACCCCCCTACTAATATTTAATTTCTCTTACAATTTCTCTTTTATCAGACCATGCTTTGCTGATATTTAGACAATTCGTTTGGTAAGAAGAGGTCATTTAATAAATTAATTTATAAATCTGTGAAATTGAAAAAAAATAATTTTGATTGGAAGAAAGAAGGGGTAATGTTGCAGGTACGAGCAAACTTTTAGTACTTATTAACGGGTACACCCCAACCTACCGCGAGGCCAACCTTGGTATGGTTCGATGCGCCTAGACGAGCTGAATCGAACCATACCAGGGCGTCCCGGATTCGACAATTATAAACGAAGTTATAGCCCGGCGGTAGGTTTGCCTCGCGGTAGGTTGGCTCCCCTTATTAACGTAGCTCGGATGCATAAACATTCATTGGACTATAAAAATTTGTTTGGACGCGTAATCTGGACAAGAGCCAAAAATAACTACTACATACCTACATATTTATAATCGAAATTGTTAACGTGGATTCTTTTTTAACTTATAAATTATTTTTCTCTAAAAATTCTGTTCTCCCTTGCTTTAACGCATCTCAAATTTTATTTCCTTAATTTCATTGTTATGCTTATAACTTATTCAATTTCCCACCCAAACGCAACTTTAATTTAAAAAAATAAAAATAAAAAACCACAATTTCGAAAGAAAAAAAAGAAAAAGGTAAATAAAAATACACAAAAGTTGGGAAAAATGGCCGAGAAAATAAAATATAAAATAGAACCGGTCTCCGAAATTGGTTATTCTTAATAAATAAAAATTAAAAATTAAAAAAAAAAGTTTTGATCAACTTGGAAAGGACTGAGACCCTTAAAGACGCGTAGGTGGTATTGCGCAGCAATATTTAAACTTACTCCCTAACAGTTAAGCGCCGTAATGTTCTTAGAATTTATTGAAGAAGAGAAAAGAGCGCAACAACTAAATACTAACTAACTACTACTTTTATTTATTTCTCTCCCAAAAATTTTTCAAGAATTTAATTTTAGAAAAATTTTTGTGTGTAAAAAATAATTATCTACTCCTTTTACATGGAACGAAAAAACCCCAAGAAATTAATTAAAAGAGAGGGTGTTTTATTGACCTTGGGGGAAACAAACAAGTTTAAATTTAACTAATAAAGATTAAAAATTATTTCTTGAAAATATTTTTTACTACAAAATTTATAGTGTTTCGATATATAACAAGTTTATTATAATGTAGGCCTATATTTTGTAATATCTCAGAAACAATTAAAATATAAATAGGCACATTATTTTATTTACAATTATTTACACATAATAAATACAACAAAAAACTACACAATTATATAGTAGATGAATCAAAACTTAAATTTTGACTCAGATTCTGTTGCCCAATACATTTATTTACAATATTTACAGAATTACCAAGGCAAACCCAAATACGACTTGAGATACTTCTCACTAACATCAAAGAAAACATCGCTCAAGTACAACGAATCAGCACGCAAACTCTAAACAAAAATTATAATTCAAGTTTATGTTTTCGATAGTATTTTTTCCAGTCCCAACTCTCAATATTAATTAGCGATATTAATCGTCATAAATTGGGAAAATTAATCAGCTAAATTTGTTTTAGTTTCCTCCCCCCTTTTGAAGTCAATTCCCGTTTCATGACTTCTACATTTTTTATTATTACCACAACACATCCCCCCAATATTTTCCTCAAAACTTACCCCAATTTTATTGTCTCCCTCATCCTCGCTAACATTATTCGGATCCAAATTCTCGCTAATTTTCAAAGCAATATCCAAAACATGGTCGATTTCCGCAATAAGTCTAGCTTCAATCACAAGTCGATGTCCAAAAAGAATTTTTCTATCCTTAAAAGAAAAAGGAAAAATTGATAAAAAAAGGGACAGATTCCTTGCCTCATTATCATCTTTAATTTCAAGCCCCACAGTTGTTTTGTTAACCAAATCAACGAGCGGTTCAATATAGTCATAGGCTTCTCTTCCCTTGCAACGAGGAGTGAGAGAATCCATTACAGATTGCGCCTGGAAAATACAAAAAAATTTTTGGGCGAAATTTTATAATTCAAACATGCGCAATCTTTTTGTCGATTCTATCCCAATGCATAGCAAAAGCCTAAAAATAAATTGGAAATAAAAAAAGAAAATATTTAGGTAAATCCAATTGACCAACACTTTGACTCAATTCATTCCCTACTTCCTTTCCATTTTTGTGTTGATCAATTGAATTACTCATCAGTCAAAATATCCCCCCACCTCATAGACAACTGTGGCATATTCATCAGGAAGTTCTTTGAGATTCTTGAAAAACGACAACGGCTCACTCTGAAGCTTTGCAAACAATTCCTCCTTTGGAAGACTCATCATATCCTTCACTCGAGAAATTGACTCATTGGACAACGGACTGGCCATGTTTACCTAAATTAATTTTTTGGTTAAATTTTAAAAAATTTCACAAAACACCTTTGATAGATGGAGAATATCAGAGAGATTACGGAACTGCTCAACACTAATGACGATGATTAAATTTAATTTAGAAATTAAATACATGCTTTTATAGTAATTGAATTTAAGAGTAGTTCAAATACGACACATCCAGCAAAAGTAATGGCAAGACTAATTCTGAGCATTGTTATCCACACAACCCTCTACTAATGGTTTTCAATTTTTGATTTATTAACCTAACAGAGACTTGAACAAACAATCGGAGGCAGAATTTCTGAATTGAACGTGTAACTAAATTCTCCAACTTTATTTTCGGCACCTACATAATCCTTTATTTAAAAAATCTTCTGCTGATTCCCGAATATTTAAATTAACAAAAATCAACTTTTCATTGTATGTACTATACCAAAAAATTCTCTCTTATTTATACCTAAGTAAAAACAAGCTAAAAAATATGTGAAGTCATTAAAATTTTATTTATATCGAGAATAAAGGAGAAAATGTGAAGAAGGTATACATACATAATTTTAAATATTTAAATAAATATAAAAAATATTTTTTTGAGGAAAAAGGTAAAACATAAAGAGGAGAATTAATAAAATAATCCTTTTTTGGTCCATTCTTTAATTTATTTTCTACTACCAGTAATTAACGACCTTTGGGCACATTAGGTTCGGAGTTTGTTGGAGAATTTGACAAAGGAGAGAAACTATCCGAAAAGCGATACGGCACCGAATTTGTGGCCAAAATACGTCGATATTCAGGAATCATCTAAAAGGGAAATAAATTTAGTAAAAAATAAAAAATGGTAAGAATATTTTTATTTTTGATTGATCTTATAAGGAGGTAGGTGTATCTTAGATATCTTAAACAACTTTTATTTTAAAAAAAGTCGGATTTTTAATCATTAACAAACCAAATTTAAAAAACGTATACCGTACTTATTCTAATAGAATGACACATTTCAGTGGATATGCAAAATACGACTGTCATTCAACTAGAATAAGTAAATTGAATTGAAGAGTAACTAATATTATTGTGTGTATCGTATAGCATAAGCATAAAATAAAAGTTGAAAGATTTACTTTAAAATTACTCGAATAAACATTTAAAACTTGCCCCCCCCCCTTCTAGATGAGTTAATATTCAAAAAAATTTTGTTAGACCCCAATAATAGTTTTCCTTCATTTCGCTTGAACCCTTCTTTTCACTTATAATTTTCCTACCAGTAAACAAAGGAATTAAACTAAAAAACAAAAACAAAGAAAATTTCCCCAATTTAAAAACAAGCCTAAAAAGAAGCTGATCTACCGCTGCCGCGATGTTTTCCCACAATATTCTGTTGCTGTCAAGTTGTCCAGGTTGTGGCTGCCTATTTTGATTTACATTTTGAGAAGACGAGCCAGAACTTGTTTGAGGTAAATTGTGACCAAGTAATGACAATAAGCAAGTGTTTAAATTAGGTACACTTTCATTAGAGACTTTCCCTCCATTTTGTTTTTGCTGTTGTCGACGCATTTCAATTGTTCCTTCAACCAGAATTTCACTTGCAGGAATGATTATGACTATTAAAAAATTAATTATTTAGGGAGTGAAAAATTATTAAAATTAGCAGGGATACTACTAACTTAAGAAAATTTTAATTAACTTTTTTAGAATATAATTTATAAAATTTATTTTTAGACGCGAAATAAATATTCTTAATATTATCATTTTGATCCTCGAGAGTGTTAAGTTTTGCTTGAAAATTTTTTCTGATTTTTTTCCAAAAATTACCAGGATCAAGCACAGTCAGAGGATCCGAAAACTAATTAAAACCCTGCCTTTTAAACTCTCGGTCTCTACATATTAATCCCAGAGTTTTACATTTCACCCGAAAGATAATTCAAAAATAAAATTCAAAAAATTACATTGATTTGCATTAAAAGTCGTAGAACGATAAATAGCCAAAATATTTTCTAAAGACCTCTTATCACTCAAAACAATAAAAACAACATAATAATCCTGAACAGTAGATATTTGCGAAATATCTTTAATTGATTTTTCAGGTAAATTAAAAGATTTGAGAATCCATTCAGAAAAATAATTTTGTGAAGCTGTAGATGATGTTTTGTTGCGAAAGACGACGATAGCTAAAATTATGGGAAAAGTAAGTTAAAGAAAAAAAGTTTTTGCCAAAAAAATACGAGAATGGCCAGGATATTTTTATTTAAAATATAATTTTGAATTAACAGTTCAAATCAGAGTTGCGTCAAAAAAAATTTAATAAAATAAGACGAGGTTTTAGATTTTTAATAAAACCCTACTAGACAGATAACCCCTTAATAGTTATATACAAACAAACTTTTTCACAAACGGATAAAGGTGGAATTAGTCGAGAATTTTTTGCGGATTTTTCTTTCCACTTATTTTAGTGTTAGTTTAAAAATGAGGGGCAGAACGGGGAAAATCCGGAAAAATAATCAAATTAACCGCAAGAATCAGACCCTCATACCCTACAAGTACCCGAATAGCTAAAATAATTATTTTTAAAAATACTTCGATTTGCCAATTCAATCATTCCAGCAATACAAACGCTTGAAGAAGCTTGATTTCCAGAATTAGCAGAAGGGTGTGCAAAGTTTCTCCCAGCATTTTGTCCTGAATGTTTTCAAAAGTTGGAAAAGAAAAATAAATTTAAAAAAAACCTGTAAAAGAAAAATTAACATGAGATCCTTGAGAAGTAGAAGTTGATTGTTTATCTGCAACCTTTATTCCATTTTTAGCCAATAATTGATCAAGTGTCATACTAGTTTCTCCTGTTGAGGAATTTGGATTATTCATTTTTTTTTTATTTTTTAGAATTAAATAAGATTTGTAATAAAGACTGAAAAAAATGAATAAAATTATAAAAACCTAAAAAGTTAGTAAACAAAAAAGGGAACTAATGAAATGACTGGACTAGAAATAAAGCTAGCTACGGACAAGGGACTGATGTTTCCTATACCAAGACATTGTTTAAGCTTCGTTAAAAATTAATTCCAGGTCCACATCCAGATATTTTCAATCATATCCAATCCAACATTTTATTCCAAACATTTATAGCTAGAATAATTAACAAAAGAAAATAAATATATTTCAAAATCGACAATTCGAAATATTTTCGTCTAGTCGACATTTCGATATTTACAAATTATTCAAATTATGTCAAAATGGTTATTTTTAATTTGGGTAAATACAAAAATGTTATGTTTAGAAAAAAATTTTAAATCTGAATTAAAGATGGTTCTTTAAATTTACTTGAGTTACATATTTACATATATTTATTCTTTTCTTATTGATCCATTTTTTCTTTAATTTACTTGTGTATTTTATTTAACACAAGATATGTATTTATTCTTTAAAAGTCTGTGACCCATTTTTGGAAAACAAATATTAATGTCCCCTCTATAAACAGCTTAACTTTATTTAATATTCTTAAATCCTTAAATAATTCCTTTTTGTTTTTCATTGTTTTTTAACTAAAAAGTCTTTTATAAAATTCATTTTATTCCAAATTTTTATCAGTTTATATTTTAACTTGCTGGAAATAATCGTTACATTTTTATTTTAAGAGAATTTGTTTTGTATATTTTTAAATTTAAAGTTAACTATTTTTGTTTTATAAAAGTTTTATAACATCCCGAAACCAAAAAGTAGTTAAAGATTCTTTTTTAATCTTTACAACTTCACTTCTCTCTCATTTCTCTCCTTATTTCTCAAATTTGTTATATTTTATTTATTTTCCGAATTAAAAACAAAGCAATTTCCTAACCACAATTAAAACGAAAAAAAATATTTTTTGTTTGTTTGTTTTCTAATAAAAAATATTTTTCAGTGATTTCTTATCTCTTAACATATTTCTCTAATAAACAAACAACCTTCTCTTTTTGACCCTTTAAAATATGGAAGAGGCCAAAGGTTTTCTTTTATTTTTGCTGATATTATTTAATAACTAAAAGTACACAAACACACAATTTATTTTATTTTTTTTCTAGTTGATTCTTTCGTTGACTCTAAAGAAGAGGAAGACATTCAAGAAGATTTTGACAAATCTGAAACTGAGACTAAACTTAATTCTTCGTCTACTAATTTGGTTGTAGAAGAAGAAGAGGACAATATGGACAAATCTAATGCTAAGAACAATTCTTTGACTCATCAGGACAATGCTCAACTGGGTATATATTCTTTAAATTTTAGTTAGGGTGTTTGTTGATCGGCCCTAGCTCACGAGCGGTTATAGCTCATGATAAAGTTAAATATAGGTAATTGAAGGATACTGCCTACATTCCTAGCCGTAAAGGCAGTTTTATGGGTATAAAGTGCGCTTATCATGAGAATGAAGGTTGCTATTACTAGACGAAATAACCATAAATAAGCGACTCCTCCTCTTTTCTCTTATATTTGGACCTATTCATATAATCAAATTGTAACTAGTCTTCACAAATTCTATTCCAGTTCTTTCAATAAGTTCATAAATTTAAACAGGTATCCAAACACCCAAAGAGAATATGCAAAAGGTTGATGGGCAACAGGGGAAGGATCGTACTATGGACTCTAATGTGATGGCTGCAAATGCCGCAGATAAGCATGCTGAGTACGTTGGCGGGAAGCTCAAGCGGCTTGGCGAGACGGGTCCTGTTCAGAAGGTAAAAACAATTAAGTACTGTCGGACCTTGGGACTTAAAAATTGTATCTTAAGAACAGTTGGAACTCCCCCCTCTTTTTTCCGTTTTTGTAAATTTGAGCATTTTTGTGCATTTTATTGTTTAAAAATTTTCTGAGGAAGTAGAGTAAAATTGAGGATATAAGTAAGTCCATTACGTTCATTGATAGATAGAAAGGAAGAGGAGATGTTTTCAAACAAAGCTTGTATGTATAAACTTTATAAGCTCTTTAAAAACATAAAATTTCCTCACTACTTTTAGTTATTTTTTCAGACCGTTTCTGCCTTAAACCGTATGCGAGGTTCTGCTGAGACGAATGACCAAACGCTTGGACGTATATCAAATGCGGTGTATTCTGCTGATTATGGAATTACATACTTGGCATGGCGTTTGATTTATGGTTTGAAAGACATGACTTCGAATGCTTATACTGTTGCTCAACGAAAAGGTTCAAAGAAATTTTTACATATTTTAGTGGTATTCAGAAAGGATTAATAGATTAGATTATCCGACTGGTTCAATTCCTTATTTGGTTATTCCTCCAAAAACTTTTTTCGTGTTTAAATTATGTAACCGGATGTAAGATTTTCTTGGGAATGGAAAGGGATATTCTTTTTCGTTTCTTCTCACTACCTTCCTTTATTTTTCAATCTACAAAGCCTTCTCTTAAAAAAACTTTAAATCAAAATGGTTAGAGTTGCAAAATTTTGTTTTTATAGGTTTGACTAGACCGCCAGTTATTGCTCTCGGCATTGCTTTGCTTCTTCCAATTCTGACAGTTATGTCACCTTTTCTTGTTGGCTTAGCTTTTGTTTTGGTGCCAACTTTCTTCTTTGGATTTTTGTTTTTTGGAATCCCTTCAATTTGTGGGACTGTTGTTTTTCTTTTGTTTGTCTACCTTTTTGGTGGAATGCCTAAATTATATTCAATGGCCAATAATTTGCTTAACAAAATTTTTGGAAATGATTTTGGTAATCGAATTGAAGGGGAAGAAGGAAATGACAATCCGGGGACTAGTCAGAATAATTAGAGAAGAGAGAGGGGACTAATTAAGGAATAAAAGGGGAAAGGAGAAGATGACAACTTATTTTAATTTTGTTTTGGTAAATGTTTTGGTAAAACCATAAAATAAATTTTTTTTTGGTAAAGGCTGTTTATTAAAAAAATATAATTTTTTAAATTTATAAATTTTATGGTTTTACAAAAACAATTTCTTTTGACTTAAAAACTAATTTAATTTCGAATTATGTTTGGTTAATTGTTTTTATGAGATATTTTTCAAAATATGTTTTCATTTTGGTAGAAATAAAATATTTGATAATTAAATTGGACAATTTTTTTTGCAAAACTCTTAAAATAAAAAAGTATCCGTCCGGATTTGAAAAAAAATTTAATTTTTGGATATATTTTTTTGAGTTAATTTCGTCAAAAATAAGGAGGCCAAAATTTAACGCAATGAACCCGCCCCCAGTTCATCAACAAATTTTTTCTATAGCTTTCGATGACCTGCTTTCAATTAAATTTTTTATTAATTAAAAAATAGAAAATTCATTAAAATTTCTTATTCACTCCAAATAATTCCAAAATCTATTATTTTGATTAAAAAATAATAATTATAAGTAGAATTTCAAAATAAAAAAAATTTAAAAATATTCTTACACTTTTAAGAAAGATTTAAATATTTATTTTACTAAATCTTTTAAATACTTTTTTAATGAAAAGTGCTTTTTTTCTTCAATCAAAATCCCTTATTTATTATCTACTTTTAAATTAATTTAAATAATTCATTTCTCGTCAATTAGTTTAATTGTTTTATTTTGCCTTTCCCCTACTTCTTTAATCCTTAACAAGGAGATAAATTACTGTAAATATCTAAAAGTGAGATGAGGCGTTTTGTCAGTCTACTAAATATTTTTTCACTTTTCACACTCCCTTACTTGCCTATTTGCTTCTTCCTCTTATTTTAACACAATTTACATATAACATTTAATATAGGTTGGTTGTTTAATGTCCTCGTTCTTTTGTGGAATTGTTACTGTTTTTCTGTTGTTTTTTGGCAATGTTCTACTCGAAGTTGTTGAAGATTCGACAACTACTCGGACAACAGCTACAACTGTACATCAAGTAAAAAGTGCAACTGTAGGAACTGGACAGTTAATGTCTGGACAGAAAGTAAAGTATTTGGGACAGTAAACACATTATTTTATCAAAAATAGATCGGGACAACGGGAGGGGGGGGGGTATCGAAAATCGAGGAATTTGAAATCTTGGTTCTCCTCTGGGGGAATAAAGACAAAATTTACTGATCACATAATATTTGTACGTTTGAATAAATAGAGAATTTAATAGTTCCTCAAATAAAGCACTGCCATAATGGTCCGACTCGGTCCCAAAAAAAGCATACCTCATTTCGGTAAGAATCAGGCACGAAAAGGTTGCCAGGAACGTTGGCCCGCCTCGAAATCTAACGAGTAATTTAAATTAAGGGAAATGATTCTTCAATATCTTCAAGTACTACACGCTCACTTGCATTCATGAATAGTCCTAATTTTAGGTATTTAAAAAATATCTGTAATTTTGAACTTTCTGGCTTGGTATTCCTTTCTTCATCGCATAATTGTTAAAATATGGTATACTCAACTATGAGATAAATTGAGATAAATAATTTGTTGTAAATTGCCAGCCTGTTCACTTTAATAATTGTTTTACGGTAGATTCGTTTTCCGTGAGAAGTTCAATCTCCTTGAGCCAAGCATTGAAATCTTTATTTTGTGTTTTTTTGATTTTTGATAGGAAAATTATGCGAGTCTCAAAGTTCAAAATCGCCAAAATTCCTTCTAAAATGTTTTTTTATCCAAATCGTTTAATTTTTGTTTGGAAAAACAAAAATTATTTTTTAAACTTTTTGTCAAATTCATTAAAGCGGAATCAAAGTGCGTGTCGGGCACATTGGAGCAATTAATGTAATGCCGAAGGCTGAACAAATTTTGGAGGTTTGCCGCAAGGAATTGTGGAAGGAAGGCGTTTTAAACGAGGATTTCGATATTGAGTTTGTGTACTGATTATATTTTATACTGGGGACTGATATGTACTGATTATAACTGATACAATGGTTGTTGAATTTAAGAGTGTGTTTAAATTGGGTTGAATTGAAGTTGAGGGAGGTTCTAGTAGGAAGTCGAAAATAACTCGAAAATAACCCTCCTCTGATTGAAGACTTTTAGGCAGTATTTATTGTTCAGTTGATAGTTAGTCAATATATACAGTTGTTCAGTAGGAAATCTTTTACCAGATTTAGGTAATATTTAATTATCTCACTGGTAGTCTAGCTGTGCGCCAAAACATTTTTAGAAAACGCCAAAATTTATTTTTGCGCACAGCTAGACAGAGTATGATTTCCAAAAAATATTTTCTGTTATTTTTATCAAAAAAAACATTTTTTTCTTAAAGAATAATCTCTCAAATGGGATGCGGGGAAAGTTTTGAGGGGGTTGCTGTTGGTGCAGATATGTACCATCAACAAAATGTTAAGGCATTTATTGGCCCTTATTGTAATGCAGAAATGGATGCAGTTAGTAAAATGGCTGCTTTTTGGTTATTTTTTAAAATAAAAAATATTTTTTTCAAAGTATTTTTGAAGGAATGTTCCGATAATTGGATATATGGCTGCTAGGTAGTTTTTTTTTTAAAATTAGAGGGAGACCCTCATTATAAGTTACATCCAATACTAGAGATCTCTCAATTTATGATACGTTTTAAAATTTGTTTGGTGGAGGGAGAGCTACCTAAGCAATTAGCCCCCCCTCCTCCTCCTCCTTTATTTAAGATACCCTCATTATAAGAACTAATCTTGAGGCTGTATCCTATATTGAAATTTGAGTGAAAGAGAAAATTAAAAACAAAGTTAATTTAAAGTAATGTTTTCTCTGATAAAACAATTTACAAAACTCTGGCACGTGTTTCGCTTCGAACAACTAATTCGGTTGTTTTTGCAGAAAAATACTTTAATATTAAAATTATAGCTAGCATTAGCTGTTTATTCATTAATTAGACATTATGGGTGGAATAGAGTAAGTGGCTGTTGTTTGTAAAAAATGGAAAAAAATTAATTAAAGGTTGCAATTGCTACAAATACAGGTCCAATGGCTTTTGAGAGGACACAAGCATTTGAAGAAATTTTTCATGCAAGGAAGATTACTGTAGTTAAGGTAGAGGAAATTATCATTTGGTTAAATTGAGAACACAAGATCACAAAAAATCGTATCACTCAGTTCACGCGAAACAAAAAACTTGAATTTAAAAATACATTCAAACTTTTTTTTCAAACACTCACAATTAGTAGTTATCTCAGTTAAAAATTATCCTCATTATAAGAAAAGATTTTTTAGCCTAGAGGGTTTAACTGTTCAACATTTAGTCCTTTAATTTAATATTTTTAAAGAAATTAATGTTTGAAGAAAATGTTGATTCGAAAGGAATGATGGCAAGTGGGTATTTGGAGGATTTGAGAAATTCAGCTAGAAGTAACTAAATTAAATTCTTTCAAATTTTTAAAATTAACAAAAAAAGTTGTCATTTGTTTATTTTCTTCTACCCGGGAAAGCACAAAAGAATTTATGCAAGCAGTTAGCCTTTCTGGACTTAAAACACACGAATATGTTTATATTTTACCTTGGCTACAAGCTGAGGCTAAAGATGCTTCTCCTTGGATTGGGGCTGATGGACAAATGGTTCAAAATGTTAAAGAATTCTTTACTGGATCGATTATTGTTTGTGTTTTTTAATTAAACATTTTAGAGAGTTTGTATTTGGGTATAGTAGTCTGGAAAATATGGGGTTTTTTAAACGAAATATCAAAGCCAGAAAAATCGTAAATTAAAATGATTTTTATGTGGAGATATTAAGCATTTCTGCCAATTTTTTTGAAGATTTTTTTACCATTTCTCCCATTTCTCCAAATTGACAAACACATTTACATAAGTAAAATAAATAGAAATTTATTTTTTTCAAAGATTGATGATGTAAATGGATTTGACAATACAATATTAACACCATTTAAAGAAAGAGTTGAATCTAATGGAATGTCTGTAGAAGATTTAAATTTGGTTCTCGAATAGATTTAATTAAAATCTTAAATTAATTTAAAGCAAAATATTTATGGTTATATCCATTTATATGATGCTCTAAAACTTTATTCTTTGGCTGCCAGAATTGCTTTAAATGAAACTAATGGAAATCCAAATGTAACGACTGATGGACGTTATTTGTGGAATAAAATGCGAAGAATGACCTTCCCTGGTAAATATTTAAATGAAAATATTTTTTTGAATTTTGTTTTCGGTGAATAAAAAATTATTTTTTTTTGGGTTTCCTAAATAACGTCCATCATCAGTCTTTTTTAGCTAAAGAAACCAATCCTTCAGGCTCTATTCATCTTTTATTATTTCATAGAGGAGTAGGCCAAAGATTCATTTGGCAGTTATATGTAGGTATAATTATATTAACCCTCTCCTCTTTGATTTGGAAAAATTCAAAGGAAGAACCCAAACATTTTGTTAATAGAGATGTTTGATCATCTACATACATATGTATATGTATACTTCCCCTTATTAAAAATTATTTATTCTCGACAAAAAAATTATTTTTAAAGGACTTGTCAGTGCTGAAGGCGTCTCTTCGGGACAGGTAACTTCCTCTCATCTTCGTTCTGCAGATGTAAATATTTTAAATAAAAATGTGTTTTTTCTCCTTCTTTCTCATTTTTAAATTAACATTAAATAATTTTGAATTATTTTTAAAAGGTTTTTATGGATGATTTAGCTGAAAGAGCTGCTATATATGCTGGTAAAAATTAAAGATTAAGGAATAACTTGAATAATAATAAATAATACATACATAACTAAATATAAGAATAACTGCAATCGAGCCTTAGTATAAAGTTGAGGATGGAAAAATGTAAAAATAAATTCGAAAATTATTCTATCGAATATTCAATTTGCAAGAGCTCCTTATGTCTAAATTGAGTGCCATATTAACTGACACCTCGATTCCTTATTTTTGCTTACTTTTATTGGCCTTCGGATATCATTTTCCAGCTCCTGGCTATTGTCTTTTCAGACCCAATATGTGTCAACATACCTGTAGTTATTCTTATATTTTTTTAAAAATAATGACTGTTTATCTCTAAAAAACATTTTTAAGCATTTTATGTTGCCCCAAACCGTGATGATGTAATGAAAATGGTTGAAATGAATCCAATTCCAACACCTAATTGTGATGGAGTAATAAATAAAAGTGGCTGTTTTGAATTGAGGATTACTGATCTTTTGACTGGCTTTTGGCCTTCGACTGATGGGTAGGGACAAAGAGAGGAATAAAAACTTGAATTTATTTACTAAAAATAAACTTTAATAAATATAATTTTTGGGGTTGTTTATATAAAATATTAAAATTATTTTTAAAAAATTTCCATTTTGTAGTCATTTACCCCCAGACGAGCCAGCTTGTGGCTTTAGAAATGAACGTTGTGATTATACTTTAATGATTGTTATTGGTATTTTGGCTTTGGTAGCTCTTTTGGGTGTTGGGGCTGGATTTATATTCTTCAGAGTTTTGTTAGTTTTCTTTTAAAATTATTTTTCGAACTCCGGACTTCAATAATTCTCTTTATTTTTTCTCTATTTTCTAGAGAAAACCGAGCTCTTGCAAAAACATCTTGGCGTATATTCCGGGATGATATGAGAATTGTTAGTGCTGAAGAAATGAAGTCTATGGTTAATTTGTTTAAATTGAAATTTTATTTATCTTTTTTCTTTTAAAGCTTTCAATAGGTTCATCAAAAACAAAATTATCTAATATGGCACGTTTTGCAAAACATCATGCTGTTATTGGTAAATAATTATTATTCGGGCCTCATTACAAGATATGTATAACTAAAGATACACCCAGAGGTGGGTCGGAACCAGGGGTGGGCGCAAGAGACAATCTCAAAAAACGCAAGACGCAAAACGCAACGCAAGGCCAAAATTTAACGCAAATAACGCAAGACGCAAAACGCAAAACGCAAGAGCGCAAAAATAAGGAAAAAAATTTTTTTAATCAAGTATTAGTCATTTTTCAGTTAAAATAAAGTATTACTATAAGTCAGCGTTTCCTACTCGACTTTGTGATACATGTAAGTTGGATGGGTATTGATTTGGAGTTATCCTGGATAAAAGGGATTATGAACGATATCAGAGGATTTAAAGGGATAATTTGGAGGGATCAAGGAAATCATGGGATTATCGAAGGATGTCGGGTGAGTTGGGGAGATAGCAAAGGATGAAGGCTATAAGTAGTTATGGATTGATATGGGGATAACGGGAGACTGATCTCCAGATAATGAACCGATATTCTTCTGAGCCGTTCCATGATGGAAAATTGATATTTAAATACTCTAATTTTAGCGCCGCAGGCACTAATTTTAGGAATTTTGGAAGGCCATAAAGCCAGATTTCTTCCTTTTTTAGCGCCGCATGCGAAAATTTTCAGAATTTTGGAAAGCCAGAAAACAGATTTTTTCCAATTTTGCCCCCAGATTAGAAGATTAACGGGAAGAATTAATTTATTAATCTCTAGATATATTCATCATATCAACTTAATCACTCGAAGACCTGTTTAATTCTGACAATCCATTAATATCTTCTCGAAATTGATAGATTCCCAGATATCCCTAGAAATCTCCGACTTAACCACTCCTGATCCTTCTTCATTTTCAGCGCCGCAGGCGAAAATTTTGTGAATTTTGGAAGGCCAGAAAGCCAGATTTTTTCCTTTTTTAGCGCCGCAGGCGAAAATTTTCAGAATTTTGGAAGGTCAAGAAGAAAAATTTCTCCAATTTTGTCCTTAGATTGGGTATATTTTTTGCGTTAATTTCATCGAAAAAAACGCAAAACGCAAAACGCAAAAAAAAGGCCAAAATTTAACGCAAATAACGCAAAACGCAATACGCAAAACGCAATGCGCCCACCCCTGGTCGGAACAGTCAGAGGTGTCGGAAATCGGAAATGGCTCAAAAGTCGGAAATCGGAATTCCGACCCACCTCTGGAACACCCTCAATTTAAGACGGGGGACATAAGTAGGGGGATCGGCCAACGCATTATAGACTCCAAAAGTGTATCTTGTACTGAAGTCTAATTAATAAGACTTTTTACCAAAAAATTAATTTCAATTCTTCTTTTTAGGTACAAATACCCACGCTTCTTTCCATTTATATCCTCAACGTCGCCCAATATCCTTTATTCGAACAGATTTACAATTATTGTCAATGATGAAAATGCTTGTACACGATAATTTAAATCCGTTTATGGGAATTGCTTTTAATGAAAGTTTGAAGGAAAAAGTTTTGAAAAATAATTTTTAAAAAATTTATAGAGGACGAGTTGCTAGTTTTATGGAAATTTTGTTCTCGTGGAACAATTCAGGATATTATATATAATGAAAGTGTTACTTTAGACAGTAAATTTCATGCTGCTTTTGTTAGAGATATTACTTTGGTAATTTAATTAATTTAGAGAAATTCTGCGAGTGTTTCAAAATTATGTGCTTAAAATCGGAGATATTTTCTCGGTTAATTCCCCTGGGGAATTATGTTTTCAACCCATGGGAAATTAATCGAGGGAGGGGAATTATTCGAGTTTTGGCATTTGAACGTGCAGTAGGGTATTTTGAGGTGTGGAATTATTGTTTCAACCCAATTCTAGCATGGGGAATTAATCGTGAGGGGAATTAATCGAGAGGTAACCTTTCCATCTTTTTACTCCCTTCTATTTATTTTTTCCGGAAAGTAAATAAATCCGGAAATTTAAAAATTAATTTTTAGGGTCTAGAGTATTTACACATGTCACCAATTGGGTATCACGGTTCATTAACTCCTTGGGCCTGTTTAATTGACAGAAATTGGATGGTTAAATTAACTGATTTTGCAATAGCTAATTGTATAGAACGTTGGGAAAAGAGCGGATATGTTACTAAAGAAACGCTTAAAGATGGGGAAGATAAAAGTGGAGCTACACAATTAACAAGTATTTAATTTAAAGAGGGGGGATGTAAATTATTTGAGAAAGATTAACTAATATAGCAGATACGGTAGACGGTAATTACTACAGTGAGATATTCGCGGACATCCACAAAGCTTTGTTTAATAATGTACCATGTACTTGATAGACCTATCGTTTGTTTCAATTTCAAAAGGATCTAGGCTTGTCCGCAAAATTTGTTGAGTATAACATGAATTTTACTTGAATTAAAAAAAATCCCTGAATTAAAATATATTTTAGATGTGCTTTACTGCGCCCCAGAGCTGGTAAGTCCCTTTATTTGTTACAAATATTTTGACTTTTAATAAATGCATCACAGTTGTCCTCTCTATTACATGTGAGAAAATTGTCTAAAACTCTTGAGTTCTCACTTTCATTAAAAAAGAAGGTACTCTGCGTTTATATACCCCCACGTCCGCAAATGTTTGTCCGCACTTTTCTCCTTTTCCTTCTTTCTCCTCTCACAAGGATGATAAATGGTCAAGCATCAATAAACCCCCATTTTCTTTGTCTTCTCCTTCTTTACTCCTTTCATTTTGATTAAAATGGTCAAGTAAAAATAGAGGTCAAGAATTTGGCACTCTTCACTTATATGCCCATTTTTCACCGTGTCGAAACAGAATAAGTATGGCGTCATTCGAAAGAGCTTGGAAAGCGTGCAGCTATAAGTTGGTCTTTTGCAGGTATAAGTGCAGGTATAAGTTGGTTTGTGCAGGTATAAGTTGGTCTAAGCAAAATTGTGACCAACTGAATTTTCGCTGCAATAGCCTCCAAAATAATTTCTAAACATTGTTTTATTTTTAAATGACCATTTTAATCAAAATGAAAGGAGTAAAGAAGGAGAAGACAAAGAAAATGGGGGTTTATTGATGCTTGACCATTTATCATCCTTGTGAGAGGAGAAAGAAGGAGAAGGAAAAGGAAAAAAGTGCGGACAAACATTTGCGGACGTGGGGGTATATAAACGCAGAGTACCAAAAAGAATTTGGGGTTCGGCGTGGCTCAATCCCCTACTTCTCCCGTATAGGCTTTCGATCTTACCTACCCGAAGAGAGGATACAATCAGACTTCGGTATTAGACTTCCCTTTCATAATTCAGTGTATTTTATTCCGTGGGCATTTCGGTTCCTTGTAACAGGGATGCCGAACCCTAAAATCAAATTCCATTTTTCTGCCTATTTTAGCCTTGTTTTTCACGTTTTTGCGGAAATTTGTAATTAAAAATGAAAGAGTTTTTGTGTTAATTTTTGTTACTTTATTTTCTTTAAAAGCTCAAAAATCGTGAACAAAACCGTCGACGTGGAATGGAACAGGGATGGTTAAAACAAAGTCAGGCTAGACGACAAGCAGGGGATATTTATTCTTTTGGGATTGTTATGTATGAAATTTTGTTTAGGTAGGGGATAGCTTTTGAAGGAGAATTTAAATTTCTTTTTTAGAGCCCTGCCCTTCCCAGAAGGCACCGATTTGACGGGTAAGTTTGCTGACAAGGAATTCTCAGGCAAGTGGCAGTGGCAGGCCTAATTTATTTTTATTTTATTTTTTGAGTATTTTAAACAAAAATTATTTTTAATTAAGAAGAAAAGGCCTTTTTAGAGTAAATTCACTTGCCTTTTATTTGTGTTTGTTTTTATTTTTCCTCTTTTTCTTCTTTTTTTCTGTTTACTATTTACTGGCACAAAACTTGTTTTTTAAATGAACTCTTCATAATTCCGGAACCTGTTAGTGGAGTAGAAAATGTAAAAATGAAAGCACGGAACCGTTAGATTCTTTAGGGGATCTCCTTATCCCCCCCCCCTCCCCCCCCCCCCATTTTGAGGAGAAGCTGAACTTGCTTATCGTGGCAGTTTCTTGATAGTTTGATCTAGGGTAACAACCCGTACTCCGACCCCGATATGCCACCCCCGGTAAACGCCGATCCCCGACTTATCCGACCCAAAGGGTCGGGTTGCTACCCTAGTCTACCTATTTTCCTTAGATTTGGGAAAGAGATCAGCCCCAATTTCCTCGTTTAATCCAGAAAAACCCCAGGAGATTTGGCTCTATTCCCTTGTGTAATTAACAAGTTTTGCTGCTCTTTATTTTAACTTTTTTCTAATCACAAAAACAAAATTATTTATTTTTAAATATTTTTAATTAATTAAATTTAAATTAAAGAATTATGTGAATATGTACGAGATGGCTCTAAAACATTTAAACCTGTTATTGCTGATCGTTCACAAATACATCCAGATATTATTGCTTTATTACAGGTAAAAAATATTTTTTTTGGCTTTGTTATACTATCCATAGAAACGTTAATCAATTCACATAAATATAAAAATAATTTCGAATTCGTACATCTTAAATTGTGGGAAGTTCAGGGAAAATGTGGGAAATAAATCTAAAAATTACCAATTTTTACTTAATATAATAAATCATATTTATTAATGCTTTTTATTCTTTCTTTTATTCCAAATTTTTGAGCACTCTAATAACTAAAGTTTATTCTTAATTTTTGGGGGAGGTTATTAACTAATAACCTTTATTATTTTTAATAAGATTAAATAAAGATTGGACTAGGGCGAAATCTCGAACAATGATCTCGGTTATTGAGATCGAGATTTTCGAGATGATAAAATAAGATTAACCAAATCACATATAAAAATAATCTCGAATTCGTGTATCTTAAACTATGGGAAGTTTAAGGAAAAAATAGAAAATGAACCCAAAAATTACTAATTACTATTTTCTACTTAATATAAAAAATTCCATTTATTAAAGCTTTATATTCTTTCATATATTACAAAACTTTAGGCGCTTAATATATAATTGATATCTTTAATTTTTGGAGGGGTTATGAGCTAATAACCTTTTTTTACTTCTTAACAGAAGATGTATCTTAAAGAGAAACCTGGCCGAGACAAAATTTTGAACAAAAATCTCGGTTATCGGGATTGAGATTTTTCAAGATATCGATCTCGATTGTCGTACGACACTCCTGGTTAGGTTTCTAATCTTAAATAAGGGTATCGCTTCAATCGAATCTTAAAAAACTTTTCTTAAATTGATATTTTTTGTATGTTGACTATTTTTTTCCAACATGTAATAGAATTCTCTCCTTTGTTGAATGTCTTTAATATAAATAAATATATTGATATTGGAACCATATCTTTATTTGAGCCACAATTAATGTGGGCGGTTTGGGTATCCGGAGCCGAAAAAAGCCAGGATATCCGAAAATTTTCGGTTCGTATACCGGTTCCGTTTATCCGGAAATTCTCTCTAATATAACACCTCGAATTGAAATCACGGTGTAGAATAAATATGGTATATTTTCTTTAAATATACCATATTTAAAGATACCTATTTTCTTTAAAAATTAATTTTTAATTTAAAAAAGGATTGTTGGGCAACAAATCCAGAAATCCGTCCATCAATTAGACGTGTTCGTCTAAACACAGAAAATTATTTGAAAGTAAAAGGATCTCTTGTTGATCAAATGATGAGAATGATGGAACAATATGCAAATAATTTAGAGAAGTTAGTACAAGAAAGGACTGGAATGTTGGAAGATGCAAATAAAAGGGCTGATAAATTATTGAATCAGTTATTGCCTAGCTATGTTGCTAATGAACTGAAATTGGGACGTTCTGTTGCTCCTAAAACGTTTAAATCTGCATCTGTTATGTTTAGGTAAAAAATTCTTTAAAAGAAAATTTCTTTGTTGCAAATCTTGACTCGTGTTTTGGGTGATTGACTCATTGAAGTTTTTAGAAAATATACAACAACAATCCATAACCCAAAAAATTCCCCCTAAATTCCCTCTTGAGATTTTTAGTTTTTGAAGAGCATTTCTCCCCAAAAAGTCAGCCACAAGCAAGATTTATTATAAATTGTCAAGGGAGTGAAAAGGGATTACCTTCTTAACTCAGTCAATCTCCAATCCAAATATATACCCCTCCCCCCACTAGAAAATATACCCTAGAAGCGTGAAATTCAAAGAATTACAAAATGAATTTCCTTTGTTATTTATTCTATAAGTACATAATATAAGGTCTAAACCTTGCTTCGGATTGAAATTCCAAATTGAGTACAAGAATAATTCTACACAGAAATAATCCGAAACTAATGAATAAAGTCCCAAATTTTGGAGTTTGAAGGAATAATTTGGGGGGTTCCAAACACTAATTAATATATTTTTGTTTATCAACGAATATATTTAGTGATATTGTTGGTTTTACTACTTTATGTTCTGGTTCTTCTCCACTTGAAGTTGTTACTATGTTAAAGTGAGATTATTTTAAAAGAAAATATAATTAATTTATTTAATTATTAGTACTGTATATACAGGATTTGATGATTTAATTAACAAACATGAAGCTTATAAAGTAGAGACTATTGGTGAGTAAATAAATAAGAAAATGTGGGGCTAGTTACGGTACTGATTACGTCAGGGAGAACGTTTACTTACACCTGGGGCAGCGTTTACGTCATATTTTGGCGCTGGAAAGCCTATCGGCTTTGCGATACTAGATGGTAATAAATCGCCATGGATTTCCAATGGATTATAAATAAACGAGCTTTCCATGCACAAAAGATCTTTTAATGAATTACTGCAATCTTTATATTTAGTTTTTAAAAAACTGGAGGGATTACCTTTAACTCAGTCAATCACCTCTTCATTTTCCTCTTATTTTTAGGTGATGCTTACATGGTAGCGAGTGGTATTCCACAAGAAGTAATATATTTTATTCCAGAATAAGTTTGTATTAATTTTCAATAGATTGGTGTTCGTCATTTAATGCATTTAAGCGATGTTGCACTTGAAATTATGGCTGTAAATTAATTTTTTTGTAAAAGAAAAATAATTTTCCCTTTAGTTTCTAAAAAATTACGAAATTCCCCATATGAAACCACAAAAAATTCGAATAAGAATTGGGGTACATACAGGAACTGTTGCTGCTGGAGTTGTTGGTTTAACTACTCCTCGTTATTGTCTTTTTGGTGATACTGTGAGTGTTTGTTAATTAATTAAATTTTAATTTTAAATAAACAGGTAAATATGGCTTCTCGTATGGAATGTATGTTTTTTAAGAATATTTTTAATTTTTAAAAATTGATATAATTTTGCTGAGAGATAGCCCTTGGCTATTACCCTATTTATATTCCAAAAGAGAAAAACCATTTTATATAATCCTTGATATTTGTTTTTCTCTCAATTTTCGAAATTTTTTAAAAATTTTAGAATTTTGATAATTTATTTATTACAAAGTTCTGGAAAGGAATGAGATATTTACTAGAATTAACATTGTTCCAATCCATAGCTAGAAAAAGCTATAAAACACCTGGGCCCGTAGAGAGCTCGGTTGCTGGTTTAGGTAACCATTGTCACCTAACTAACTTCTTGTTCTACGGGCCCTGGGCCATTACCCTCACTTAATACGAGATTGTTTTTTATAAATTACTCGACCTTCTAAATTATTTTTAAAAATTTAAAGCAAATGGATTACCAGAACGTATACAAATAAGTGAAGCATTTAAAGAAGCATTACAAAAGCACTATCCAGAATTTCGTGTAAAACCTCGAGGGAAAGTGGAATTGAAGGCAAGTTTTGAAATTTTTGGGGACTAAATATTTTGTCATAGGGTAAGGGAATTCACCCCATTCAGGGAAAAGGAGAATGTTTTACTTATTGGCTTTGTGGAAAAGTTGGACAGGAAGATGAACAGCCATATGCACCCTCTCCTGAATTGTTGTCTCAAGTACAGGCTATCTCTGCTGGGGGGCCATTACTTAATGCTGAATCGCCAATTAGTATAACTGTTGGTTAAAAGGAAATGTTTTGGAATGAAGAGAAAAAAATGAGAAGAGAATTTATTATATTTTGTGATTTTTTATCTTTAGTAACCTATACCCCCTTAAACAAAAAATTTATTTTTAAATATATTTTCCTTTTTTAAAATTAAGAGTTTGGACTTTTTAAATTCCCAGCCCCCTCTATTCTTTTTTATTATAACCTGACTATGAGCTGGTTTGCAGGGTTTAAACTCTGAAAAACTCGAGGGAGGGTGGAATACAACCAGTCTTAGAGTAATGGACCCCGGAAACATAAATCTATCTAGTCTAAACTCTATTTTCAAAACCTCCCCTTTAAATAGTTAAAAACAAACTTAGTGTTTATTTTGTTTATTTGTAACTCATTTTACTCTATAATGTTTTTAACAGTTTATAAAGAATATTTTCGGAGAGGATATAATTATTAGGTTAAATAAGGTTATTAATTGGAGAGGTTAAATATTAAAAGATAAAGGTTGTAAATTTATTCAAATTTTTGGAAAGAAAAAATATTTGTTGCTTCTCAAAAGACAAAGAATATATTTGTGTGTTTTCCGGAAAAGGGTTTCTCGCAGATTAAAATTTAACAAAAGAAACAGATCCTTGAACAAAAAAACTTTCAAAAATTTTATTTAAATAATTTTTTAATTAAAATAATACAATAACGAGTTTTATTCTTTGAAAAACTTGGAAATTTTGAAAAAGTCAAAAAAATATATTAAGCAAAATTGGCTTGTAAAGCATTTGAAGGGAATGTAAAAATAATTAATTTAAATATTTTTCTCTTCATTTCAATTTCTTTCTTGCTTACATTTACTCATCAATTACTAAAAATAAAAAATATTTTTCAAATCTTCCAAAATTTTTTCTACCTTCCACCCCAGTCTTTACAATTGGCTCAACATGTTTTAACCCAGTTTTGTCAAATTCAGCAGCCATTTTTGGTGTTTTCTCGGATATTATGTCTTGTGTTGTAGGCAACACATTCCTTCAAAATTTAAATTTTTAAAAATTATTTTTTCTTTTCCCCTCAACTTTTCCTCAGCCTCAACATGTCGCAGACTCGAATTTTTATCAAAATCTTCAATTCCTTTCTTCAAATCTTCACGATTACGTTCTTCTTGCAAATCTTGTTTTGTTGGCAAAACGTTCTTCTCTAAAGTCTCAACATGCTTTAAACCAGCACGTTGGGCTACTTCGGTTTGCATTGCTTCCGACATTTTTGGAAGTTTCGAAGAGTCTGTTTCGGTCATTCTTAAGAGAAATTATTTTGATAATAAATAATTCTGAAAATGAATTTTTAATAAAAAAACTTTTTATTTTTATGTGCCTCTGGAATATTATACATATTTACAGAAAAATTAATTTCAAAAAATACAAAATTTTTAAATACACAAAAAATATATTTTGTTTTTTACACAATATAGAATTTCCGAAAAAAATGAAAATTTAGATATACAAATTGAGGAAATTACATCAAATATTATTTTTAGTATTTAAAAATTATAATTAGCTTTTTAAATATAAAAACTTGTATTTTTGTTGTTTCCGGAAAATCCTTTTTCTTTACATTAAAAAAATATTGTCATTTCCAGAAATTTTTTAAAATTGATTCCAGTGTTTTCCGGAAAATTTACAATTATAAAACACAAATATGTATTTGTAAATATTTAAACAATTTTTGTGTATTGTGTAAAAAATAAAGAAAAAATATGTTATTTTTATAACAACCATTCTACAAAAAATGGAATGAATTGATTTGTAAATGGGGGAACACAATAACGGTGAATATATAAAAATAAATAAATTTATATATTTAATCGTTATAAGAGAGGAAAGGAAAATATATGAATCAGCCACAAACATTTTTCAAGTCCTTTTTACATTCCGACGATTGATGCGATTACAAATAAAATAAAAATAAATTTATTTTGAAGGACACATCATTTTATTTATTTTAATGAAAGAGAAAAGAATAATCGAGATTTGTGTAAAAGAGGGAAAGGAAAAAAACAATTTTTATGAACACATTTTGGAACAAAACAAAATCACTTTCATTAATTTATATTTTCGAATAAAGCTGTGGTCAAAAAGCAGCAAAAAGCAGTTAAATGAAACGTACATATTTAAAAGAAAAATCGATGTGTTCTGTTAGTTTTTAAATAAAAGAAAAAAATCTCTACTTTTAAAAATCTCTCTACGGGATACTAAAAAGTATTTTTTATTTTATAAACAAATCTTTGCTCTTGTTTTTAATGGTTTTGGAGGATTTTTTGGTCAATGATACTTGACGGGGGTTAGATGGTTATTGTAATTTGTATATTTAAAAGAAAGCCTTTTTAAAAATTATTTTTCAAAGAAAATACATCAGAAAATTTCAATTTCTTTATCAACATGATAAAAGATAATTAAAAATTAATTATCAAATTATATGTTATTTTAACAAATATTATGCGTATGAAAATTTGAGAATAAATTTTCTTTTAAAAATTGGAAACATTCAAGTCTTTCGAGTACTTAGATAAGTCTTCAGCTTCGGTTCGGCATAAACTTTGTCAATAAAAGCAATCAATTCTTTGTATTTCCCGACAATTTCCGGCTCAAATGAACGGACCAATTCAAAATATTCAGCCAATACAAAATCAACATAAGTTAAGCCTGATGAGACAAAAAATCCCGATCCAGACTCTGCCAGCAATTTGACAAAAAGTGGAAAGACTCGTTCTGCACCAGGCAGAAATACATCCTTTCGAAGTTTATCCTAAAAAATAACGATAATTTTGAAAAAATATAGGGGGATAATTAAGTAACCACATCCCCTTATTTAAACCATAATTTTGTCTCAAAATCCAAAAATAAGCACTAAAACCTCAAGAATAGAAGTGAAAAATGAAGGAAATTAATGTTAAAGAAAAAAATCCTAACCACATCGCCTTCACGAATACCCCATTTAGCATAAATATAAGGTGCCAATTCATTATAAACATCCTTGTAAAAGTCAAAAATTTCAACAATTTTAGCCTTCTCCCATTCATCCTTTCCGGCCAAACCTTTAAAAGGAGAGAGAGAATAAAAGGGATTAAAATTTAAATATTTTCACCAAATTTATTAGACAAATATTGAAGGATTGCACCGGACTGAGCCAATTGCTTTCCATCAACTTCTAACACAGGAACTTTTCCATAGAAGAATTCTGAAGAAAATTAAAATATTGGAAATCTTTTAAATGGTTATTTTAAGTAAAAATTTCGTTCTATAAATGACTTAAAAATTTTAAGTTTATTTACTCTTACTATTTTTCTCGTTTGGCCAATTTTCAGCTGTAAAGCGGTTGTCTTCAAAAGTTTCGCCAGCATAATGAAAACTATAAAAATATTAAAAATATAATTTAAAACAAATTAACCAAAGTCGAATAGCTTCACCCAAACCACGCACATCAAAATAATAAAGTTTATATTGAACCATCTTTTTTAAAATGTAAAGGTTGTAAAGTAAAAATAAATCTAAAATAAAATAAAATAAGAGCGCAAAATAGTTGAAATAATTAGGTATATTTAAAGGGATTTGTCGTTGAGGTGGGTTGGGAAGGGAAGGGCCTGTTTTTCCAATTAAACAAGTGGTTGGAAAGAGGACTGTGAAATAAAAGGCTGTAAATAAATTGTCCAACGGAAAAGAGGCAAAGAAGAAAAAAGCGACACGAGACATACAAAATTTAATATAAAATTTAAAATGTTGTAGATACAATTTTATGATTAACACAATTATTAAGGAAATATGAATGTGGCTTTTTTTGGACACTAAACACTCTTAAATATAAATTTATGGAATAAATAAACAAAATTTAGAAAAGAGGCGTAGAAGAATAAAATAAACTTGCCGACTCAAAAAAGAAAAAATAAACAAAACGAGAGACTATAGAAAAGAAAGAGGTTGGGATAAAAAGACATTTTTAAAAACATTTCGCCAACTCATCTTCTGTTTGCGAATTTTTGAATATTTAGGAGTGACTCATTTTCCTCTCTAAATTTTATTTCCTTGTAAGAACTTTTAATTTTTTTAAAAGTTTTTTGTTAATTAATTTTATTTATTTTAAAGGAAATGTCTGTTGACAATTGGAGTTGTCCTAATTGTACATTAATTAACAACATTCAAGAACATTGTTGTAAAGCTTGTCTTTATTCATTTAACAAGAATAACCGAAATGGCTTTCTTCGAAAATTAAAATGTATTTTTTAAATTACTCAAAAAAATTTTTTAATTTAAAGTGCCTCACTTCTCAGTCAATTCTGCCTTAGAAAAATTAGATTCAGCTCTAGATTTAATTACTAATAGCCCTGGACGGTCTTCTACAAGTCAACAAAATGTTCAGATATATCCACAGTTTAATCATTCCCCTGCTATTTGGAAATGTTCTAGCTGTTCTCAATTAAATAATCATTCAGGCAAAAGGTGTGACTGGTGCAATTTGGCTAGGGAAACTGGTAAATTTAATTTTTTAATTTAATGTGGGGACTGGCGGGAAGGATTTATTTATATACAATCGAATATCGATATTGCACCTCCCCGTTAAAATGTCTCTCTTTATTCTAAATTAAATTTCGAGATGTGTTTTATCGAGGTTTGACCCCTGATAGCACTCTCTTTCATTAGGACGTCAGCTCAATTCAGTCCCGAGGGTCACGTCTTATCGAGATCGACTGAACATCACTAAATATCTCGACTGTATGTCGAATCTTATGTTAAGTTTAATTTATTATTTTAGATGCTACTTATAATTATTGGACTTGTTCAAATCCAAATTGTTGTCTTAAACAGCCACTAACACCTTTAAATGGAAAATGCCCACTTTGTCGAGTCAAATCTTCATATCATCGAATGCAAGCCTCTAAAAGCATGGTAATACTTATTTTTAAAAATTCAAGCTTGCAAATTTTTTATTAAATTTATTTTAATTTTCTAGCCTCGTTTATCAGATATTGGACTTGTTGAAAATGTTCTTTCACTCCCTCAAGAAGAAATTGAGGATAAAATTGTTTATTCAGATAGATATAATTCAATAATAGAACATTGCAGGTTTTTCTTGAAATAGTAGTAAATACTCTAAATTTTTAGAAAAATTTTTAAGACAGACTAATCATTGTTTTTTGGACGATTCTTTCCCACATTCTCTTCATTCAATCGGCCCTCTTTCACAGTTTGAATGCAAGAATTTAGATATTATTTGGCTCCGACCTTCTGAAATATTTACTAGAGATGGACATTTAGTTCGATGGGCTGTTTTTAATGATCCTCAACCGACTGATATTGAACAAGGTTTTCTTTGTTATATTTTTGTGAGAAAATTTTTAAAATTAATTTTTAAATTAATTTCTAATTTAATTTTCATCAATTTTAGGTCTACTTGGTAATTGTTGGTTTCTTTCTGCAATGGCTGTTGTTTCTGAAAGACCTGATATTTTAGAAAGACTTTTTCTCTCAAAAGTCTACGATCATTATGGCGTTTATGAAATGAGGTTTTTTTAAATTTTTAAATCTATATTTGGTTCTTTATTAAAGATTATGTGTTGATGGATTATGGAAAAATGTTTTTGTCGATGATTTCTTTCCTTGTCATAAAAGAAGTCGGACAATGGTTTTTGGTGTTGGACGAAAGAATCAACTTTGGCCTTCTCTACTTGAAAAAGCTTTGGCTAAGATTTATGGAAATTATGCAATTTTGAGGGCTGGAAGGATTTGCGAAGGTTTATATTTTTTTTAATTTTCAAAAAAATTTTTTAAGGACTTTCAACACTAACTGGAGCCCCAACAATTTCTTTAGATTTGGAATATATTGATTTAAATTTTGAAGGAAGAATGTCGGCATTAAACATTGTTTGGGCTAAATTATTAAGTGCCAGAGAAGCTCGTTTTATTATGGGATGTTCTTGTGGAGCAGGAAATCGTCCAGTCAATGAAGATGAATATAAAAAATTAGGTTTGATGAGTCAACATGCTTACTCTCTTTTGGATGTTAGACAAACTAGAGAAGGATATAGGTATTTCTATTTTAGTTTTACTCTCAAATTAGCTACTCTCCTACCTCACATTTTCTATTAAAGATTAGTTCAACTTCGAAATCCTTGGGGTTCTTTTGTTTGGAATGGCGAATTTAGCCGTAAATGGCCTGGATGGACTTCAGAATTAAAAAAAGAACTTGCATCAGATGCAAATAAACAATCAGGAACTTTTTGGATGCCTTTTGAAAGATTAGCTAATTATTTTGATACAATTGATATTGCTCAAATTAACAGAGGTTGGATATCTACAAGGCATTTGTTGGATATTGGTTGGGTAGAAGGAAGGACTAGGTTTGTTGAATATTTTTAAATACATCGGAATGATTTCTTTAATGCTGATGGAGTAAATCGATTATATAAGGTTTTGACTGATAGTTTGCATCGGTCCCTTGGGATTGGGTTTATGTTCGAATCTAGTTGTTGGCCTACTCATATTCATTAATTTTTTACTTATTGTTGATTTATTTATATTTAATTATTATTTAAAGGATTGTCCGCTTCACAATTACTGAACCAACAGAATTATGTGTTATCTTACATCAAAGAAATGCCCGAACAGTTATAGATCAAGTAGATATTTTGGTTACAATACACAAACAAGAAATGAATAAAGATGGATTTCCTGGTTTTTTTTCGAATTTAATTTTTCATTCTTACTTTTTTTTTGATTTTAGGAGAATTAATTTGTCGTTCACCAAGAAAAATCGGACCAATTGTCCGTACAGAAGACTCCTTTTTTCAACCTGGAGAATATTTAATTTTTGCTCATTCTTTTTCTAATTTTGGTGAAATGATTCCTGGCACAGTTGTTATTCATAGGTTTTTTTAAAAATGTTAGTTTAATGTAAATTTTAATATAGTTCGAAGAAAATCTTCTCTGAATCTCTTACTTCCTCATTGGAAGCTTTACGTTCTTCTATTTGTTTTTTAATGCTTAAAGAAGGTTCTATAAATGGTGTAAGTATAATTATAAAATATTTTTAAATACATATTAATTTTTTACAATTAATACACACATTTCGTGAATATAGTCTTTTCTAAATTATTTCCAAAAACTAAAAGTCTAAAGAAAATATATTAAATTTAGGATTCTAATGGAATGATTGCTCGTTATTTAACTAATAGTTTTGCTGGATTGGCATTAATGGTTGACAATACAAATCCAAATACGTGTGTACAGGTTGGTATATTCTAAATAAAAACTAACTTGATTTTTAAAAGCCTAATGTGCTTATAAAAATATGTAGGTACTGTCTAATTATAAACCCTGCTTTTTCCTTTCACTTTTCTCATTCTTCTTTTATTTTTTTCTTATAAAAGTCAAAAAATAAAATTATGGTGCTGATTTTTCGACTAGGTTCATCTCCTAGTTTAGTACAAATAATTATAAAACAAATTTTTTGTGGAAAAAACATATTAGTAATATGTAATTTTTAATACCTATTCTTTACTCATTAATTAATTATAATCTTTTGTCGATAACATTTTAATTATTATTTATTTTCTTCTCTATAAATCCCTTCACGTTTACTACAATTTACATCACTTTTAGCCCTTAAACGAAAAATTTTTGAAAAAGGAGAGGAAAATAAAGGTGTTGCAGAACTTGAAGGTTGCTCTTCTCCTTTTTTGTCCAAAATTTCTATAAATTTGTTTTTATTAGAAATAATTTCATAAATAGTCTTTACCTGTTTTTCTCCTTTCTTTTCTTTCATTATTTAATTTATCTGTCTCAATTACATCATCAAAACTTTTACAATTTCTAATTGCTTTAGGAACAGTTAATTTCTTTAAAAAAATTTGTTTTTAAATATTTTTAATTTAGGTTTAGTAGCTTCGCCTATGGAAATGTCCTAGGCTCCGTGTTTTTATGTTCTGAACATCAAAAATATTTAGAACCCAAATCAAACGTTATTAACTGTTCCCCCTTGGATTCATTCCCTAATTTTTTTTCTAAACCTGTTTTTGTTGTTTGTCTGTAGATAGAATTGAACGTAATTTTGCACCAAAATTAATAAGCATTTTTCCATCTGGGGTTAACATATCTGCATTTAATGGGCGGCATGGACTTATGAAAGTTTTTGAACGTTCTCTTCCTTCCATTATTTCTCTATTTTAAGTAAAAATATTTAAAAAGTTATTTAATTTATTACAATTGTTCATTTGCCACATTTACAGACATTCTTCGTTGTATTTCTTCAATTTCTTGTTTGTTATCAGAATTATTATTGTTGTTAAGCATTTCAGATTTTTTAAACATATTTTAACATTTAAATTTCATTTTTTGTTTAAACAAAATAATTATTTTAGCTAAATATAGTCTCTGTTATTGATTCTTATAAAAAATTTGCTTTTATCTAACAAGCAACAAAGAATTAACCTGTCGGCACATAAGGGAATTGACAACTAAATAAATATTGAAGGCTCTAACTAATTTATTTTTCTTTTTTTCTTTTTAATTGTTTGAGTTTTTAACGTTTGTTTGCGTCATTGCGCGCTACAATAAGAAAATATTTAAATAATTGTTAGGGGATTAATGGGGGTTTTTTTCTAATTATGGGAAGTAAGTGGAGCGTGTTGTTTTAAATTGTTAGTTTAAAAGAAAATTTATGGGGGATTTACAGTAAAGACTCTTCTTATTTTTGTGAATTTCTGTAAAAAATCGAGAATTAAATCTATTGTCATTCTTTAGTCTTTTTTCTGGACAAATCTTTTAATCTATTATGTAATTTTATATATCTGTTCTTTTACTTATTTGTAATCTTTTAAAATTGAAATTTGGGAATTGTAGATATATTTGAAGGATATTACACATACCCTTGGGAGATATTTTGTGGAATTTTAAGAATTGTTTTTTTATTTCTTGAAGAATATTAAAGAAAAGTAGAACTCACAGATATTCTTTATTCAAACTTTAATATATTTTTTACTTTTGGTTTAAATAATTATATCTTAGTCCTACCCTTAACCAACTAAATAATTTTAAAAAAATCATCATAAGCTCTCTACAAAAAATTATATTTGTTAGGTTCGTTCAGACTTTAACAACTCAACAAATGTTTTGTCTACAAGAGGGTCTCTGTTTGCTGTTGATTCTTTACCTCCTTTACATCGCCAGGTATTTTTAAATGTTTAATGAAAATAAATTAAGTTTTTTAACAATGATTAAATTAAATAATTGCGTGTCATTTGACTATTTTTGTGATAAAATTTAAAAATGAATGAGTTAAAAATCTGAAAATTTAACAAAAAAATTTGTTTAATTTTTTATTCTCTTTTCCCTTATTTTCAGATAATAATTGTTTTAACTCATGCCGAAGCATCTCAACCTTTATCTGTTGCCCACAGTCTCTGTTCTCGTTCTACTTCATTCCCTCAATTAAAGGATTGGTCTCCGTCAACAAATTATTTTCATTCTCAAAACCTTCCTCTTCTGATTGGTGAATCTATTGGAATTTTACATGGACCGATGCCTTTATATATTTGATTAAATTTAAATACGAAAAAAGAATTAAACTTAAAAGAAAATTTTACTTTTACATGCTTGCCTTTTACTAAATACAGTCGGGCCTCATTATAAAATAAATTATCTAAATTTCTGATACGTTTTTAAAAAATTTGGTTGGCCATTGGGAGGGAAGGGGATTGTGGGTAGAGCCTGTCTGTATTTAAATTTTAATATTTAAAAATTTTTCTTGTGCAAATTTTCATTTGACTATATTTTAACATTTTTTGGATTTTTGATTAAACATTCCCCCAAATATTGACCTTTACAAATATAATTATTCTTTCTGATAGTAATGCTAATTTTTTAAATTTAATTTTTTTAAAAGAATAATTACCTAAATATAAATTTTATTTTTTTGTTTAAATTTAAAAAGTTTAAACGACCTAATTTAAGAATTTTAGTTTTAAAAAAAATATATTTGAAAATTATTTTGGATTTGCATAATTTACACAATTTATATAATTCTTTCTAGTTTAAACTTTTAATCATTTTCTTTCAAAAATTTTATTTTATTAAACATATCAACTAAATAAAAGCATTTATTACAAATATTTTTATTTTATAAAATTTATTTTAAGTAAAAAAATATTTTTTACCTTTTAATTTTGTTACATTTTTTTCATTTTACGTCTTCCTTGTGGCACTGCTTATCCGAGACAAACAAGCCTAACTATAAGATACATCCAATTTTGTCTGCCCCTCAATATATAGGCAATCTTTTCACCCCCAAGGTTATTTCTTGTAGCAAAGTTCGACTTTAAAATTTTTCAAGTTTATTTGATAATTACATTCATTTTACATGTGATTATCACGTTTTTTAAGCAAAAAATTTCAGACTCTAAATAACAAAAGAAATTATTTTCTGATTCTTCTTCCTTCAATAATTATCCACGTTTTCACACGTTTTAGGTCTCCATTTCCCTCATTTTTCACAAAAATTCGCAAGGACTAAAAAATCTTTTATAAAATATTTAAATTTAAAGGGTTTTTAAATGTTAATCCACAGCAATATATTAAAAAGATTCAAGTGTTTTTTGACAATTTCTTTAATTTATTTAATTATTATTTTATTAAATAATTTAACTTCTTCTAATTCAATTAATTTTTCTTCTTCTAAAGGTTTGTTTTAAATTATTTAAAAAAATTTTTAATTTTATGGGAAAACTTTCAAAAATTCCTTTTTTTGCTGAAAAAAGGATTAAATTTTTGATTTCCCGAAATTTACGGAGGAAACTAAATTTTATTGAAATAGGAGGTCATTGGGTATTGTCTTTTACCGGGCCATAAAATTCAATAGTCAAATTTCAACAAATTTGATTTTCAACAACCTTGAGGGTCCAAAACGGATGGGAAATTTGCAAAAGAAAATCTTTATTTTGAAAAAAAATATTTTTAAATAATAAATAAATTACAAAATATTTGTTTAAGGTATGGATATTAAAGAAAATTTAAATTATGGAATAATCATCGATGCTGGTTCAACAGGTTCAAGGCTTTTTCTTTACGAATGGATTTCGAAATCAGATAAACAATTAATTGATATTAAAATTGTGAATGATTTGGAAGGAAAACCTGTGGTTAAAAAAGTAACGCCTGGATTGAGTTCTTTTGCTGAAAAGCCTGGTTTGATTTTCATTTTTTTTGGAAAATAAAAGGAAAATTTATAGGGGAATTTCTAGCAAAACTAGTTATTCTAGGGGAATTTGGAAGGAGAACCTGTAGTGTTCTCTGTAACTTCTGTCCTCAGTATTAAAATAATTTCGGCTAGCCATATGCAGTTTTTTAAAATTTTATAAAAATATTCTAAAGATAATAGATAGTCCCAAACGGGTCCTCGAACTCAAAAAATGTTACGAAACATATTAGAGTTACTTTTTTCGTTAACTGCAAATAGAGGGAAATTTTCGAGAGACTAAAAGAAGGGGAAGCAATACATTTAATTAAATTAATTAATTTAAATAGACGCTGCCCCAGATTATTTATTGCCATTACTTCAATATGCTTCTGAACGTATTCCAACTCATAAACGTCCAAAAACTCCTCTTTTTATTTTTGCGACTGCTGGAATGAGGCTGTTGCCTTTAGAGTTTTAAAAAAAATTTTATTTAAAAATCTTTTATTTTTTTTAGAAAACAAAATTTAATTATTTCAAGTTTGAGGAAAAAACTTCCAAAAATTATTGAATTAAAAATTAATCCAGAAAATATTAAAGTAATTAGTGGAAAATGGGGTAAGTTATTTATTTTTTATTTATTTATTTAGACCTCAAGGGCTGTGAAAGCCAAAAAAATTCAAAGTTATTAAAATTTAAATTTTGTGCTTTGAAAAAATAATTTTAAAAAAATTATTTTTATTTTTTAGAGGGTATATATAGCTGGATTGCTGTAAATTATATGCTTGGACGATTTAATTCAACAACAACAAATTCTTTATCAATGAATACACAAATTGGGAATAATGAAAATAATTTTAAAATATTAGAAAGGCAAAAAACTGCAGGTTAATCGAATAATTTTTTTAAGGATTTTGGGGAAAAGGAATGTTGCGGATTGGGTAAAAATCGGATTAGGGTTTTAAAATTTTCTTTGAATTGGGTTTTAGCTCAGGTCCGTAGCCAGGGTGTTGGGTGCAGAAAAATTTTCCTTCCTTGCCCCCCCCCCCCCCCCCCCGAAAAAAATCCTGGCTACGGGCCTGTTTCGGATCGAAAAAATGTTCATGTTTCAGATAGCTTGTTGACATCCCTGTTTTCGTAGCTTAATTAAAAATTAATTTTCGAATTTAAAGGAATGATAGATATGGGGGGAGCATCAACCCAAATAGCTTTTGAACTCCCTCTTAATTTAAATGAACAACAAAGTCAGGATGAAAACGAAAATATTCAAATAATTCAATTAATTTCCTCAACAAAACAATTTTTATTTAAAATTTTTGTAACAACCTTTCTCGGTTTTGGAGTAAATGAAGGGGCTAAAAAATATGAAAAATTATTGTGGTCAAAAATTAATGATGGAAGGAATTTGTCTGAAAAGGAAATTATTTTGGATGGATGTTTACCTAAAGATTTTTTGAAATTAACTTCTATTGAAGATGAAGAGGATGGACAACAATTTATTAGAAAAGTTTGTTATTTTTTTAATAAATATTTTTTTGGAAATAATCACCACTAGGGAGAAGATTATTTCCAAATAGAATTGAGCTTCTCTTCCCCACCCCCTCACAGTTTTCACTTTCCTTTTTCTTTGAATTTCCAAAAAATTATCAGAAGATTCAACGTTTACATTATCATATTGATAATTATAGATCGACCGTACCTCATGTGTATTAGATACTCTTGGTCTCGAGCCTTGATTCCAAGACTTTTCTTGGATTTTTTCTCTCTTGAGTCTTGGAAATTTTTCGGTCTCGGACGCCTCTAATGGGTATCTGTATTTTTCGGTATTACAATACAAGATACGGTATGGTACAAAATTCCTATATTTATTGCCTTTTCCCATTTTTAATTTTTACTATTTATTATAAAGAGACTAATTTTTAAATATTTTAGGGTGATGGACAATGGGATAATTGTGTTCAAGATATTGCTGATTTAGTATATTTATATATTTTTTTAGATTTAATTTTCAATTTCTCTTTCAGATTTTTGATAAACACAAAGAATGCCCAAAAACTAAAAAATGTTTTTTTGGCGGTGTAAAAATTCCAAAAGGAGTTTCTTTATCAGATTTTGAATTATATGGATTTAGTGAATATTGGTTTAGTGTAGATGATGTTCTTTCTTTGGGGGGAATTTATGATCATGATATTTTTGAAGAAAAAGCTAAACAATTTTGTAGGCAAACATGGAGAGAAATTAAGGTTTTCTTTTAAATTATAAGTTGGCAGTTTTTAATTACTCTCGAAATTGTTGTCACTAAATATAAAAATTTAAATTTCCTGAATACCATCTATCCACGTTAGAACCGGTTGTGACCAACTATCCATAAATATGTTGTTTTTTCTCACATAATCATTTTATAATTTTTTTTCTAAAATTTTTTTACAGAAAAAAGTTCGTGCAAAACAATATCCAAAAGCAGATCGTGACAGAATTGAAACACAATGTTTTAAATCAGCATGGATCCATGCAATTTTACATAATGGATTTTATGTTGAAGAAAAAAGGAATCATTTCCAAAGTGCTTTTAAAATTAAAGGACAAGAAGTACAATGGGTAATTCAAATTTAAAAATTCATTTTTTAATTTATCCTTTTTAAGGCTTTGGGGGCAATGATTTATCAAATGAGAGACTTTCCAGTTAAAGCCAGTGGATCCGCAGAATTAAGGTAAGATTTTAAATAAAACCGGACCTTTCTACATATAAGAGATAGACACTCGGATCTTTAAAGAAATTATATCTTTGTAATGAGTGTACCCTAAATAGAGGGTATGACAGTTCCCTCGCCTAGTGGGTAACAAATTTAAAACTATTCCATAGTAGAAGTCTGATTGTAGTAATATTTAATAATTAATTCTCTTTTCTAAAATTTAGATCAACTATTCAATTATCAAATTACACTTGGATTATTCTTTATTTATTTTCTTTTATTATTGTTGTTGCTTTTATTTGGAAAACTTATCAAATTAGGAAGAAACAATTAAATGGAAATTCTAGATTATATCGTTATAGAAGGCTGGACAGGGGATTAACTCAAAATATGGCATAATTAAACCCTCAACAATTTAAGAAAAGTTTCTTTAAAATAATACTTCAATGCGGCAATATAACTTTTGTAAATTTAATTTTAACAACTGCAAAATAATTGACATTTTTGGCTAATCTTTGTTTCCCGGTATTTATTTTTTTGACTCACGTTTCGTTTTTGATCGAATAAATAGTGGGGGTGACTTATGGGGTGTATCCAAGTTTCTCATAACCTTCTGTTATTAAAATTAGGGTAACTAGTTTAACAATTCAGTTTTTTAGAATACCTACTATATCCATTTTATCTCCCCCTATTTATCTTCCCCCCTATGTATAAAACAAACCCAACCCTTGACAACATAACTTATCTCTGACATAATTTATTTGAAATGTTTTCTATTTAATTTCCTGTGATATTTTTTACATAAATTAGTATTATTTCTGTCATATTATCTCAAATGTCTAAATTTTATATGTATAAATTTTTTCTATTAATACTTTATATATAAAATACAACAAAAGTCATTTAAAAAGTTATTTTCTTTTTAAATTTTTATTGGAATATCACATTAAAATATTTTTATATAAACTAAAGTGTATTCATTTACAGGCTAAATTTACCTCCCTTTGAATATGTTGCATAAATTCAGCGTATGAATGCGAAGAATCAGTCCTGTCCTGGATTAGTCTGCTAGCAAAAAGCTCTCTTTGTGGGCTGTCATTTCTAAAAATTAAAATAAATGCATCGATGGGAAAAGATTGTTTTTAGAATATTTTAAAGTGTCTAGGGTTGAGAGGGATTGCGGGGTTGTTTTTAGATGGAATTTTAAATCTGTAATTAAATTAGCTTAAATATAGTAATTATCCAGACCTTATAACAATTATTGGTGCATATACATTCCATCGTTGATCCTGCAAGTGTTGAAGGAAGGCTGTAATTTGTTTACCCTGCGACGTTTCTTCTTCTAATTCAATCTTAAAAATATTTAAAAAAACTTAATCTTAAAAATGTTAAAACAACAAACATCTTCATCCAACTTTTCAAAACAATTAACGCCAAAAAGACCACTTATTGTTTTAGGGTTAGCGCCAGAACATACATATAAATATACTGATGTTCCTACATCAAGTAAATATATGCCTCCATTAGAGATTTGTTCATAGCTAAAATAAAAATAATTAAAATATTCCTCTAAATCGAACCTGGGCGGTAAGCGTTCTGGATAAATTTGAGCATGGTCATTTTCGATCACCTTAGAATAATATTTTAATTTTTTGGTCTGTTCTTTTTTATTCAAAAAAAGCTATAAAAAAAGCTATAAAGGTTATAAAATTTACCGGTTGTTCCACAAAATTGTGGATAGAATACAATGCCGGACAAACTTCCATTAAGAGAATCTCTATCCCAACAGTTTTAAACAGCAAAAGAGAAGCCATTCTTTCATCCATTGAAGCTTTTTGTGCACCAGAAAATGCTCTCTATAAAAAATAATTTTTCTTTAAATATTTAAAAAAAATTTTCTTACATGTTTGAGTAATCCAAGTACGTAAATTGGCATGTATTGAAGTCCTCCTTCTGCTGGCATTCTTAAAGTACTGCTTGTTTGTCCCAAAATTCGTTGATAACCTGCCAAAGCATCGACTACAGCGTTAATTAATGCTTCTCTACAGTCAGACAAATCAGAACCAGAAAGTGCTCGTTCAGTTGCTAAAAAATTGAAATATTCGAATGTATTTTTTCTATTCCAAATGTCCTTTCGTTAAGATTTAACTCTTTCCCAGACCTGATACTTACCCATTTTTGAAAGAAGAGAGATTGTTGTATTTATATCCACAGCCGAATAAACATGCGTTGTGTTTGTCAAAACAGGCAAACTAAGTGTATGAACTCGAATTCTACGATCACCTAAAAAAAATTTTTTAAAACCTTGATAAGAAAAATTGTTGTAATTGTTTCCTACCTTTTGTTGAAGTGTAGAGAAGAGCAGCTTGGAAGCAAACATGGCTAGAAGTTAATGTTTCATCAAGTTTTATTTGTACACCTAAAGCAGAGTCTGGACTGACATTTGGCAACGATAAAAGATCTGTTGACCGTACAAAGAAATTTCCATAAAAAGAATGCAGAGAAACACCTATTAAATATTCTAGATTCAAAAAATTCATTTCCTTCCAAAAACCTTTAGAACAACGTATCCTCAACACAGCTTCCAATCCCAATTTTCTTGTGAAATATCTGTGTAAAGTCATTTGGAGACGTTTTATTTCAGCTTGACCTCTCACAAAATGAAATTTCGGAAAGTGATAAACGGTCCCACTACTAAAACGAGAAATGTCTGCTGAAAATTTTGAGAAACTTTTTAGTAAAAATTAAAAATTCAACCCAAAGTAGGAAGATCAACATTTCTTTCACCAATTGCAAAAAGGTCAATTGCAATTTGCTTTCCTGTACATTCCAAAGCAAATGTTCGATAATAATCAACTTGAGGTGTAAATTTTAATTTTGAAGACTAAAAAGGGTTAAAATTATTAAATTTACTTTCTAAAAAATATTAAAAATACTTTAAGGTCATCACGTAATTTAAGAGCACCTAATCCAATATTAGGTAATGATGAAAGCATAACTGTCACACGTCCACCAATTTCTTCCTAAAATTGAAAAAATATAAAGAACTAAAAAAAGAAAAAACAAACTATTAACTCCTTTGTCACAGCCAGAGCTGACCCAAGACAATTTGAAGAAGAAACTCCATGATCAAAAATATCAGGCAGTTTTGAAATAAATTTTTTGATGCTCTGAAATAAAAATTAAAAAGCATTAAAAAAATTAACTAACCAATTTAAATTCTTCAAGGGGAACAACTAAACCAGAACAAACAGGAGGAAAACTTTCTAAAAATTAAATAATTACAAAATTTCAAAAATTAATTAACCATCAATATCAAATTCAATAATATGTTTAGGTTCTGATGTAGAATCTTCAAATTGAAAGAAATGTAGAGCAGAGTCAAAACCCATAAAGCCAATAAGTGCATTTTCGTTACCAGGAAATCTATCAATGTCAATCGTCAATTGTTCAGCAAATATATGCAAATAACCACAATCAACAGCATTTGAGCTTACATCAAGTAAGAAAAAGTAAACTGGAGGTTGAGGTTCACGAAGCTAAAAATTGAATTTTGGTATGTTATGAAAGAAAATAAGAGAATATAAAACATTTTTTACCCTATATATATACCCAAATATTTTTAAATCAAAGCAAAAAATAAACAAACCATATATTCTGTTGGAGCAATATATTCAATAGTAGTTTCCTGTAATTCTGGTCTTCTCCCCGGATCACCAAATGATTTGGTCTGCGGATCCCACAAGAATTCCTCTGGTACTATAAAAATATTTTTTTAAATCAACACTTTATCCAAATACTTACAATCATTCGCTCGATAACATAAATTACATTTCCAATGTCTAGAATCCATAATAAAAACATAGGGATTTATATAGGTCCGGCAATATCGACATCTTGTAATGACTGTATGGATTACTTTGAGACCCTATAATTTTTTTGACTATTTAAAAATTTAAAAAATAAACCTTCATATCTCTAAATGGCTGAATATGCAATCCAAGTGGTAATCTGCATTTATCCCATAATTCCTGAGTGTCTGGAATGCCAGCAAGAGAACAAGAAAACATTTTATTTGTGATAAAAAAATTTTCTCTGAAACTTAAGATTTTGAAGAACATAAAATCGGAAAAAGCAGGACTTAATTATAAGAAAGGACCGTGTAATAAGGTGTATTTTAAATAAGGGATATCATTTGGGCGATTCCACGCCCAGAAGAAAATTAAAATACTTTTAGAAAAGTACTTTAAATCCAGTATTAAGTGCATCTTATAAAAGACGTGAAAATCAAAAATGATTCATTTCCTCTCAAACTCTTCCTCGCTAGGCGACTGAAAATAGGTCCAACAAAAATCTTTGAATTTTTTATGACATTACTTAAATAATTAAATTACAGTAAAATACATTAATAGTAAATAACTCTAAAAATTCCAAAGTTCAAAACATCATTTTAACATTTAATCAACAAAATAAACAATTTTTAAAACAATTTTTAACCATTTCAAAAACAATTCTTTATTCCCCAAATGTCAAATATTTAAGCCCTAACTTCTTTCATTCGAGCCTTTTCAATTTTAGCCTGTCTAGCTTGAGAACGTTGGGACATAATTCCACCTCCCCAATTCTTCTTAATTTCATCTCCACGCTCATTAAAGTTGTTAAGAGCAACATCAGCAAGATTCTTTAATGCACCGCGGTCTTCTCTAAAAATTATTTTGAATTAAAAAATATTGGTACCCCAAGAAAAATATTTTCTAATTAAAACTAACGGATTAACATCGCATAAACAAACAGCTGCGGCAGTCTTTCGATGTACAACAGTCCCAAGACGTGCCTTCCCTTTAACCAAAACATAAGGTACGCCAAACTTGCGACACAAAGCTGGCAAACAAATAACAATTTCGATTGGATCAACATCATGAGCAATAGCCACCAAACTAGCTTTCTTGTTTTCAATTAGCTTAACAACATCTTTAATGCCAAATCGAACAGTTGGTGGACGCTTTGTCACGACTTCTTGCTTTCCTTCAACGCGGTCTTGTGCGCGGTTGCGAAGACGTTCTTTTTTAGCTTGGCGAGTTTCAGGACTATATTTATCGAGAAGCTTGAAAAGTTGAGCGGCTAAAAATAACCATTATCATACTCGTAAGTAATAAAGTTAAAATAAACCGTTTGGCTTGTCCAAAGTATATTTGAATTGATTAATTGGTGGAGGAATCTTTAAACGTTTCTCAAGTACAGCACGTTGACGCTGAAGACGGACATATTTTGGCCAACGAACAAAACGAGTCAGATCACGTTTAGGCTGAATATCTTGTCCTATAAAAAAGAAGAAGGGAAATAAATAAAAATGTAAATAAAATACCAATGGCAAAATTTCTTGGTCGTTTTTCAAAAAGCGAAACTTTGGCTGGCTTTTTCGCTTCAGCCTTTTTCATTCCAGCAGGAAGAGCGGCAACCTTCTTTTTTGCTGGCTTTTTAACCTTAATTAAAAATTTTAATTTTAACCATATAATTTATCAAACAAACCATTATTTCGTAGTAGAAAGTTTAGACAGATAAGAAAATCTAAATTAAAATATATCATTTAAGGTTAAGAAAAACAAAGACAAGAAAAAATGCCCTATGAAAAGTATAAGGGAAACAAAATAAATTCCCAGAAAGTCAGATCTAAAATTCAAACGACTGGAGAAGATCTAAATCCTTTAATGGCATTACAGATTTCACGATTTTATTTACGTTTAACAAATAAAATCGGGGTACAGCCCAAGTAGGCGCGCTGCCAAGTAGGCGCAATGTCATAACTTGCTTCAATCTTTCTGAATCTTTCAAAATTTAGTATTAAACGATTCCTCTCATCGAGCTAAAGAGATTGGTACCAAAATTGTTAAGGTTCAAAAATTTTCCAAATAGTTATGGCTTTGCGCCTACTTGGCTGCGCGCCTACTTGGGCGTGTCCCATAAAATCGATGTGTCGTTTTATCATTTGACATTTTGAAATAAACTTAACTACCGAAATCGAAAGGTTAAATTACGAAATATCTACTAAAAGTAAAATTATTTTTGGCAACATTTTACTTATTTTTTACGACATTTTTTATCTTTAATTTTAGTTTTGTTGTACTAAACAAATTCTAATCTCATATTTAATTATAAAATAACTTCTTTTGTAAATTTAGCAAAACAAATGTTAAATGGTTTGTTTTTTTGTTGTTAATAATATCTCTCAATATTTTCAGAAAATGGACATCCTTTATGGAGGTCAACACCTCCTAGAAATGGCCAACAAGATGAACAAAAAACAAACGTTCAACCTTGCGGTTCTCCTACCTTTTTACCTACAGAATTCAAAATTGGTGGAAACGCTGGGGCACCTCTCACACGTGCTGAGAATCCTGATGGAAAAAAGGTATCTTATTTGATTTTTGGTCTCATATTTCGTAACATTTCTATTTTTGCTTCATAGTCAGACTTCGTACCAGGTACGAGTGCGAATTTTAGTACGTCTAATGACCAGACCTGCTCACGGATACTGATTTTGGGCGGATATCCGCATGCATTTTGATATATGTTTATAGATCCGTATCCATGAGCAGGTCTGATTATGACTAGCTTTGTTATATCTTTTTAGATTTTACTTAAATTCTATTCTGAATTTAATTTGGGCAGGTTATAAATTCAGATTTATTTCTTAAAGGTGATCTCGAATGGTTGTTCAAGGATACATCGGATTTTAACGGATGAGGAAAGGTTTCGAGGATGTAAAACACGTTGGACAGAACTTGAAGTTCACGGTTTTTATTCAAAATATTTTTTTATTGTTTTAACTTTTTAGGACGTGTCAAAAACATTTCGTCTGGTTTATTTGAAATGCGCCATTTAACAGCTCTTTTCCTTGGAAATAATCAACTTCAAGTAATACCTTCTGGAATTTCACAACTTTGTAATCTTACTTTGTTGGACCTTTCTCACAATAAAATACGAAATCTACCGAAAGAGATTGGAGATATGGTGATCTTTTTATTAGCTCTCCTTTTTTGGACAAATTATTTGAACCTTATAACCTTAAAAAAATATTTTAAGATTTCTCTCTGCCATCTCTATTTAAATTCAAATCAGTTAAGAGTGTTACCTTATGAACTTGGAAAGTTATTTCGGCTGCAAACTTTTGGTTAGTTTTTATTTTTTAATTCTTTAATATATTTATTTTTAGCATTGGCACACAACCCTCTTTCTCCAGAAATCAGCAAAATTTATCAAGATTTAAATGGAGACAAGAAATTATTGCAATATTTATTAGATCATCTTGCTTTAAATATTATTCCACCTCCAGAACGAAATTGGATTGCAGCTAGAAACATTGATCCGGACAAGCCAATTGGTTAGTTTTTCTTAAGCAATTTAAAAATAAAATTGTATTTTAGCTACATTTACCATTCTTTGTTACAATGTTCTGTGTGATAAATATGCCACTTCAAATCTCTACTCTTACTGCCCACAATGGGCACTTAATTGGGAGTGCAGAAAACAATACATCCTCAAAGAGATTTTCAATTATAGCGCTGATATAATTACATTACAGGTTTTTTTTAGAATTTAAATTTTAGTTAAAATTATGTTAATTTAAAGGAAGTTGAGACTGAGCAATTCAAAACTTTATTTCAACCAAAGTTGGAGGTGGAAGGATATTCTGGCGTATTTTACCCAAAATCACGGTCAAAAACTATGAATGAGGAAGAAAAAAAGTATGTCGATGGATGTGCAATTTTTTGGAAGAAAGACAAGTTTGTTAAATTTACTTTAGTTTAAAATTTTGAAAAATTCCCCCGGTAAAACATTTGTCGGATTCAAAACTATTTTTGCGAACTTCTCGGTTCATGTTTCCCGGTGTTTTTGTTGTTTTTACCTATTCTTTTTACTAACTTTAAACTAAACTATTTTATTTTAAAGATTTGAAATGGAAAGAAATCAACCAATTGAATTTACAAAAGTAGCAATTGAAAAAGCACAAGCACATGAAAATATGCTTAATCGAGTAATGCCTCGTGACAATATTGCTTTGGCAGCTGTTTTGCGTATTAAAGACAACCTTTATGGACGTAAGTATTTGTTACTTAAAGATTTAAATATTTTAATTAGCTCATCGAGTACCTCCTAACACAAATGATAATGTTAGTGGAAGTCTTTTGGTTGTTTGTACAGCACATATTCATTGGGATCCAGAATTTTGTGATGTAAAATTAATTCAGTCAATGATGTTAGTTCACGAATTGCAAAAATTGTTGGATATTGTTGCCGTAAAATATAGTTTAAATGTTCAACAGATTCCTGTTTTGATATGTGGAGATTTTAATTCTTTACCTGATTCTGGTAAAATAAAAAATTTTGAAGAAATTTTTAAAATTATTTTTAGGTGTTGTTGAATTTTTAAGTAAAGGAGCAATATCAAAAGATCATCCAGATTTGAAAAGTTTTAGAGAGGAAAGCTGTCTAAGTTGTTTATCATCAGATTTGAAGGATCAAAGAAATTTTACTCATTCACTACGTCTTGATAGCGCCGTTGATACGTTAGTTAAAAAGTGGAGAATTTAGAAATGTATTTAATTTTCTTTTTATTTTCTAGTGCACAGATTCCGTACACCAACTATACGTAAGCTAAAATTAAAAAAGATGTACAAGATCACTCATATTTAATATTTTCTCAGGCTTGACTTTAAAGGAACGATAGATTATATATTTGCAACACCGCAGTCTTTGGCACGTCTTGGTACTCTTGGCCCACTTGATTCCACTTGGGTTTTTTTAATTTTCTAAATTCTAGTAATTTCTAATTTTAAGGTCCAACAGAACAAGTTTGTTGGTTTTCCTCAACCACACGTGCCTAGCGACCACATTCCAATAATGGCACAATATGCAGTTATTCCGGCATCACACCAAAGATCTCTGCCGCCTATACAGCACTATGGATCGTCACATTCGGGAGGGTTTGGTGCTATTGGAAGATGATGATGCTTACCTTTTTATGGGTATTTTTACTTTTTGTTTTTGGGGAATTTAAATATGTGAATCTGACAAAATGTGTGTATATTGAGTTCTCTGACAAATTTAATAACATATAAAAGCAAATATTGTTGAAAGAAATGTGAAGGAGTTTATAAGTATGATCCGAAACTTACAATTAGTTATGATTTTGTGGTTAAGTTCTTTGTCCTAATAGACTCAAGACCTGGGAGATTTTTTTCTGGGTTTAAAAATTTTAAATACTCACTCGCCCTTCTCTCTTCATGTTTTGGAACTAAAGGATCTTATATTACAATTTATGAGTTAATAACTTCGAAATGGACTACCAATAAGTAATACTAGCCATGCTTTACCCGTCTAACAATTTCAACTTAAATAATTTTTTCTAGTGAATGCAACATCATCACCCTTCAATTTACTACAGTCAAGTATTTACACTTCTCGGCCAAAAAATGTACAAAGGTTTTCTTTGTTCCTCATTTCATCTTTTTTATTCACCTCGTGGCTGTCACATATACATCGTCTTCTCTTTTTTAAGTGTAAAATTCCCTTTCTTACCACCTACCCCTCTTATCGTTTTAATCAGCTGCCGTATCATCATCATGTTTATTTTTACTTTTATTTTTTTTTAATTCCTATGTTAGTTTATATATTAAATTTAAAAAAGAAAATAGCCACCAATTTATTGTATTTTTAACGACAAAATTTTGAGAAAATTATTTTTAAGGCTGGGGGCATTTTTTAAATAACTAAAACGACCTTTTTCTCATTTATATTAATTAATTATTCCTTTTTCGCTGTGTATATATTTTGCTTGTGATTACAACTATTTCTAATACTAATTTTAATTCTTATCGTAAAAATTTGCACATTTGATATTTGCAGTTTTTTTAAATTTTGATAGAAAACGGGCTTAAATAAAAAAACCCTCAAAAGCTAAAAGAAATTGATATTTTATTGTGCATTTAAAAAAAGAAAAAGTGAAAATAGCAAAAAATGCCCTTTAAGCGGTCTGTGCAAAACAGGAGCGTAGCCGTTCTTTTCATGAATAGGTGGGATTTTTCGACATACGGGATGCTTCAACGTAAGAACCCTACTGATTCTGGGACCTACGGACTGGGTCTTCGATAGTACATTGCCCTATTGAAGGAGTACTACCGAATTCGGATAGGATAATTGCTCGTTATTTTTCTACAGCAATCACGATATATTCGCAACCAACTTTTCTGGGTTTCAAACGGTTAGGCTCCTGTTACGCCAGTAGATTGTGAGATTATCCTAGAACCTTAAGTAAAAGCGAGAGATGGGATATCTTAATTGATTTGAAATGTTAAGTGTTGTTAACGTCGTCTCATTCTTCAACACTTGCAGACGCATCTGAAAATTTACGAGGAATTATCAAAAAAAGATTAAGTGATCAAAAAATAGCTTTTTTATTTCCGTTTCCATGTCAGATAATGACATAGAAACGACGTAGCTATTTAAAATTAAAACTTTAAAATCAAGCTTAAGCTCGAAAAGTCGAATTTAAATTTTGTGGTTATCATATGTATAATGGGAATTACCTAATTAAACTCAGAACAATCGAAACAAGTGTACATATCAGTACAATGGCAATCACTATGATAACCCATGTCTGTAGCTTGAAGCAGCAGTCTAAAAGTTTAACAGAATGAAGGTTGTTTTTTATAAAATTTACCAGTCAAGAGCTGACCACAGCAATCATAGTAGTGAAAGACTAAAATTTAAGAGGTTTATCTATTTGGGAAAATAAGAACATTACCAGAGCTGTCATCGCCTAAAAATTAAAGAAATTTTTTTTAAATTAAATTTTAAATTACAGATTTTGCCAACGCAGACCTTGCTGCCAGATTTTGGGCTAAAATCGTCTTTATCGATCGCAAAAGAAAGGCTCCAAAGAAATGGTATAAGAAGAACAACCAAAGGCAAAGACGTGTAAGGCATGTTTTGTAAAGTTGTAAGTTTTTTTTGGTATCTCTGAAATTTTGATTGAATTTTTAAAGGGGTTGACTAAAAATTAAAAAATAAATTAAATTATGATAACCAAAACTCGTTAAAATATTTAAAATGAATGTTAAAAACGCTTATTGGGCAATTTAAAATAAAAAGAATAGGAGGGGCTTTGCTTTGGCGTGTGATATTTTACAGAGAATTAAATGAAGAGAATTAGCACAGTCAATTTTATTTAAATAAAAAAAACAGTTTGTTGTTTTTACAAACTGATTTGAATATAAAGTTAAAAGAAATGATTCATGTTAGTGGGGGGCTTGCTGTTAAAGTGTTTTTATTTTGAGAAAGAACATTGGTTAGTAAAGGTTTCACAATTAATAGGTCAATTTGAATTTCAAAGGTTAAGGTTTATTTAACCACTTTTTATTTGTCACGGCTGACTTTCTGATATTAAATAGAGTTCAGACTTTTCAGTTTTTTAGTTTCTAGAGTTTGTAGTCTAATCTATTCAGATGGATCAAGGCCAAAAATGTAATAGTCGTCCAGGGCTGCGCGGCCCACTCCGTTGCCAAAAAATGTATACTTCTATCTTTGTTCTCTTTATTTTACGTTATCTCCTCCATTTGTTTTCCTTCATTTGAGTCTGACTTTAAGAATTTCTTTCACATAGAGTAAATAGTCTTCATAATAAGCAATTAAAACAAATTTATTTATTTTCAGATTATTTATGTTATGTAAATCTTTTTTATTTAATTTATTTAAACAACAATTATTAACTAAAAACCAAAAATGTTGTTCAAGATTAATGTCTTATTATCCAGTAAATGACCAAGTTTTTGGGTTAAATGAAGAACAGAGACAAGTTTGTTTTTATTTGTTGTATTTTTTAAACTTTATTTTAGTTGAGGGAAACTGTCTCAAAAATTTCTCAGAAGGAATTGGCACCTTTTGCTAGTGAAATTGATAAAATGAATGGATGGGACAAATTGAGAGATTTCTGGACTATTTTGGGACAAAACGGACTTTTGGGAATTACTGTTCCAACAGAATATGGAGGTTCTGATTTGGGTTATATGGAACACGTTATTGTGATGGAGGTTTGTCTTTAATATTTTTTAATTGGAAATTCTCTTGAATTAGGCAATCAACCATTGGGGAGAGAGGCTGCAAAACTGTTTGCCACTACAATAATTTTTTAAATTTCATATCCGCAAATTTCTTCCAATTTTCCCTTCTAAAATTATTTCCAAAATAAATTTTATTTTTTTTTCAATTTAAGGAGCTTTCCCGTGCTTGTGGCGCTATAGCCTTAAGTTATGGTGCCCACTCTAATTTGTGTGTTAATCAGATTCGTAGACATGGTTCTAATGAACAAAAGTCTAAATATTTACCCCCTTTATGTTCTGGCGAATGGATTGGGGCTTTGGCAATGAGTGAACATGGAGCTGGTTCTGATATAGTTTCCATGGTTTTTTTTAATTTTAAAAAATAAATTTATTTTTTTTTTAATATTTTTTAAAGTTTTAGAAATTAACTGCACGTAAAACTGGCGATGGAAAATATTTTTTGTTAAATGGGTCAAAAATGTGGATTACTAATGGACCTGATGCTGATGTTTTGGTTGTTTATGCTAAGGTTTGGAAACGGGATTTTTAATGAAATAATTGATTTAGTGTTACATTTAGAAAGGCCTTTAGGTTCTAGATTTATTTTGAGTATGTGGGTATGGAGTAGTGGTAAGGCGTTTAGCCATTTACTTTCCTATATAGATTCGATTTCACCTGTTTAATAATTTTTATAAGTATTTTATTTTTTAAATTATATTTACTTTCTCCTTTTAAGGATTTTCGGGAATATATAAATATTTTACCGTACTTTTTTGTGTGTTTTTTATAAAGACCTGATACCTTATAATATTTTTTAAAGTCCTTTCAGTTAATCATTTTCGTGCATAATTAAAATAAAAGGTAAAATACTTAATTTAAGAATAATTCTATTAAACACTTATATTTTTTACATTAGACCCGATAATTTCTTTTTAAATTATTCTTATATTTTACATAAATAAATTAAAATATTATTTTTTATTTTTAGACAAACCCAGAAAAACATCAACACGGCATTAGTGCTTTTATTATCCAAAGAGATTTTCCTGGCTTTTCGACGGGTAGAAAACTCGATAAACTTGGAATGCGGGGATCTAATACTTGTGAATTAATTTTTGATAATTGTGAAGTACCTGGTGAGTTAATTTTTAAGAATAAAATGGTAGAGGGGGATGACTAGTTATTCTCTATTTTTTAGAAAATTATTTTTTAATTTATATGAGAATAGTTTTAAAGCAAAAAACTAATTTTTCATTTTTTCTTTGAAAATTTCCTTATCTTTTGATTTTAAAATATTTTTAATCTTTTAAATTTTTTAGTAGAAAATGTTCTTGGAATTGAAGATAAAGGTGTTTATGTATTGATGTCTGGTTTAGATTCTGAACGTTTAGTTTTATCAGCTGGACCTTTGGGGTAAAAAAAAATTTTTTATTTAATACAAATTTTACTTTTTCTATTTTTTGTAGATTAATGCAATCTGCTTGTGATGTTGCTTTTGAATATGCCCATTCTAGAATGGCTTTTAGCAGTCCTATTGGGACTTTTCAAGTAAAAAATATAAATTTTTAAAATTTATTCTTTTTTTAAAGTTAATGCAAGGTAAATTGGCAGATATGTATGTTAGATTAAATGCCTGTAGAGCTTATTTATATACAATAGCTAGAAATGCTACTGACAAAACATTGACGGCTAAGGACTCTGCCGGGGTAATTTTTAATCTGGGAAAAAGAAAATTTATTTAATTCTATTTCCTAATATAGGGAATTTTTTTTAAATGTTCGATTCTTTACTGTTTTTAATCATAGGACGGAGAGAATCTACATATAGTTTAATCAAAAATACTCCACTAAATTGGGGAGTAATCCAATGTATTACAGGGCTGTAACTTTGTTTCAATTGAAATTCTGCTCGTCGAGAACCTATTAGAGCATTTAATTCTCTAATTCTGAACGAAGTCATAACAGTGTTACTCGGCTTTACTATATCTGGGATATACCTCTTTAACTTATATTACACATTTCTCCTATAAAAATCTTTTTTATTTAGATTTTTCAAAACTATTTTTTTAGGTAATTTTATATTTGGCTGAAAATGCAACCCAAACATGTTTAGATGCAATTCAAGTTTTGGGGGGTAATGGATATATTAATGATTATTCAACTGGGAGATTACTTAGAGACGCAAAATTGTATGAAATTGGGGCTGGAACTTCTGAAGTTAGAAGATTAGTTATTGGGAGAGCTTTAAATAAAGAATATATTAAATGATTCTTTTATTTGTGTGTAATTTTTTGTAAATCAGCCTATAGATAGTTTCCCTCATTTTATTTTGGAAATCACGATATTTTTTCAATATCGGTTTTATACCGAAATATCAGAAAAGCCTTTCCTTTGTCTTCATGAAATTGTAAAAGAGAGTGACGAGGGAATATTTCCACAAATGTTACATTAAATTAAAAATTTCTATTCACGGGCTGGATTGCTTTTGATTTTAAATTTATTTTAATGAAAAATTCTGTGTTATTTTTTAAAGGTGATAAAGTATGTATATTACATAATTATTTAAATAAGGCAGAAAAACATTAAAGGTAGACTCTGTAGCAAACTTACGATGCAGCAAATCTGAGGCCCGTTAAATGTCTAAATATATTTTATCCTGTTACCTTCTTAGAATCCTTTTTTTGCAAAATCCTTTTTTATAGGTGAACAGTTATATATATTTATATAAATTCAAAAAATTTTGATATAAAATATTTTTCTTGTCCTTTTTAAAAAATCTTCCTTTGTTTAATTTATTCATTAAATTCTTTTTCTTCATTTCCTTTCCAACTTCTTCCAAATCGAATTAAAGGAGCATTATTTAAACGTCTTCCAAAACGAATTAAAGGTGCACTGTTAGGTGAACGTTTTTGTTGTTGTTGGAAATCTTCATTTTCTTTGTTTAATCTTTCAATTAATTCTTCCCAACTTGAACGCTTTCCGAATCGAATAATTGGAGCTGTTGGCGCTCTTTTCATATAAGACCAAGGTTGGTATGAAATGAATGGAGACATTCGTTTTCCACCTTTTAAATATTTTTTTGATCGAAATTTGGAAAATTTACAAAAATGACTGGCTTTATTACCCTAAATCCCCCACTACTATATGTATAAACTGGCTGGCTGTTGATATTCACAACTTTTTCCCATCATTCTTAAGTAATTCAAAAAAATTCTTGAAATCTCTGTCAGTCATTTTTGAACTTGGCAGCCAAAGGTTAAAAATATTTTTGATTCTACTTAGTTTTATGGTTAGTAAATAAGTTTTCGGCAGGGATTGGGGAACCTTTATCTGAATAGTGCAAGTTATCTAGAGAAGCTACTACTAACTAAAAACGATATGTTCTAATATGTGGGGGTAATTATTTCGAAATACTCTCCCTTACTTTGCATTTCTGATGAAGTTAATTCTTTAGAATCATAAGTTCCTTTGTGAGGTGGAAGTGCTGCTGCTACAATAAACAAAAGAGAATGTAATGCCAAAGCTGTTAGTAATGTTTGTGTACTGTAAATGTAGTGAGGGGGAGGGAAAGGGAAAAGAATTTTAAATAATTGTCTCATCTTTTCTTTTTAAATCTTTAAAATTATGTAAATTATTTTTATTATGTCAAGGGGATTATAGTTAACATTTAATAATTTGACATTAACTATAATTTATTCAAGAATTATAGTTAACATTTACTTATATTGTAGGGGGTTTAATAAAACGAAAACCGTCGGGAGTAGGAGTTTGCCTGGTTGGGTATGTCCGATCAGTTTATATGTCTGGTATGGAGAGTGTCTTGGAAATAGTAATTTCCGGATAACCCCAAATTTTTTAAATCAGCAGGCAGGCGAAAATGATTAACATTATAAGGGTAAAAACAAAAATTATGAGGGCAAAGACTGTTATGTTTAAGTGAAGGGAAGGAGACAATTAATGATTGACTTGGTATTTAGTGATTTGATTTGAAGATTTCCCCATTTCTCCGACAATAAATTCCTAATTATAAAATCAGATATAATTATTGAGGAATACTTAAATTAAAAACAAAAATTCTGACAAATCTACTAAATTTTATTTTTAAGCCATTCTCATTTAAATAATTGCTTTTATAATTAACAAACACAAAAAGAGAATTAAATTGAAAGATTTTTAAATGAAAGGCGGAACCTTTATAAAATAAAATTGTATTTTCTTTCCAAGTAAAAAATTTTTTTCTTAATTTTTTCAATTCCAAAAATTAGTGTCCATCTCCTTTTCTTTAAAAAATAGTAAAAATGTGTGGGTGATAAAGAAATTAAAAAACAATTGTCACGTCAAAATGAAAACAAAAGCTTTCTTTTTGCATTTTTACAAAAGGAATGTTAATTTACAAAATGAGAAAAGAGAGAAGAGAAAGAGAGATGACGTTTTAAGTCCTTTTCGAAAATAACAATAAAACAATTAATTAATTGACCCTTAATAGAAAAGCGCAAGAAGCTTTTTACAAGAAAATGAATATGAAAATAATTTTTTGCTAGAAATGTAAAGACGAAAGAAAGATTACGTAAAATTACGTTTTCTTGTTCTTTTAAAAAATATTGAGATTGTTAATCATTTTTATTTAGCCCCCCCCCCCTCCCCCACTATAACCCTGACTATTGCTGGTAAAAAAACAATGCTAACTATCAGCAGATAAATCGCTAACTGCAGATAAATCCGTAATAACAATGCTAAAGATAAAATCCGTAAAACTATCTGCAGCTAAAGTATAAAAAACCGGTAGCTTTATCTGTGTCGCTACGGATAAAAATCCTTAGCATTGTTTTTACCAACATATATTACCAACATATCCTTTTTACCAACATACCCTCGAGATTGAAAAACTGTATCCAATATAATGAGATACAATTTAAATCTCAAATAGGAGGAACTAAAGTTAAATATAAGGGGTGTATCTAGCAGGGATGTTTGCTTTCTCTTCCATATTTTAAAAATTGGTTTGTAACATTTCTCTAGTAAGGATGGAAGGGTTACTCGAAACCAGGATCCGAAAATCGATCCAAAGAAAAATTTAAAAACCCGACCCAACTTTTTTTCTCACCATCCCTGCCTTCTAGTTTCGGATAATTCCCAAAGACGTGGTGGTACCCTCTACAAAATAAAACAATTTTCTGAACTGGCAGTTTAGAAAAATTTAAAAATAATAAAGAAATTAAAGTTTAAATTAAAATTTTGTGAAATTAAAAAAATATTTGCTTAAAAAAGTTTTTTTTCTCACGAAGCTATAGTTTGAGACAAATCTGAGGATGGATGGAGGCGAATAAAAATATTGTCCTCTATGGATAAAATGAAAATTTAAAGAATTGGCTTTTCGCGCCTATAAAGGCTTTTTTTATTTGCGCTGCCGAAACTCGAGACTTGATAGAAATAAAAAAAAGAGGAAATGATGAAAGAAGAGAAGAGGGGGGGGGAATGTGTTGCCTATATACTTTCTCCCTTCATTGGCCTCCAAAATTCATTACTTTCTTAAATGAAGAAGAGTTGGGGGAATATAAAAAATGTAAATTATTGTGGAGAATAAATAAAATAAACATCATAAAATGACAATTTTTGACTTAAATATTTTCATTATTAAATACAAATTTACGTTTTTTTCGTACAAATATTCATAATTTAAACGCTTTTAATAAAATTGGCAAATTTTAAAAGGTAAACATAAAAACTAAATAGTAACTGAAAAGTGGGGGACCTACAGGATTTTTAAAGCAAAAGATTTAACAGAAAATTTAACAGAAAATTCTTCCATAATAGAACCAGTATTTGATTCAAAATCTATCAACTAATAGAAACTCCTAAAAACCGAGTTAGGAGTTCTAATAAAGAATTTTTATTTTAACATTTTTGTAAACATTCACTCTCGATATACAAACTTGAAAATAAATAAGAAAAGGTTCATGTGAATTGTTGTTTATCTTTAATGGCTAGTTTCCCCACACCCATTTTGCTTTCGAAATTTAATAAAAAATTTAAAACTTGTTAGTTAAACAAGATATTTGATACATTTAAATTAATTAGGTACATTTAGAGTCGATGTATTATATTTTAAAAAATTTTTTAAGAGGAAATGCTTTTTTTATAAAGAATTATTTATAATTAATTTATTAAATATATTTATTTTCTTATTTTTCAATCACATTTGCTGCCAATGTTGAGATATTTGTTGCTGTTGTTGGTGATGTTGACTAACAACAGGAATTGATGCTGAAGTTGGCAACATTTGAATTTGTTGTTGATTAATTAATTGATTTGAAGTAATTATTGGCTGTTGAATATTATTTGGAATTGTTGAGGAGGAAGAAGAAGTCCCCCCAACAACTTGCTGAACAGCATTATCATATGCACCCAAAACATCTCGAATAGCCAAATCAACTGCTGCCAAAGAATTTAATTGCTAAAAATAAAAATAATTAATGGAAAAATAAATATATTTTTGGAATAATTTAATTATTTACTCTCTTTCCCAAAAGTAATGCTAATTTCTATTCATAACATTTTTAAACAAAAGTCTAGACTTAAAAATAAATTCTAAAAGAAGTCAAAAATAAATAATTTATATTTATTTTAAAGTTAAATTAAATAAAAGCTCTATAAAAATTTTCAACTAAACATCCCCCCTCCCCCCAAATAATTATTTTACTAAAAAGTACACATAAATATTTTATATTTCCTTAAAAATTGTTGCTCTTTTCCTATCCTGAAATTGCCTCAATTTTCTTTTCATCTCTTACTCACTTATTTAAATTAATTTAGAGTTACAAGAATTTAGAGATTTATTTAGATAATTTTCCGTTATCCGATTTTACCCGTTTCTTTTTAAAAAATATAAATGATTAAGTGGAGTTACGGGATAAATATTGTAAATTACATACTATTCTAATTTCTTTAGTTTACCATGTATAATCTTTAAAGAAAATAAAAACGAAGGAAGAAAACCCCTTACTTTAAAAAAATAAAAAAACAACAAAACCTTATCTATTTTCATAAGTTTTTGGTCAATTAAAGGTGCCTGAGCCATCGCTTTATTTTCAAGAAGAGCAAGTTCAGGAGGGTCAGAAGAAGCATCTAATGACGGATCCAAATCTTCAATTAATTCAATACATTTAAGCAAAATATTTTCGTCAATTTGGACTTTCATTGTTGCCGTAGAAGTATTTAATTCTTCAATATTTTCATTTGAATCTTTTGCTACTGGCAAATTTGGTTGTTCTTTATTAGTTAAATCTGTTGTTACAAAACTAGCTGGGAAGAGTCCATTAACACCTCGACAATTTACACCTCTCCACCAATTTTGATCACTAAAATTTAAAAAATAACAATCGTGTAAAGGCAAAAGAAGAGTGATTTGTCAAGCAGAAAAGAGGAATCTAGTGCTAGACAGAAGTGAGTCTCCAATTCTCAAGTCTAGACATAAGAGCTAGTCCGAATTACAACTCTTCGAATTTCTAGAACCACCGACTGTCCGATAAAGCTAGAGCACCGTTCGAAGGAAAATGATATTGAAGAAAATTAAGCCAAACATCTTCAATTAACCAAAAAATATTTACAATAATTTCAGATTCTCCCAACAATTTAAAATAAAAATCAAAAAGCAACCTATCATCACAAACAGTAATCACCTCCCCAGTAGTAAAACTAATTTCATTATCCTCAGCCGCTTCAAAATCGTAAAGAGCACGGGCTTGTTTAGCGGCAGCTGGAGGTGGTTGATGCCCAGACGAATTTGGAAAGTTAACATTTGAACTTTAAAAAAGTAAATAAAATTTAATTATTTTATTAATTATACTTAAAATCAGAAGAAGAAAGTGCTGGGTAAGAGGAATTATTTGCTTTTGTTGAATTATGTTGTTTATTACCGCCACTTTCTTGAAGAGACAAAGCTATTGCTAAAAAGAATAAATTTTAAGACAAGCTAAAAAGGACCGTGAAAGTAACAATGACTAAAAATTGCAGCAAATTTTAAAGAATATTCCAAAATTAAAAATATTTAGGAGGTACAGCCCAAAACTGCGCGTGGCCAGAAAATTCATAACTTGCTGGAAAATGTCTGCCTTTTGCCAATTTTGGACCTATCTCCCTAGCCCGATGAGAGGAAACGTTTGATACCAAATTTGGTAAGATTCCGAAATCTTGAAGCAAGTTACGGCTTTGCGCCGTTATGGTCGCGCGCCGTTTTGGGCGTGTCCCGTATTTTCGTTAACAAAAAATTGTCGAGTTTATTCAACAAAAAATCAACCTCTAGCAATATCTGCCTGTTCCTGATCACTACTCACAACATTTGGATCATTACTAATTATTGGCGCTTTCTTAGTTAAAGTTGGATCGTTATCAAAACTGAGTCTTAAAAAATTAAATTAACAATTATTTAAATAATTTAAAAATTCTTATCTTGTTCCAAAAGGTCTTTATAAAGACTTTCAATCATTGAAAGTGAACTGTCCTTGCTACACTCATTTTCAACCCATTTTTTGACCAACATCCGTGCCTTTTCGGCCACAACTCGGTTACTCTGAAATTTTATAAAATTAGAAAAGAATATCAGACAAAAAATAAATTGCCCTAACCCCATAGTTTGTTAAAACTATTCAAAAGAACAAAACTTTAAAGAGACCCATAAGACATGAAAGTAGGGTTGGGGCCCGGTCCGTTCCGAAAGATCAGTCGGGCATCCGATTTTGGCCCGAAAAAGACTCGGTCGGACCGGCTCGATAAAAATAAGGCCCAAAAAAATGACTCGAACGTCGGCCCGACTCGAAAAATCAACCCTACATAAGAGTAAACAGAATTTTTTTTAATTTCCACTCTCGAGGGCGGCAAGAGCTACCAAGAATGGGGACTTAAATTACGTGATTTAATATAACAACAATTATTTAAAGCAGAAAACTGTGTATATTCGAGAAGTTTAAACGGAAATTACACAACAAACTCTTTATGTACTTCTTCTTTATATGGACTATAAGAATTCCGTTTGATTTTTGCCCTTGGAATTAGTTCTTTTTGTCTTCCTACATTTGTGCATTTGTAGTTCAATTCTCCAATAAATTCTTTTGAAGAAACTTCTCGTCTAAATTTCTGTCCACAATTACTCCAAAGACAATCCAAAAGAGAAAGTGCAAACAAAACAACATGGGGATCTCGATGATTGAGACGCTTTTTGACAGAAAGAAGAGCTTGTTTACATCCCTTAATTCCATCAGCATTTACACGATCACAAATATCTCTAAAATTTGAAAAAAATAAAAAAAAAATAGAGGAAATATAAAATGTGAATTTAAACTTCTAGAATTATCACACACGGATTAAAGGGGTAGCAGAATACAGAGGGTAAAAACAATAACTTTATGATTAATCTAAGTAAGTGTTAACTGTTTGAGATTTCTTTACAAAATAAGGGAAAACTAACAATAAGACGGTGAACCTAAGAATACCAAAATTGTGAGGAAACGTTATGTGGTTAAACAAAAGTATAGACGTCAAAATAAAAATTTTGTTTACTTATCTAGTTCTAACCCCAAAACCAAATTTAATAGTTTTATAAAAAAAAAATAAAAAACTTGACATCATTAATTCCCAATTTTCACTCGTCAAAGTATCAGCGGTCACCTTCTCAACAATTTCATCATAAGGAGAAGAGTCGCCGAAAATCGGCATATTCTGCAAAGAAAACAAATTCGTGGCTGTAGAGTTAAGTAAAAATAATTTTAAAAAATCTGAAAATTTTTTAGAGACTTTTCATCAGATTAACAAAAATTGATGATTAAAAAGAAAAATTAGTGACAAATAATCACAGTCTCACGTGTCAATAAAAAGATATACTCAAGTGACAGATTCAACGACGGCCCGTTTTGGTGCGAATTAGTGAGTGTGGAAGATTATGGTCTTTTTAGTGCCAATTCACGTTCATTAAAATTTAATACTATAAAAGCAAACATAAAACTCGCTAGATAACCTCAATCTTCTTATTCCCCCAAACAAACAACACAACAAACAAACAATCTTCTTCTTCTCAACGATGGGTCAGAACAACAAGGACGACAACAAGAAGTCCAAGGAAAAGAAAGGATCGGCAAGCAACAACAAAGGTGGAGGAGACGGTGAAACTGTTCGTGGTCAATCAGTCCAGGCAAAAGCTCAAAGCCCAGCTCGCAAGACGATCGCAAAGAGACAAAAGGCACCAACTTCGTCAAAGAAGGCAAAAAGTGGACGTCGTCTTTCTGTTGGCAGCGGAGGAAGTGCGAAATTGAGAAAGCGCAAGCCGAAGCGCACATTCAAGTTAGTTTTTCTTGTTAAACACAAACTTGTAACTAGAATTTTATCTTTTCAGAGTGCACATCTATCGCGTGCTGAAGGATGTTCATAAAGGTGAAATGCGTATTTCGAAGCGTGGAATGGATGTTATGAACAGGCAATAATTTTAATATACACAAAATTTGGGTTGTCGGTTCTTGGGAAATCTTCGGATATCTGGGACTCCAAATCCAATGCTAAGCATTTTTAAATCTTGGTCGGTCAATGGGTAGGGGGCCAAGTCAATTAATTTAAGCTTCAAAAAGTTGGGACTAAAATTTCTTATTTTTTACAGTTATTGTATGGATTTCTTCGACCGCATTGCTTCCGAGGCTGGTGGACTCTCCCTCATCAGTAAGAAACCAACTCTGTCTCTTCGAGATATGCAAAGTGCAACGAAAATGGTTCTGCGTGGCGAGCTTTGTCTTCATGCACTCAATGAGGGCAAAAAGGCCGTGAAGAAGATTGAGATGGAAGGAAAGACGAAGGCTAAATGATGAGAATATAAAAGGAAGATATTGTGAAATGTATATTGTGATACAATAAAATGTATTGTGTAATATATTGTATGTAATATGTATATTGTCATAAATAAATATTTGTCTCTGACTGATAAATTTGGCGAAAATAATTTTTTTGTAGTTTATTTGTTGTAGTTTCCATCAATCTAGTACCTTTCCCTTCAAATAAAATTATTCTCTCTAATTAGTCACATTTTGTAGTCTTCCATTTTTACGTTTTTATCACTTTTCAAAAACACTTGTTTATATATACTTATAATTACATCGATTTTCGCTTTTAAAAACTAAATTGAGTCGAACGAGCAGCGGGACGCCCTGGAAAGTTGTGGGTCTTGGGGGGTACTTTTTAAGGCGCATTCAGGAAAAATACGCTCGCGGCGCCACGACTTTCCCTTTGCGCCGAAACGACCCCATGACTTTCGCTATCTCGTGAACTAAAAGTCGGAGCGCTTAGGTCCCAACTAAAGGGCACTGAGATACTATTAGTAGATATCGTTTAAAAAAAAAATTTCGAAATTCGGTGAAGTCTAAATACCGATATGCCGTGTCATTGGTTTTTATTTGGTCCCCAAACCAATTAATTGGTTTTTCGATTGCCTATATCTCGGGAACGGCTGGGTGGATTGAGATGGGACCTGGGGGGTATTAGGTAAACGGCCAAGAGAATTTTTTTAGGTGGGTCGTTTCGGCGCCGGACATGAGTGCGGCGCCGAAATGGCCCGATGAAAAATTCAAACGGTTATAACGGGTTTTTGAGAAGTGTGGGGTTCTTGGGCCTGGGAGTGATGTTGGAGGGTAGAGTGTGGGGAAGTTATCAATAGTTGACCACTTGAGTCTCGGGTGAACTTTTGGGGGTGTTTTGGTTCAAAGTGTCGGAGTCGAAAAGTCGACTTTTTGTAACGTGAATTGAAACTCGATTTCGATAGCCAGTTCGAAAGAGCGTACCCTGGCGGTCATAAAAAGGTATAATATGTTGGGGGTCCACTTGAGTCTCAAAAAGTTATAGGCGTTGTGGCAAAATGTCGTGAAACTTTATGAGACTCTAACGTCCCGGGGAATTTTTTTAAAATTTTTTCGAGGCCGGATTCGTACTCAGCGGGTGTCAGAGTACCACATAAGTCGTTTTTGGGGTCAAAATTCGAAAATTTTGTCCAACCCCCTATTTCCAAAGGGGTACCCCTTTTGGGGAAATTTCGGGATTTTTTGGGGGGCCATAACTTTTTTTTGGATAAAGGGAATTGGATGGGGTTTCCTTCATAAAATCGACTAAAAAATTAGGTATTTTATCACCGAAGAAAATTTCTACAAATTTCGAAACTGGGGGTGTAGGGGTCGAATTTCGAAAATTCGAAAATTTTTCGGTTTTTCGAAATTTTTTCAGAATTTTTGCCGGCGGTTCGCGCCGAATGTATTTTTCCTGGATAGAGCAGAATTTTCTGCATAGAATGAAATTTTAAAATCTTCAAAAAAGGTCACCTTTGAAAAAGTTATGAATTTTTGAAAATTTGGTCGATTTTTTCGGCCAAAATTTTCGACCAAAAAAATAATTTTACTAAAATGAACTTAAATAGGGCAAATGTTATATCATTCGAAAGCCCTTATCGCCCTGAGTCTAAAAATATTTTTTTGAAAATTTTCTGACCATTTTGTACAAAGTTACAACAAGTCGAAATTTCGGGTGTGGGGGGTACCATACCCAGTAAAGGTACCAAAGGAGGGGTAATTAATTAAAAAGACTTACGTTATATTGTAGAGCAGCCTCAATTCCATTGAAAAATATATACTCTGTTTGGGGGGTCACTTGAGTCTGACCGAATTTTTGGGGCCAGAGTTTTCTGTTAGGGGGGTTTTGGGGGCCGAAGGACCCTACACCGAGGCCGAAAGCCGAGAGTGATCTAAACGCCGCGTTTGGGGGGCCGAAGGCCCCCCAAACGCCTCGGATCAACCCACCACAGCCACTAAAAGGCATAGTATTCGTCTAAACAAAGGGTTTGGGGGGCCGAAGGCCCCCCAAACGCCTCGGATCAACCCACCACAGCCACTAAAAGGCATAGTATTCGTCTAAACGCCGCGTTTGGGGGGCCGAAGGCCCCCCAAACGCCTCGGGTCAACCCACCACAGCCACTAAAAGGCACAGTATTCGTCTAAACAAAGGGTTTGGGGGGCCGAAGGCCCCCCCAACCCACCACAGCCACTAAAAGGCATAGTATTCGTCTAAACGCCGCGTTTGGGGGGCCGAAGGCCCCCCAAACGCCTCGGGTCAACCCACCACAGCCACCAAAAGGCACAGTATTCGTCTTAACAAAGGGTTTGGGGGGCCGAAGGCCCCCCAAACGCCTCGGGTCAACCCACCACAGCCACCAAAAGGCACAGTATTCTTCTTAACAAAGGGTTTGGGGGGGGGGGGCCGAAGGCCCCCCAAACGCCTCGGGGCAATGAAAAGGCAGGAATAACTTAACCGGCGAGGGCCGAAGGCCCGAAGCAATGAAAAGGCAGGGCTAAACTTTACCGGCGAGAACCGAAGGCCCGGAGCAATGAAAAAGCAGAGTAATGTTACCGTTTCTAGCAGCGCGCGAAGCGCGCCCCAAAGCCGTTAGGCTTTCCAACGGCCAAAAGTATTGTAACCAAAGGCTCCGCCTATTAAATTCCAGTGCATACGTAACTTACCGCCTGCACCCCAATGGGCACAACTAGTTACTCTTATACCTATAAAAAAGACAAATTTCCATTTTAAAAACTATTATCGGCCGGCCGAAGGCCGGACGCTCGACAGAAGCGTGACATCTTGGGGGGTACTTTTTACGGCGCATTCAGGAAAAATACGAACTCGGCGCCACGACTTTCCCTTTGCGCCGAAACGACCCCCCAAAATTGGCTATCTCCTGAACTAAAAGTCGGAGCGGAAAGGTCCCGCTGGGAGGCACGCGCCCCACTATTAGTGGATATTAATGGAAAAAAAAATTTCGAAATTCGGTGAAGTCTAAATACCGAAGTGCCGTGTTAACCGTTTTTAAATGTTGGCAAAATGTGGTGCCATTGGAGGTTGGCAAAATGTGGATGTGCGAGATCTCGGGAACGTCTGGGCGGATTAAGATGGGACCTGGGGGGTATTAGGTAAACAGCCATGGGGAGTTTAATGGGCATGGCCGTTTTGGCGCCGCGTTTGAGTATGGCACCAAAACGGCCGGATGAAAAATTCAAAAGCTTATAACGTGTTTTTGAGAAGTTTGGGGTTCTTGTGCCTTGGAGTGATGTTGGAGGGTAGAGTGTGGGGAAGTTATCAATAGTTGACCACTTGAGTCTCGGGTGAACTTTTGGGGGTGTTTTGGTTCAAAGTGTCAAAGTCGAAAAGTCGACTTTTTGTAAAGTGAATTGAAACGCGATTTCGATAGCCAGTTCGAAAGAGCGTCCCCTGACGGTCAGAAAAAGGTATAATATGTTGGGGGTCCACTTGAGTCTCAAAAAGTTATAGCCAATGTGACCAAATGGCGCAAAACTTTATGAGACTCTAACGGGCCGGGGAAATTTTTTAAAATTTTTTCGAGGCCGGATTCGTACTCAGCGCATGTCAGAGTACCATATAGGCCTATTTTTGACCCAAAATTCGAAAATTTTGTCCCCTCCCTCAGAACCAAAGGGGTACCCCTTTTGGGGAAATTTCGGGATTTTTTGGGGGACCTTAACTTTTTTTTGGGGAGTCGGATTAGGATGGAGTTTCTTTTATAAAATAGTCCTAAAAATTAGGTATTTTTTGAGCCGAAAAAATTTCGAAAAAATTCGAAATTGGGGATGTAGGGGTCGAATTTCGAAAACCCGAAAATTTTTCGGTTTTTCGAAATTTTTTCGATAATTTTGTCGGCGGTTCGGGGCGAAAGTATTTTTCCTGTATGAAGCAGATTTTTCTGCATATTATACGATTTTAAAAATGTCAAAAAAGTTTAACTTTAAGAAAGTTATGAATTTTTAAAAATTTTGCCGATTTTTTCGGCCAAAATTTTCGACCAAAAAAATAATTTTTTCAACATGGCCATAAATAGTGCAAATGTTATATCATTCGAAAGCTCTCATCGAGCTGAGTTTAAAAATATTTTTTCAAAATTTTTCTGACCATTTTGGCCAAAGTTATAGAGGGTCGAAATTTTGGGTTGGGCTGTACCATACCCATTGGGGTACCAAAGGAAGGGTTATAAATCAAATTTGGCACGGTTAAATTATAGAAGACCCTCTAATCCACCGAAAAATATATAATTTGTTTGGGGGGTCACTTGAGTCTGACCAAGTTATAGGTGCAAAAGTAACAACATCAGGGTAAAACCCCCCAAAAATGGGTGCGAGGTCTCGAGTTTAAGAACTAGCCTCGAGTCTCGACCTCGAGACCGGTATATTTCGACTCAGCTCGCCGAGCCCGTTTGAACGAGTACCCACATGCCTAACTTAAATCAAGTTTTTATTTTTCGAGCTCGAGTCTCGAGCTCGATTTGAGCTCGAAACCTTCAATGATTTATTTAGAATCTCGAGTAGGAATAACATATGCTTTTCCACATGAGTCTGACCGAGTTATGGTCAAAAAGGACCAATATTGTGGGAGAAGCCCCCCAAAAATAGGGGCGAGGTCTCGAGTTTGAGAACCAGCCTCGAGTCTCGACCTCGAGACCTCCATATTCCGACTCAGCTCGACGAGCCCGTTTGAACGAGTACCCACATGCCTATACTTGGAGCAACTTTGTACCTTTCGAGCCCTCGAGCTCAAGTCTCGAGCTCGACTCGAGCTCGAGACCTTCACAGATCGATTCAGAATCCCGAGTAGGTCATTTTGGCAAAAAATGTCAAAATGGTAAATTTCAAAATGGTCAGGGCTCAAAATGGTCAAAATCTCAAAATGGTAACTCTGGGGCAGGGGAGTACTATGGGGGGTATGGGACTATATAAGGAGGAGGATATACCCCATAATTTTCATTTCCAGTCATTTTTCAAAA